ACTCACGTTATATATATATATATATATATACCGCCAACTTAATTAGCCTAACCTGTAGAGATGGAATTTTATGAGATCTCGGCTTGATCAAGCATATTTTCCAATGTCATCCTTCTAAGGAACCTCGGAGGCAGTCTCAAATTCATAGCATCCTCAGTCTCAGTTGGCAATTGCGTTGCAACAAACACAATCCCTCCCTTCTTTCTATGCTCTGGAATAATGTTTTCGAGCAATTTTACCCCTTCATCATCTATCATCTAATGCGACAGAAGGCTCATCCAGAAACCAAATTGGTCGGTCAATGGCCAGTAGTCTTGCAAATTGCAGCCTCTTCCCTTGGCTCATTGACAGCATTCTTGCCTCTCTTGCCGATCTTCTGAGGCCCATCAAGTCAATAGCAGGCTTAGACAATCCACTGAACATTGTCAAGGACAATAAACTTTTCTTTAATGGCATCTTCGAGGAGAGCCAATTAAGTTGAAGCTTATATTGGCGGAAAACTCCAGATTCTGTCACATCATGACCGTTCCAGAGGGATCTGACCTGCAGAAGGCTTAGACAATCCAGCCAGCATACGAAGGAGGTGGTTACAACAAGTGCCCCTTAATTGTGAACAAAGATATTTACATGTCGCAAGATTTGTTGGGCATTTCTCAAGCAGGAGACATTGTCGAAGGATCCGAGGAAGTGCCGGCTTTCGAAGAGACATTAAGCTTTAAGAAATTAAGTGGAATTCTGAAACTTCTGATTTTGCAGAGACTTCCACTGTTTAGAATCTGAAGATGATGCTAGAAACCAAGCCTAGCAAGTCTCTAAAATAATATCCTGCAGAACAACACTTAACCCTATAATAACTTCAATGAGAGTGGGGAAAAACAAAAGGAACCGGGCATCATAAACAATGAAAACAAATCATTAGTTTGAAGGTGGACTAGAAAAGAGGAGAAAACTAAAAGAAAATAGCTTTAGAAAGTTAATTAAGCCATGGATGTGTATAGCAATTTACCTTAATAAAAATTTCAAATATATAAACAGATAGGGCAAAGAATTGCAGTATATTGTCCAAGGACACCCTAACAGTTGCAATTTCTTCTAGTAGATCCCAAGTTCAAATCTTGTTCGGATCAGAGAGGGAGTATTGTGGAAATGGTGAACCAGATACTCATGGATGCGGCGCTCGAAGGTTTCTAAGAAAATGAGAAAACAAAAGATGGAGTTAGAGTTCCTAAGGTTAGTGTATAACGTGGCACAAGTAAATGGACTCAAAACAAATAATAAAGGTCCACTTCTCTAATTGGACTAATTAAACAAAGGCCCAACACTTATTTGTTCAGCTGTAAATATAGTTAGTTAGAATAGTATTCATAGCATACATTAGTGCACACAGTAACAAAAATCTATATATACATTCAGGTTATATATAATTGTTCTTTTGTTTTATCAAATTTCTTTTTTTCTTTTAACATGTAGGAAAACTTTCCCTTTTTATCTTTTAAAATGTGGAGAACTCCATTTTTAAGATTATATGCATTGAAAAAAATGAAATTATTATATCACAAGTATATGTGAAATATTTACATGATTATCCATAAAGATAAATTATTTAAAAGTGATATTAAAATATAGGACTAAAATATTATTTTCCAACAAATAAAAATGAAAATTTTATATCATAAATCTGTGTGAAACATTTACATTATTATACATAAAACATAAATCTGTGTGAAACATTTACATTATTATACATAAAAATACATTATTACAAATGATCTTAAATTTTTATATCATAATACCAGCAATTTTGAATAATTACTTTTATAATGTTGACAAATGATTCTAATACCATATTAAAAAATTTATAAATTTAAATTATAGAACTTATAGTTAATTTTTGATATAAAACTAAGAGTTTAGATTATATTTTGAACATAATTGGTTGCAATTTTTTTGAATTAAAAAATAAAATTTTAGAAAAACTAGCCTTTGGAGCTCAACCATGAAGAGTAGCTAACTTCAAAATGATGAAGGGAGGTGGCTCGATTGTAATGTTAAGGGCAGGAAAACGGAATTTAAAATTTTAGATGTCTTTTTGAAACCATAAATTAATATATAAAATTAAGTAATAGGCAATACACTTTGTAATTTTTAGATTATAAACATAATTTTCATGTGCAAATTAAATTTTGATTATATTTTGAAGATCAGAAATTTAAACTTAAATAAATAGTGTACAAGAACAGTAAAAAAATTTTAGTATAAAAATTATTTTATAAACTATATTCTAAATATCATAGGGCATAAAAAAAATTAAATCATGAGCATCACAAAAATTCTACATGGCTGAAACCTTCTTGACTGAGGCATGCCAGAGCTTGAAGCAAAGCCAAAGAGCCCCCTGGAAACAACCATACTTAAACAAGAAATTTCACTATGGTCTCTACAGAACAATCTCATAAACCATACAAACTATGTTTGTGTTGCCACAGATAGTAAATAGAAAAACTGCACAAAAAAGAACAAGTCTTGGCAACTATATCAACAGAATTTGTGGCACATATACTTGGAACGAGCAAAATTAAATCAGAAACTAACCCAATCAAGGCCCATCATAATGGTGACGCTGAGCAAGGAACAAGAAAATTCACCTGGAAATCAGATTACTCTTTGTAATTGTAGGCACGATATTGCCAAGGGCCCTCCACATAACCCCCCAAAATACCTCAAGATTCTCTGCAGAAAAGCACATAGTAAGCCTCCGATGCAGCAGCAACCCGCAAAGTATCCCTCCACCGTCTGATGATCACCATAAGCTATTTGCCCTCCCCAAACCTCTAACTCCTTTCCCGTCCTTCAAGCCCGTCGATGCAGAAGTCGTGGAATCGGCACCATTTGACAAATCTTTCGAATCTCCACAAGAATATTCTCGCCACGGGCATCCTTCGCTGTCGAAGTCAACTTCTTTAAATCACGTCAGCGCTGGGGTAAAATACTCTGTCCCACAAGATCGCGATAACAAATCGCCGATACTCCATCTAAGGACGCGAAATCAGAAGCGTCGTTGATAATAGCACTGATGTTAAACAACCCTTGGAATCTTCCAGAAGGACGGCGAATCTGCAGAGCGACGAACGAAGGAGTTCTCATTTCTTGGGAAAATAGTGGGATGTTGCTGATGAGTAAACGGACAGTGCCGATGAGTTTATCACGGAGGCAGCCGACGGCAAAGATTTCGACAGAAACACTGGTTGTTTCGCCGGAGAGAAATTCAAAGAGTGACTTTGAAGAGAAACTTGTCACTCCAAATCGGGTCCTCGCAACCATCAAGATCGATTCGGGTGCGGAGCTTAGTGGAGGAATCGATCGAAACAACTGCGTACGTCCGCATGCGGCGTCGATTGACAGACGGCGGATATAGACCTTGCGCAGAGATTACGTTTATCTCAAGAACCTTCATCTTCTCCAAGCGGCGTCGATTGGCAAACAGCGGATTTGATAAGGGGTGAGATAATACAGAAATGTAAAATTCTGGATCGATAAATATGCATTTATAGATCAAGTTATTTAATTACGAGCCGCTGGATTCAAAAAGCATTTAATGACTTGCTAGTTGCTCCATCATCATCGTCATCTTCTTCTTCTTCTTCTTCTTCTTCTTATTATTATTATTAAACTCTATATGTACGTTCTTCAACAACAGTAAAAATATAATTATCATTTAAATAAGTAAAAAAAAAAAAAAAAAAAATAAGTAAAAAAAAAAAAAAAAAAGCTACGCGCAGCGTTGCTCAATGGAAAAGAGCTATATTTTCATTTCTTCCAAAAAAAAAATATTTAGATGTTTACTCCAAAGCGTTTACTCAAAAAAAAAAAAAAAAAAAAAATTCCTCTAAAACGAAATAGAAAATATATATTTTCATTTTTTTTAAAGATTAACATATGTTTTCCTTGAAATACTTAATTATTTAAATGATATTTTAGATGTTGATTTGGCTCTTTGGCTTTGGTATGGCCAAGTCAAGAAGGTTTCAGCCAAGCAGATGTTGAGTTGGATTCACAGCATGTCTTCTATGCTGGAGTTTATTAGACTGTGCTTGTTCTTGCAGTTCCTATTTTCTATTAAATGCACCTTAAGTAGATGTACACATGCCAGGGTTTTTCACTTAGCATCTTGGATACTAGGTTGGGTTTATTGGGGAGGTCTATCTATTGACCTGGGTTAGTTTCTCCAATTTGCTAAGTTTTTCCTGGTTTATTAATAATAATAATAAAATTTTAATTTCAAAAGGAAAAAGCATTACTCTTATTTGGTTTTGAGCAACTTCAGTTTCACATAATCCAAAACACTACTAAGATTCTGTTGCTGTTTTGTACAAACTGCAATTTCAATTGTATCTTCAGTTGGCAGATACACTGTAGAAAACATAAAGCTCAACTATAACTTGCTGGAGCTGAAGATATCACAATTCCTTTTATAGATACTTGAATAACAATATGAAGAATTGCTCAAGAATTTGAACCCTGCCTGTTGACAAGATAATTACCATTACAAGTGTAAAATTGGCCACTATACTTGGCATGACAAAATGTTAACTCACCTAGCTTGTGTAGGCATATTATAGTACGACATGTGATCTAAGAATGATACAAGTCAAATACAAGTTTTGGAAATTGTTACTTTCAATTCTAATGGCAATGGTTAAGAATCTTTCTTGTAAATTCTGTACTGTATCATGTCAGATTAAGAGTCGCCAAATTTTCCAACTCCTCAATTTGTTGCTAGACAATTCTCCTGGTCCAAGGAACTCCGATGGGTTTTTGCTGCAATTCAAACACAAAAAAGAAAAAAAAAAAAAAAAGAAAAAGAAAAGAAAAGAAGTGTGATAAATGGGCTTAGAATTATGCATTTTGTTATAGACTTCACTGCAGTTAGAGTTTCAGGACCTAAAAGAAGAAACGCTATTTATATGAGATAAATGCTCAAATGAGTTAGTTTCAATAAATTATGATATTCGTGAATTATATTCAACACCTTGAATATTAACATCTTTTCCTGAGATTACTTCTGTCAAAGTTGAGGAAGATTCTGATGTGACTCGATCAGCCCCAAGATTACCATCTCTAGATTCATGTGAGGACCTGCACATTACACATCATAAAATATTAGATCAAAAGAAAAATGTTATACTGGTTAGTACTTATGAAAGAAAGAGAGTATATAAACATATGGCTATAGAATATGACCAAAGAAAGAATACCCTGAAACAGTGTCTGCAGAACCACCCAAGATTGGCTGGCATGGACAACCCAACCCATCAAAGCCAAGATCTAGATCAACTAACAATTCTGATAAGGAAAAGTTACCTCCAAGTGCATCTAAATTTGGCAAATCAATATCAAAGATATCTCCTTCTTTATCAGACTCAGATGTTGAAATCTCCTCAACAATTGGATTATCAAAGGTTGTATCACATCTGACCCATCAAAATCAAGCCTTCCCTTTACATTTTCCCTCTTACTCAACCTCTCAAAGGTTGTCTTGGCTGGAGCGGTAGAAGAAATGTAATGGTTACTCTCCATGGTATATGCCACATGTTTGCATGGGCTCACAACGACTCTTTCTGATGTAATTACAGTACAATTGGTAGGAGTTTCTTGAGGAGTATTGCTGTTACTGCAATGAGCAGTGGAGGAGATATTAACTGAAGAGTCAGATTTCTCATTGTGAGAGGAAACAGCTTGTGGTGGTGTTTTGGGGCCAGTTGAGTTAGCTGGAGAAGATAACCATGGTTGATTGAACAAATTCTCGGCTACACTATATCCTTGGACCATTGGACCACTGGGTGTGCGGTTATAGGGTGACGACCCAATCACAGAGGACTCAGCGTGATTGTTGGTACTACTCTTTTTTGAAAAAGCATCATCTTAGATTTGGAAAAGCTATTTAGTTGTTTAAAAATTTTATGACCGACATATGAAAGTCACTTTAAAAACAAATTTGAGTGATCTTCAATCAACAATTTTTAACATAATGTTTTTCTCAACAGCAATGACAAACAAATCTTTACAAGGTATTAAGTTAGGTGCATAATTAACTCCAAGGAAAGTATACCTGTATTTGGTGCTTTCCTAGATGGTAACTTGCCACGAGATTTCTTAGTAGCTAGAGGGCCTTCTGCAGCTAGGTCCCCCGTAATTTGCAGTCCTTTTTTCTTTTCTGTTCTTTCTTTTTTGTTTTTTTTTTTTATACAAAAAAAAAAAAAAAAAAAAAAAAAAAAAAAAAAAAAAAAAAAAAAAAAAACTCAATGGCCCAAAGACTAAACTTGTGAAATCATTAATGGGCCTTGATGCTTTGAGCACAGAGCTGGAGCCCAAAACAACCATCTTAAAATTGAATTGTCATTATTTGGGCCTGTCAATCCAACTGCAGGCCCAACCAGTAATATAATACAGTAATGGAAGACCAGTAACAAGGGGTTAAAATTACAATTAAGAGTGATTATGAAAAACAAGATGCAGGAAACCAAGTAAAAGTCTATTTACATAGAGATTCAAAGTTTATACATTCTCGAAAGGACACGACAAAAAGTGTATCACTTTGGCCACCATCATTCGTAACTAGCAAAACAGGGGAACGGTTCATATAGCAAGCGACAGTGCAGCAATTATATAAAACGAAGGCAACTTCTCTATAAAAAGAAAGAAAAAGAAAACAGAACGTGAATGGTATTATGGGTTCTGATTAAGCCTAGCAGCTGCAGCCACAGAAGCAGCAACTCCACCAGGCGTAGTCCTCATATTAGGTTTGTTTCTTATTTCCGCTCCAATCACACCTTCAGCATCATCCCGAGTTACCGTCTTGTCTCTAGGCAACTTGGCAGTCGCGTCCTACAAATCCAAATTAATTATTTGTTAATTAGATCACTAGATCAATTTAACATGTCCACAATAAATAAAACTGATTAAATCTTGATTACCGCTAAAACATCAGAGAGGGTAGTCTTATCTTCGTCGAGCATAACTCTGGTATTACGATCAGCTGCCGACTGTGCTTCTGCGCCTATTCCACCCGCCGGGGTTTGAGTACTGCGAAGAGCTCTCACCTCTGCAGCTTTTATAGCAGCGGCGTCGCTTTGATCAATTGGTTTGTCTCCTGCGGCAGAATAAGCAGTTGCCTCTAAAGCTTCACCCATTGTAATATCCATACCTGGCATTGGATATGTCGCTGGAACTCTTGGCTGAACATATTGTCCCACAACCTGTTGTCCAAAAAATACAACCGCTTATTAAACATTTTAAATAAGAATTTGCTAAACAAACTTGAAGTGTTGTTATTTAGTTTCAATTACCTCTCCACCGACTTTCTCTGTGATAACGCGAGTGCCGCCGATATCTATTTCAGCAACGTTAATGCCCTGTTCTCTAACAACATCACTCACATCATCCCGCTCGACGGCACCAGTCCTAACGTTGACGTTTGCCGCAGATTGCATGACTGAGGCAGGGCCGCCTCTCTGAGGCTCTCCAAGGACTTGGCTCTCAGCAGACTGCATGTTAGCAGCGTCTACTGGTGCAATCGGCTGGGAGGCGACATCGCCTCCGACATTAAACACATCGCCGTATTTGATTGGCTCCTGGTCGTATTGAGTTCTTCGTGGTTGCCCCTGGCTCATTTTTTACTTCTTCTCAAAACTCAAGCGGTGATTGCAGTGGCCACCTCTGTTACTGAAGAATTGCAATGACCAAGGAATACATAAATAGGTGACAGACAGGGATGAGACACGAGAGGGATGAGATCATGAGTACACGCGTTAGCAGTGGAAGACAATATTTTTCCAGGTGGCGGCTGGTTTGATGTCTTTATGTGGTGAGATCAAGTTTGTGACATTTGGCTTTCAAGATTACGGTGGTGGGTTCATAATCTCGGCACTTGTACCTGCTGCAAACGGTGATATGCAAAATGGTTAGCTACTCCCAAACTTCAAAGACTCAGATTCTGCTAACCTTTTAATTAATATTTGCATATATACATGGAGCGTAGTTAAACACTTCTCAATTTTATATTTGCAGATATACAAAAATGCAAATTAATAACGCTCATTGCCAAGATGAGAAACGATGCATAAACAACAAAATTTCACATTGACAATCAACATTAACATGTCCATTCAGGTGTAACACATACAAAATCATTATTAGTAATATTTTAAATAGAATTATCAATTTATCCATATACTAAAATAATAATTAATTATTATTTAAAAAATTTACCCGATATTATTATTTTACATTTTTCTTCTCAATAAATGCGCATCAATGCTTCTATTCGCAGTAAATATCATATTATTATAGGTTAGCTGATATATAATAAAATGAAGAATTGCTATCCTTAAGAGCTTCGACATGGCCAACTTCAAGCAATCAAGGGACTCCTTAAAGCTCCACTTCCATATGACAAAGACTTAATAAATTCAATACTTTCAAACAAGTCCAAAATGTTTGTAAAAGGAATTCTTTGTTTAACCTAATGCGAGTGCTAGACATCAAACTAACTAAAAAAAATTCAAAAAATATTTGGATTTTTTTTTCATGTAGCCAGAAATTTATTGGTTTAATTTAAATTAAATTGAATCAAAATAAAAATTGAATAGTTCTCAAATGAAGTCAGATCAAACTAATATTATACGAGTCAATTTAATTTAATTATTTGGGTTTAATTTTACTTATCTTTTTAAGATTTTGAACTATTTTTTAATTTTGTAAAAGTTAAAGAGCCAAAAGTTTCATTTTTATATTAAAAAATAAAATATATAAACTAAATTAGTTTAATTCATTGAGTGGGTTCAACAGAAACATCCTCACTCCTTCCAACTTGAGGTGATTACAACAGCTAATTATGGCTGTTTTGTTTCAGCATCCTCACTCCTTCGATTTTACATGCTGTTAGCGGTATAATTTAGCAAGCTTGGAGAGAGAAGACAAGATATTTGTCTTGAACAGCATTAATTAAAAAATATATATATATCTATATCATGTGATATGAAGTTCATCTTGCAGACGCCTGAAGATTTAATTAATCAAATAAGTTTCTAAATTATTATACACACGGAATACAAGTATATGACACCACATTCTACATATAAAGAGAGAGATTCTAAAGCTCCTTTTCGGATAAAAAAGGAAGGAAAAGCCAACTCCAATCAAAACACTGCAGGTCTCCTAGTTGATGCACGTAATTAATTACGTATTTCTGTTTCGATTCATCCTAGCCGCTGCTGCCATTGATGCCGTTACTCCTCCAGGGGTTGCATGCATGTCTGGCCTGTTCCTAACCTCTGCTTGAATCACTCTATCAGCATCTTCTCGCGTCACTGCTTTATCTGCTGGCAACTTCAAAGAAGCATCCTGCAAAAAATCACTCTCAAGAATCATCCATTCTTCTTCAGGATGGATTAAATGGTAATAGAGAAGGAAGATAAGAGAATATTTAAGAGCTTTACCTCCAGAACCTCAGAGAGGGTGATCTTGTCTCTGTCGCTTAGAGCCCTATTGCGTGTGGCAGCAGATTGGGCTTCTGCGCCTATTCCCCCAGGCAACACCTCGTTAATACCTGTTGCTCTTACCTCAGCAGCTTGAATAGCGGCTGCGTCGCTTTGCTCAACTGGTTTTTCACCTGCAGAGAGAGATGTTGCTTCCAAAGCCTCACCAATTGTGACTGCGTCGCGGTTAGCAATTGATCCCGGAGTTGTTCTTTCCGCCCTTGGCTCAATATATTGCGCCACCACCTGTAAGGCATGAAGTAAATAATAAAGGAGTAGTTGCAGTTTGAAGCTAGGTGTATAGATAATGCATGATCACTGATTGAACCTGTCCTGCTATTGTTTCAGTGATAACGCGATCACCGCCGGGACCATCACTTTCTGATACTTCGATTTGGTCGTCTCTAGCGACATTGCTGGCTTCATCAGGGTCAACGAAGCCTTCTCTCAAGTTGACATTCGCCGCAGATTGCATGGCGGAGGCAGGACCACCCCTCCGGGTCTCTCCGAGTACACGGTTTTCAGCAGCCTGCATGGTGGCTGCGTCTACAGGGGCAACGGGTGTGGAAGCAAGATTTCCATGGACATTGAAAATGTCGCCGTACGTGATGGGATCTCGATCTTGCTCTGTCTGGGTTTGTCTTGGTTGTTCTTGGCTCATTTTTACTGCCTTTAGGTTAACAAATTGTCTGTCATTTGCAACGGAAGCATATAAATATAGGTAGGAGAAATGAATAAAATATCCTGACATCAGGTGTCCGAGGTTAGTTTGACGCGTATTGACGATAAGGCTGACAAATTTTACAGGTAGCATGTTTGTGGGACATTTGGCAATGTAGTTAGTGTATAATTTGGGCAGCTGTACTAGGTAGATTGATACCTGGCCGCTCCTAGTTCCATGGGGGGCGAGGAACCTTTTCAGATAAACCAAACAATGAATAACATCATCGTGGTAATAAGATGACTCTGGTTTTTGTAGTTTTTGTATCGGGCTCAACTCCAGGCCCCTTTTTATTGGACTTTGGCCCAAACATGTTTTGCTGCACTTTGAAAGATTTGGATTCTCCTCACAGGCCCAAAATAATTTTGACGAGACTTGCAACTATACAATTCAAATAAATAAATTGATGTATTAATCACCTGTCAATTCAGAAACACAAAAATCCATAGGTGATATATAATATAGGATATGATATTTTGGCATTGCATATGACCCCGCATCAAATGTCCATCACGTCTAATCTTTATATGATCAAAAGGAAACAAAAAAAGAACTTTAATAGCGAAATTGTAATTCCATTTCCATGTAAATGTTCCCTCTATCGAAATGAAAAAGATGACCCCCAATCCCATCTGCAATATTAATGGTGCCACCAATCGTACCATCTGGTCCATAAAGCTTCATAACATTTAAATTCTTAATTCTCAATTGCAAGCAACAACGACAGCAAAGAAAGGATGTCAAATCTTAAATAATGAGGTTTTCTGAGCTTCAACTTTTGGCTTTTGGGTAGTGACGAATATTTTGCCACTGGTTCAAGGGACCCGAAGTTTAGCTTTATTGATTCTTTTGATCTATAGTTCTCCTTTCATTGTCCAGCAATGGAATCCGTCAGGATCAAAATCCAAATGCACGATGGTAAGCGATTTTAATTTTTGTTAAAACAAAAGTTCGCATTCAGAGAATAACAACGTAAAAGGAAATCCTTATCAATTTATCAAAACCACTTTCCTCAGTACTGAATAAAGATTGAAAAGGGAAAGTCGTAAAAGATGGTGGAACAGTTCATAACTGCATATCATCATTTGAGCAGACAATATAAAATGGGAGCATTTCAAAAGCATCTTTGTGAACAAGAATCAAACGTAGCGCTCATCAACTCTATCATGCACTATACATATGATATTCTCCACATCAAAAAATGATTTAGTGCGACGATGCTCTAAATTTTTGTACTGTTGGATCGGATCATTCAATTCCTGATCCTCCATTTATATGATAATTTGAAAAGTTTAGTTAGATTAACTAAGAACAATATCAAAATTAATAGCAAATATATTACGAATTTTGAACATTTACACATTACATTATTTGATTGTTCAAAAAGCATCAACGGCTAACAATCAAAATTAAAGCCAATGAGAATACATAAAACTAATTATTCTTATACTATAGCAGACGTATTCTCTTATTAAACCCATATATCACTCTACAAGAAACGGCCTTTTTCTTGCCATCATCACCAGTTCATCATCGTTCCAACACTCTTCTTCGTCATCTTTAATTAAATTCTCCAAATCCAACTCTTTCGGAACTGTGACAATCAACTGTCCACCCACACACTCCGCGCTCGCCATCTGTGGACACGTCGTTGCTGGAAGCCGGAATCTCCACGTGTCAATATCAGGCTCCTCCAGCCAAGAATCATTCAAACTGCTATTCGCTTCTCTTACTACAATTTTTGTCACTCCAGGTATTATCTCTATCACGTGAGCCTTAAATTCATCGGTTATGTTTCCGCTTCCATTGTCGGCAACAAAACGGAAACATTCAGGAGTTTCTTGGACGAAAACGTCGGCGTTGGAGTTGAAGGGAAGGTCGAGGATTTTGGCAAATACATGAGGGAGTCTTTTAAGCTTCTTTGTATATGGGTATGGGTTGACGGTGGTGGAAAAGGCGTCGACGCCGTTAAGTGAGGCGGTGAGATTTCGTTTTGCTTTCATTTTGGAGAATTGGAAGAATTGATAACAAGGACCAATCAAACTAAGAAACAATAAAGAATCAAAGAGAGCATTGGTTAATATATGCGAAACAAGAATCAGAATTAAAGATTTAAACCACAAGTTCCGTGAAGATGCAGGATGATTGTTGGGTAGCTGTTAATTTGAGAAAGAAGACAATAGAGGAAGGTTCGTGCTTCTTTTCTTCCAATGAAGCCAAAGCAAGGAAGAGTCTTATTCATAAACCGTCCTGCGAAAAATCCTGGTGAGTTGCTTTCAAGAAATTGGAATGCAAGTGCACAGCAAATGGCTATATATTAAATTAAAACAAAAGTTAACTTTAAAATGATTTCATTATATTATATTGGATTATTTGCGCACCAAGCTAAATATAAACCTGTGTTTCTTTCTTTCTCTTCCCACAAGCCTGAAGGGTCATTTGGTGGCATGAGAAAATGAGCATGGGAGGGGATTGCACAGAAATGATGAAAAGCACGGATACCCTTTATGATTGGCCGACAATATCACCGATGAGTCCCACTTTTTATTTTTTATTTATTTTTGAATATTAAGAGAATGAAATTCGAACTTGAATCTATTGTCAGGTTATATATGCAGTTACTACCAGAACATAGACAGTCCCATCTTTCATTAATTTATAAAATAAAATTGAATTGAATATTATAAAATAAATTTATTCTAATCAGTTAACCTAATTAATTTTAAATATTTTAGATGTAAAATGAATTGGATTACACGATATATAAAATAAAATCCAGACATCTTTCCGTTGAAATGAAATTTGATTTTTAAAATATCAAATCGAATTGATTCAAACCAAATCAATTTAGCTTTTCGTTATTTCTTATTAATGCTTACTACTCTATAAGTGAAGGTCAAATTTGCACGATAAAACATGTATCATCTTTTTGCCATGATCATTGCTTATTCAGAGTTTTAATCCTAGATTAAGAAATTAATTTAACTTTTAAAGTTAGAATAAATCAAATAAAGGATGTTGAAGCTCACGAGCATTAGGCCATTAACATATAGTCTGAGTTCTAATAACAATCTAATGTTAATTAATTTTGTGAAGCTAAACTCTAATTGATGGTCCAATATATATAGTCTTTAGTCATATCAAAATCAAGTGAAGGCCTCATCGCCCAAATAATGACAACTTGAAGCTGTCCCTCCCTATAACATATTAACGGACATATCTTAGCTCACAGTAACGTTACATTTTTCCAGACACGTGTCACGTTTGCCCCCCCTTACATTGAGTATATTAAGAAAGGAAAGCACTTAATATAACCACCTGTGTATTAAAGGACAAGTAACCGAAAATCAACCACCTATGTATTAAATTAAATCAATTAAAAAAATAAAATTTTAATTGCGACAATAATATTTTTCACTATTATCGGTCAAGCTTGTAAAGCGACATGATGCTCTTTCCTTAATGTTTTAAAGGAGTGTTAAACTTGAAATCTTTGGTTAAGGAATAAAGAATTATTATTTTATTTTACCGCTTGGATGATTAAAGATATAAATTTAATATTATATATAAAATGTTAACTCCTCATAATCTTCAAATAAAATTTTAAAAAATACAATCACTAATTTATTGTCTACTTTTAAATAAACTTATGTATTCTCAGTGCGTTGGATTATAAATTAAATAAACAAATAAATAATCGACACTTAAAAAATAATTGGCATAATCTGTGCTTTTCATTTTTCTAAAAAATAACCAAAAAAAAAAGATTTGTTTACACTTAATATATGAATCTACCCATAAATGACACAACCCATAAAGAATTTTTTTATACTTGTTAATGTTTTATTATTATTTTTTAAATAAATGATAAAAAATACTCTCATTATAATTAAAATTTTTTTTTAATGAAATTGGTTTCTAGTTTATTTAAAGCTGATAAATTCTCTACAATTGAAAATACTCTCATTTGAGTTAAAAAATTTTATTTCATCGGTTTAATGTAAGACTGTGTTCATACAGTGGATACAGGTAAGGAAATCTTCCTCTATTAAAATAGTTAACGGCGACACGACTGACACATTGGAATTGGGCGGTTGCGTTGGCATCTCTTTCGGCGTGCAGTCTTGGAGTTGAATCAAAAAGACAAGAGATGTTGTGATCGAACCTTTTCCTCCGCCTTTCAAATCCCCCAAGCAAAGAACCACAACCACTTTGGATATTTTTCCTCAACACAATATAAGAATATTTACTAAAATATTAAAAAATTGTTTGACGCATCTGTCCTTTTTAATCAACCGGTTACCCGTAACAGCAGGCAAAATCAGCGACCAATGACGTGGATGTATATGTATCTTTAATTTAAATTTTGTTTTACATTTTACATTAATTAAATTTAGTGTTTAATAAAGATATAGTGTTTATAAAATATTATTTCTTAAACAAAGAATTTATAAATTATAAAATTATTGTACTTATATATTTCTTAAATTTTATTAAATTAAATTTAAAATAATTTATATTTAGATAAAGTAAAAAAAAAAAATTAACATACCAAATTTTAATTTCATCCTTGAATTTAAAAATTACTAGCACTATTTCATTTCTCATTTAATCAATTTTTCTTTGCCTATTTGGAGTTTATGAATCATCTTTAGGAAGTAAAGAAATTTAGAAGTATATATTAAAAAAGACAATTAAAGCTTCATAATTATCAAACGCATTGTAATTAAAAAAAAAAATTCTAAGATTAAATAGCAATATTACTGATTTTTTGCACACTTCCTCCATGTTTTCGTTACTTTCCTTTGACGCCGCAACTCGCAAGTCAATTATCTGGGAAATTGAAAAAAAGTCGAGGGATAAGAAAGTCATTAACAGAGTCAAAGTCATACGTGTTATCCAAAATGTCATTCTCGTAAATATAGTAAATTCGAAGCCCACTCTCTTAATCACGCTCTGGTGCAAACTTCCTATTAAGGCTTTGTTTGGATGGTCACTAAGGTGAGAGAAAGGTAAAGTAAATAGGGGTTGATAATATTGCACTATTCTTTTTAAATTAAATTTTGAGAGATATTAAAACAAAATTTTTGATTAGGAATGAATATAAATAGGCAATTTAATATGTTTAATAAATAATAACGAAAAAATAAAAATTTTTAATCTTTTCGGCCCTCAATTTTATGAGTTATATTATAAAAAGGAAAATTTTCACTCCAAATTATCTGTCTAAACAAATTGATAATTTGAATTTCTTCTTAACGAGGGATCTACATACATGAAAAATAAATTTTTTATATATTTACTATCTCATTTTGTATTAAATTATTCAAAAAGCTCAATTTTATGAAAAATAAAATAAGATATATAATTTTTACTATTTTACTTAAAATATTTTAATATATTTTTCTTATTTTTTTTTGAAGGATTATTTTTTGTTGATTAAAGTATTAAACAGTATACTTATTTCATTTTAGTAATTGGCATTTTAATCATTTGGTGCAAAGTTCACCTTACCCTCAACAACTCTTCATCCAAACAATCCATTAGAAATGGGCAGTATCTGTACGACCTTTAAATCAAACTGTGGAGTCGTTTCAGATCCGTGGATTCTGCTTCTAACCTTACCTCTTTGGGGTCTCATTTTCATTTTCTTGTCCATTTCCATTTCCACTAAAAAAAAAAAAAAAAAAAATTTTTTCTTATTTTATTTTTTGACAGGATTAATTTTCTGTTGGAATTAACAGTATTAAACAGTATTAACTTATTTTCATTTTAGTAATTGGCATTACTTAATCATTTGGATGCCAAAGTTTCACCTTACCCTCAACAACTCTTCATTCCAAACAATCCATTAGAAATGTGGGCAGTATCTGTACGGGGACCTTTAAATCAAACTGTGGAAGTTCCGTTTCAGATCCCGTGGATTTCTGCTTCTAACCTTACCTCTTTGGCCGGTCTCATCTTTCATTTTACTTGTCCCATTTCCATTTACCACTAAAAAAAAAAAAAAAAAAAGCATCTTAGTCTAATTTCCAATTAATCAAGCTAATATTCAGTCTGCTCTGTTCTCTATAGTTTTTACGATCTTAGATCTTTCTTCAGTATCTTCAACATTCACTTCACTGTTCAAACATGTCTCGCACTAAGGGTAAGCCAATCTCCTCGACTCTGTAGAAGAAAGGATTGAATAAATGTTGGCCTTTTTTTTCCTATTGTAAAAAAAAAAAAAAAAAAATCTTAGTCTAATTTCCAATAATCAAGCTAATATTCAGTCTCTTGTTCTCTTAGTTTTTAGATCTTAGATCTTTCTCAGTTCTTCAACATCACTTCACTGTCAAACTGTCTCGCACTAAGGTAAGCAATCTCTGACTCTGTAGAAGAAAGGATTGATAAATTTGGCCTTTTTTTTCCTTTTCGCGCAATTTCTGATGGAATATATTGTGGTTTTACAGTTTAATGGAAGGATTCTTTTGATCTATGTTTCTGACGAGGAGATCTGGTCAGATTTTGAATCTAAAGAGTTTTTGTGGTTTAATCTTCATAAACTGGCTTTGAATACAAATCGGCTTTTGATTGTTTGGTTTATGCTTGATTTGGATTTATCATGGAGAAGATCTAGAAGCTAGAGTGAAATTTTACCACTAATCTAACCTTCAAGTTGCGACTTTTAGTTAGTCTTGGGATTTTTTTTTTGGTACTTACCATAAATCGAGCGTGTTGAGTAGTTGATTTGGTGATTATTGTCCTATGGAGACGCTTGTTGTAGTTGCACAACATAGAAATCAGTGCTATAGCAGAGTCAAGCCGTGCAGGCAGAGATTTGGGTCTGCACCTTCTAAGCACTTCGGAGGGATCAATTGCCGGGCTTTCCAATCTGGGGCAGGTATACTGCCAACCCCCGTTAAGCCTTCTACTCCTGTAACCAAAAGCGCTGCTTCTACCTTTATCTCCTCCTCTCTAAAAACACCTTCACCTACTATCAAGACCCAGTCAAGTTTTCGCTCTGTTGATAATATCCACGATGAGAATGCTTTGAAAAGCTCTCCAATTCCTATAAATATCCCTAGAAAGGAAACAACTTTCGATGATGACTTGGATTTTTCAGGTGAAAATTCACCATTTTCTGAGCTCTGGGCTGGACCTGCTTATTCAAATTCTCCACCGCCTAGTTCCTTGCCAATTCCCAAGTTTTCAATGAGGCCAAAAAGAACGGTATCACTGGAGTTGCATGCCTCTAATTCTGGTATCAAAGTGCATCCTATTGCCAAGTCCGCCCCTGCTTCCCCCACTAGGGAGCATAACCCATCTGCAAAAGACCTGTTTCTTAGTGTTGACTCTGCGACTAAGACTCTGCGTCGCATTCTTAATCTAGATGTGGCAGATGAGTAAAATTAAGGGGCTTTTGCGCCTGTAAATATTTTAGTTTTTGACTGTATATAGATGGAATAAAATTAGAGTGTCTTTTGAAGTTGCTGTAGCGTTTGGTGGTGGTGATGGTGATAATGGTGTTGTTGGCAAAAGTGACAGTTGTAGCTTTGGTGGATTGATAATCTTCCAGATTTATAATTGATAACTTGATTGGTGATGTGGAGTTGTATTTCAGTGATGGGAATTTCTTAGCAAGTCTGTCAAGATATGTACTGCTAAGATGGGGCGATTTACTTGTAGGTTGGGAAGTGTGACATGGATGGGCACTGACTGTAATACCTTCAGAGGCAGTAGGGAACCATTAACTATACTACTTCTTTGCAGTGGGATGGAACAGCTTGCTACTCTGTTCTATTGCCCTTAAAAGGAAACTACATCTTTCTTATGATGTCAAGTTCTCCATATAATGATATAATCTCCTCATAGAAAGTTTAGCCATTGAGTAAAAGTTAGGCCTGTAGTATCTGATTCAATGTATATACCGTTAAATCTTGTTCAGACTAATTTCACTCCAATCTTGTAGGTTTCTGTCTGGTTTCTGTAATATCACCTTGATTTCCTCTTAAAGCCCTTTTCTTTCTGTATTTTCTGACCTTGATTAGTGTGCTAGGTTCCTATTTCAGTGTTGCCAAAATTCCTAACGTTCTATCCTCTTGTAACTGCTTCACTCGTTTCTTCTTTGCCTGAATTGGCTTCTCAACAATCAACATCTACTCGTATACATATCATTTCTTTGTTTCTTTTAGGTAGGTCTTAACTACCCTTAAATAGCTCAGCATGGTTGTTGTTTCCTCTTTGCCATCTTTCCTGTTTTTTGAGAGGGAAAGTGGTAAGTGGAATTTAAAGTAGTTAGCCTCTTCTGCTTCTTGGGTTTGTAAGTCAAAATCCAATCCGTGTTGCTGTTCCTGTTGTAAGCCTATTAGTTTCTTGTTCTTTCTAGCGGAAATAGGTGTTCTCTTGGTCTTCTCAAAGCGTTTGCTAGAAATTATGACCATCCAAAGTTTTTTTTAAGGTAATGGTTTTCCTGTGTTTATATTCTACTTTTTATTGTCAACAAGGGTTTTGTTTTAAAGTATCAATTGATTGTTACTGATGCTTGTTGAACATGTGTCTTACAGGTTGCTGTAAGGGAAGATTTCAAGAGGTCGCTTATGTAGGACATGTTCGTGAGAGCATGATAGTAGTTGTCTTAAAATGTAAGTCTTATGAGGATCGATGTGCAGTTTGTGTCCAATAAAATCTGTCTGCTTGGTTTTCTGGTGTATCAGGAGTCATTTGAATAGTCTAGTTGATGTCTGATGTCTGATTGTGGAATTATGTCCTGTTTTAACAGGATCATTTTATGTCCAGACTCCAGACTGCAATACCAGTTTAATTATCTTGTACTTTTATTTAAGTTTATTAAATGGTTCATTATGGATGGATGAAACGAGCATTTTATTATTTGGTATTATACTATGGACAATGATGGGCTGTCTTGGATGGATGTGTTTGCAGCCAGTGTTTATGCCGCTTAATTTTCTTTGGATTGTACTAGCACTGAGTTCCAATTTGCAAAAATGGACATTGAAAATGGAGCTTGTTGCCTACTTTCCAAATACTTCGGTATGTTGCATATGAATGTACTTAGTTCGCTAGGATTAAAATCCTAGAGTTTTTGTTTAGCCCTTCCTTCCACGGATTTGAATGGGTTGGTTAGTTTGGTCTTTAGCTTTGGGATTGCTGTCCTTTGGTTCAAGTGTAACAAAGTTTTGAATTTACTGACTGGTTAAGTGTAGCTGGCTCTTGATCCTGTAATGATCTTACTTCTAGCTATTGTCCTGATCAACTCATTTGCTGTCTCTCATTTGGCTCGAACATGCTGCATGATGACATTTTCTAATTCAATGAATGCTTAAATTAATTACAGCCCTGTAGATTTTGGTTCTTCAGTTCACTTTTTTTGTCTTTGCACTGTCGATTAGGAGGCATTTTTAAAATTGAACAGTTGAGGTTATGATGAAAGAGAATCCTAAGGTTACTTGGATTTCGATTCTGTTCTGCAATGGGAATCGACTATGTTTGGTTTATCACATAGTAATATGCTTATTCTGCATTTGAAATTTCAGCGATCAGATTTATGAGTGTAATTAGCTAAGTTGCTAGAGGAAGTCTGATCATTCCTTGTAGGATGATTCTGTCCTACAAATTAGCGTTTGACGTTTGTTTAATCTTTGAAATTTGAACTGGGGCCGAGGTTCTCACTGAGTTCTGATGACTGCTCAAGCTTTGCACTCGTGCCATATGTTGTAAGCATGGAAGTCCCATACTTTGTAGATCGCTTTTTCATAGAACAGAAGCTTTATTTTCTTACATCGAAACCCGAAAGACTGTAGTTGGCTCATGGCCCAATCAGATATTTACTTGAAGCCAAACTACTAGTCGCTTTTAAGCATCGGAAAATCATCCGTCGGTTAAAAGGATCTTAACCAGAGAAATCATATATTGTCAAGGGTTCGAGAATCTGTCACGTACTCTTGCTTGTTCCTGTTTCTTGTCAACGCTGGTAACTATCTATTAACTCTACAGATGCAATTTTTGAATGTAGAAAATTATTATCTGCAAGTCGTTTGCCAGCTTTGTTTAGCAAAACTCTACTTTTAATTTCGTAATACCTTTACCGTAACTTGCTGCATCTATGGAAAATTTAACGTGTTTTCTTATCACCATCCTTCCCATAAATAAATAAATAAATAAAAAGAAAGAAACAAAAAGAGAACACTGATACTTCATATCAGACGGGTTAGAGATGGCGACGTCAGTTTTAGAACACTGACCCTATATAACATGGCTTTCCTTCTTTTCTTATTATCTGCCACGTAATGGTTGACACAAACCATCAACTAATTAAGATAAAAAGTTTTTTATCATTTATCTTTAAAATATAAGTAGAAAATATTAGCTTCAGTTGGTAGTATGATCACTGATCGAAAGTCTTTCTTTGCTTTCCATAATTATAAAATTTAATTGTCATATCATAATAATTATATATGGATTAAATTATAATTTTTTTGATGTAATGAATCAAAATTTGGGTTGATTTCAGTAAATAACAAAACCAAGTAATTGGTTTTAGTTTTTAAATTGCTTGGAGTAAAATCGAACCAAATCAACTATGAAGATGGGTAGATTGGTTCAGATTTGCCTAGCAAGATTTTCCTTCCTTCAATTTTTTCTTTTTCCTCTATCGCAATCATTAATATTTTTCTACCCGTCTTTCGTGCATTATGTGTATATATGTATCAAAGTTCCTAACTACTACTTATATTTAATTGTTTGCCTCGGTTTTAGATTTAGTCATCCAAGATCCAAAAAAATTGGCATGGGCAGAAAGGATAAGAAACACTCGTCAATATATCAAGGTTGAGAATCTTGATCCAATTTAATAATACAAGTGATGATTGCTGCATACAATCACAGCTACCAAAAAGGAAAAAAAAGTTTAGGCAAGTTCATCATTCACTGCAAGACCAAAAACTTCGGGTATAAGGGCAGAAGCTATCACATTAGTCATCATTTAAACAAATTCCACTCTACATATCTCATCCTCTCTTATCTCTATCTGCAGGTGAGAGGGTTAAAAAACAAAAGGAAAAAAAGATCTACTTAAATACTTTTGTTGTACATATTCATAGTTTTCTTCATCCAACCCAAGATTGGAAAAACTGAAAAGCTGAGAATTATGTTATAGCAAGATCTGGGTCTGCAAAAGGCTTTTTCAAGGAAGTTAGGAAACTTTTCCTTTAAATACCATCAAAATTCTCAATTCTCTACTTCATCTATCAGCATTTCTTGGTATCTGCATTCTCGACTGCAAAAGGCTTTTTCACCTCTGCATAATTGCAAAGTAAAAGAATTAGTCCAAGAATACTTATAATTTTTTTTTAATTCCAAGAAATAAAAGTAAAGGTTTGATAATTTCTTCCTGAAGGCCTAGTCTATCTGATTGAATGTATTAATGATATCAAACAAAGGGGGGAAGCCAAACCTGTAAATAAAAATGTCATTTTTCTGTTCAAGATTCTTCTTGCATGTGTAACAAAAGCTGAGGAAATTCTTTGGGGCAGAGTTGGACTTATCTGATGAGGAATAAAAATTATCCAAAACACAATTATCAAATATATGAGTAGTTCTTGGATTAGGACCATAAGAAATAACACATGTATAGTCTTCAGATAGCTCCATTTCACTCATAGATAGACTTCCTGTTAACACCTGAGGGAATCCTTTTGTTTGAGTACCAGAATTTGTAGAGCTAGACACTGAAAATTGAGAATTCTTGCTTTTAATTCCAAAATCAGCTGGGGATTTAGGCGACTTACTTAGAGAAAGAGTAAAGTTTACAACCTGAGGAATTTGGACTCTTATTTTGTTCCCAAACAAGACCATTCTGTTACTGGGTATAGAAAAAGACGCATTGTGCTCTTCATTGGATTTTTCTTCATCAATAAGAGCAATACCAATGCCTTTTGAGTCCAACTGGTCCCATGAGTGTTTGGTTTCAGAGGAATTTTTTGGGGATTTAGGTGGGTTTTTGTCATACCAAAATGGGTTTTTGGAAAGAGAGAACAGTTTAGTAGAGTCAAGGATTGAGGTAGGACTAATCGCAGGTTCAACTTCAGGAAAACACTTCAATGTGAAAGCTTTGAACTTCGAAGAACCAAAGAAAGATGGATCTTTTTTTGTTTGATTTTGGATTGGAGGTGATTGAGAGCTGTGATCAGCCATTAAAGCTTGTTTGCTGGTCACTGCTCTTGATCTATTCCTCAGCATAACTTCTTCTTATTGGATATAAGTAATTCTCACCACCTCAAATCACTGCCCAAGGGAAAAAGATAATTAGATACAGATTTAGGAAACCAAAAGGAAATTAAAGATTAAACGAAAATTTTATGAACTGACCTGAAATTGTTATAGTTAGACTATCCAAGAAATAAACGCAAATTACTGCTGGAAACTAAAATGTCTGCTAAATCTCTGTAGCCTCCATGACTGGAAACGAAAAACAAAAACTGGGTTTAATTTCTCTCGTGTTGATCTTTTCTTGTATTCCTTCAACAAGAAAAAGAATCAATTCTCCTCATAATAAACCCACATGCAAGCCAAAATAATCGGCAGCAATCATGAGGAACAACCCTGCCATTTAGAGAAAAAGGAACTAAATCTATGTGTACAAAAAACCAAGGAGTTTCAACCTTCAAGCAGAAATAGTTGAAACCTATTTTGCTAACCAACAAGAAAAAGGAAAAAGAGACGTTCGGAAAAGTTACAACTTCTTTGATTCTCTTTGCCAACTTATTTCGCTTTCTGTTAGTGGATTTTAAATCTTGCCAGTTTTTGATGTTCAGCTCTGATAAATTGACAAGAAGTTGCAAGTTTGCCAAAGGAAAGAAATACAGAGATAAAGATAGGAAGAACCTTGCTTCAGACTCCTTTTTAAAGAGAAACAGGATAAAAGAAATTCTAAAATACATACTGTTGCATTTGAAATTATTGCGTTCATTTCTTGTATTCATATGATACCTATCTATAATTTTTTATGCACCATGTCATTGTTAATAATTTAGTAATCAACCATCTCTATTATCATCCAAGCTAAGTATGTTTGAATTAATCTTTTCACCTGTATAAGAGATTTTAATTTCGAAAACTCTCGAACATAAAATTTTTATTAATTTAATGAGTAAAGGAATTACTCTCGTCGTGTGTCCAAAATATTCTTTCGGCTTATTCGATTTCTCAATAATAAATAAAAATTTAATCTTATTTTAAGATCGGTGGATGTCACTATCCACAAGTGCTTTTTAATAATTTAAATTTTTAATTTTACAAAAATTACTAACTCAATGTATCTTATTATTTGAACCCCTCCTTATAAATTTTTTAAAAAATATTAAAATATTAAAAAATTCATTTATTAAGAAATTAATTTACATTTATATGATTTGACTCTTAATGCTCCCTGTTAAATAATCTCATTCTTATCTTTATCACTTAAGTTGGGACACCTTTTTTTTTTTCAATAAAAGAATAGATTAGTGATATTTAAGAACTATTTTCTTTCTTTTTCATTTTGCTTCAATTAAAATAAATCCTTATATTATTAAATATATCTTTCAAAGAAATATACAATTACTTTGTTAAATAGAATACCCAACCATAGTATGGTGCGGTTGCATTTGAAATGCAGGTATTATAAATTCATATTAAAGTGTCGTTTTCTGTAATGTCGTTTGTGTCTTGGAATACAGTTTTACTATTCATTGCAATTTGTCGTGACCTTATAATTTTGCGGTGGTACCACTAAACGGTTATGCATGCAGAAAGAAACGCAGCAGTTGAGCATTGAGAAATTTGTTCATTGGGTGCATGCCTTTTCTTTTCTTCTTCTTCTTTTTTATGTATAACTGTACAATGTAGATATTATCGCTTTGGTTGTCCAACCTTCGTTCCCAAACCGCAACTGTCAACTTTTTCAGTGTTCTAATGGACAGTTCTGTCAATTATCTGCTCATGTCGTTTTCGTAATTCTTACCATCAAGTATCTAGTTAGGTTGCTAAATGCCAAATCTCAAATTACTTTTCAGGTTATATTATATTAATTTGTACCTCATTCTAAAAATATAAATGAAAATAAATTAACTTATCTTTCTAATAATTATTTTATAAATTACTTCCAAACATCTGGTTAATATGGTTTATTTGGTAAGTCATACTAATTTTTTTTTTTTTGGTATAAGGATATTCTTATTATCTGTTTAACGGTTAGATGAAATATTAATAAATAAATATTTCTTTATTTGAATAAAGAGTACAATAAAAAAATAAAATAAAGACGTTAAAGAAACTATCCACGGAATAAAACATAAATTTTAAATTTCAATGGCACCACGAGATTGCAATAAAGCTATTTTAGAGACCACGTGTAGATGTTGATGAAGCATTCATTGACATTGTCGGGTCGAATTGAAGGTTGGTGTATCCTCATGTCGTATTCTTATACTCGATTTAACATTTAGGTTAATGGTGTTGGAGACGTATGATAGTCTAATGTTGAATGGATGTACAGGAAACTTAAATGTGAATCCGTATTTGAATTTTCCTTTTCAATACTGAAATTGACATTATTTTAGGATTGATTTCACCAATCCTATCTCAATTTAGCTTTGTCCAAAATTTTAATTTATAAAAAAAAATTATTATTATTTATTTTTCTGCTTTTCAAGAAATGACATTGGAGCCAAACGGACAGAAATTTATTTCTGCATTCTCATTTTTGTCCTGCAATGATATGTAAGTCCTCCGAAAAAATGAAAACAGTGAAGGGGCTATTATTGGCTTCTGCAAACAACAGGTTTTGTCGTTGAGTCCGAGTTGCAGTTGAAGGTCTTTTTGTACTGTTCTCATGCACGCATTACGGATGCAGTGAAGGTGGTGGGCCTCTCGAAAGCAATGGCAGAAACCGGATATGGTTTCCTTCTGCTAACTTTACTACGGCTCTTCTCCTAACAAAAATAACTGCCCCTAAAATTAGTTTGTTATAAAAATTAGAATTTCCGGTTCGAAACCACTTCACCACAATATTAAATACGGTCCGTTTTAATTTAATAATTAATTAAATTTTTAAAAGACATTAATTGGACCGACTTAATTTATTGAATAGTCGAATTGAACCAAATCAAAAAATATTCTTATATTCAATTTTGAATAAAATAAAAAATATATTGATTTAAAAAGAATACAAACTTTTAATTGCACAATTAAACTTCTTTTAAATCTCTAAAAGGATATAGAGACGAGTTACAATTGATAAATATTAAAACAAAAAAAAGCTGTAAAAATAAGACAAAAGCATAAAAAAGAAACTAAAAATTAATTATGAAAAAAATTAAATATTTAATGCAAATTTAACAACTAAATTAAGTATTTACTAAACTCGAAAATGTCCATCCGGTTCCGGTCATAATAATAATAAAAAAAAAAAGTCGTTTGCGGTTGAACAACGTAATTTTGAAAATGTGGGGCAAATGGCTATTACCAATCGCAAGTTAATGGTGGGTCCACTTTAAAGCAGTGTCCTTTCCCTATTATTAACTTGTACTGATTGTTCACCACTTGCACTTAAATTTGGGGTCCATATGTCAGCATTAGGTAATGATTATTTTTACTAAATTTGGGTAAATTATTATTTAGTCCCTGTAATTCAGTTTTTTTATAAATGCATGAACGTGTTTTTTGTTTATTATTTTCATTGAAGTAATACTTCTTCTGTCAAAAAATACAAGCTTTTCCTGTTAAATATTTAATAAAAGGATCAAAATACTTTTATTTTTAATGTGTACTCTTTTTGTTATAACCATCCCTTATACTAAAACTCACAAACCACAAAAAAATAATGTATCAAATTTAAAATATTGATTATTTTATTAGTTTTGCTATAAGGAAGGATATTTTTATCATTTCACTCGGCATTTAATAATAAAAATACAAATTTTGGATAGAAGGATTTATTAGTTTAATAGGAGCAAACTACATTTCCATATTTATATATACTGAAAATATATAAATTAAATTATTGATTTCATTAAACTATAAGGACCCAATGGTAATTTATGCCCTAAAATTCCATTTCTACAGTATTGTTAATAAACAACAAATTTGTTTTAATGTTTAAATTTTTAAGTTGATTGAATTTTTTCAAAGTTAAATGATATTACTTGATATTCCATAAATATTTTTTTGTTGATTGCATATAAAAATTCATTTTTTATATGTCAAAATTAATATAATAATTTTTTATTTTTCACAAATATCTTGCATTATGCAAAAATCTCAAACCTGATATTTTATTATTAAAATCTCAAAATTTTGACTTCCTTTTGTTTTTTTGGTTTAGTGTATATATTTTTATACTTGAGCCAGAATTGGTTCTTAGATAAAGTCTTACTCTCCCTATTGTAAGCAAAATTCACCTAAAGATACAGTATATTTCTACAATTCTAATATATGGATACTTTTATCGGAAACCAATATAAATGAACAGGTGGAGAATATTTAGGAGCGTAAGACAACTCTCTCCAAGAAATTTCCCAAAATGATTTCACGTTTCTATAAAATATAAACATGAATCACATTTTTACTTTTGGCTAGAACTGAGTTATTATATAATAGGCTCATCTCATATACCAAATTAATTAAAAATTATTTTTTTGAATTAAATGATGATATTTCTAAAAAAAGATAAAATAATAATATTTTAGGATAAATTTTTTTTTTTTTTCAATTGGCTTATTCATCCATACATCGGGTGTAGGCAAAATTTATTCATAAACTAAATAAAATGTTTTCTTTAAATGACTTTATAAAGCGCTGTCTCGTATCAATATATTATATTTAAAATTATTATTTTATAAATTTGTTAGTGATGTGCTGAATAGCAATAAAAAATAATAATTCTCACGAAATTTTCAAAAAAAAAAAAAATCATAAATACCCCTCGTTGAGGACAAGAAATTTTTTTGTGATGGGCCAGTGGGCCTCCTGGATGTCCCTAAATGGTCGAATATTGATGATTGTAAATGGACCCATATGGATATCTTTTACTGTTTATACATGGCTTCAAGCTTAGCTAACTCCCTACTAATAATTGACATTCCTTGCAAATTGATAAGAACAAATTCCATTATTAAGTCTATTTTACATAATTATGGATTATTAATAAAAATAATAAATTTACTAATTATAAGCAAACAAGCAATTCTGTTAGCTGTTTTTCTTAAATAAATGTATTTTATTTAAAACTACTTGTATTATTTATAATATTTTTAATCCACGAATTCATACATTTGATGGTTTGAACTGTATGTAAAATTTATCACAGATCGAATATTTTAAATCAACAAAGCTAACTTAACTCGACGGGCATGTAACTCTACTGATTCACAAATAGTAAATAATGATTGTAATCAAATTCAAAGAAGTATAATAGAAGTTCAATGATGGCAAAAAAAAACTTTTCCTTTTCAATATAATAATGACTTCAAAGCGAGGGATGTGAATGATTCCCTATTACAAATCAAAGATTGACTCGTACAAATTTACTAGTAAAAAGGCTAATACATTTTCTTATTTGTAGATCTTCAATTTTCAATTTATGGGTAGTTGTCGTTTTATGTTGTTCCGATCGACTGAAAAAATTTGTCAACTTGCAATGAGTGATTTCCTGGTCTTAATCAATAAATAATCATTCTTTTACCGAAAATTTGGCAAAAGTGTTAAGTATGAAATAAAAATATCTGAATTAAAAAATAGAATTAAATCAATTTAATTCAAGTAATATGATTATATTATTTAAATTAATCTTTTTATCAATCATGCATCATTATATAGAAGTATGAGAAATAATGTTATTAGCGAAAAAAGTAATCATTGCAAAATTAAAAATTAAAGTACTTATCTTAAAACAAGGTATAATAGTTTCTTTTAAAATTGAATTTTTATTTCATTATAAAAATATTCTACCGACAGGGCATCTTATCCAGGATAGGTCTCATTGCCCTTTTAAAGCATAGGGTCAGTCCTTAAATTTGTAAGAAAGATGCCTTTATACAGTGGATAGACACAATCGTCTTTTCACATTGAAATGGGTAACGAAAGTTACCTTAAGATCAGCAGGTCACTAAGGTTAAGTTCAAAACCAGAACTGATTTTGAAATCAATTCAAACCCAACCAATTGAAATTATGACTAATCATTTTTCAAACTAGTTAAATAAAAAATTTTGGCCTCAAAAATCAATTGGAACTGGAGAAAAATTGATTGAAAAAACTCGTTGATTTTCAATAAACCAAAACACTGATTTGGTTCCAATACCCAAGTTAATCAGAATCACTGCTCTGGTTCAATTCGAATCGGTGGCCAATGGCTACTTCAACGATTTGTAGATCTGTTTCTCAAAAAACAAAAAAAGGAAAAAAATAAAACAATAAAATGCATCTACGGATCTACTCTGCGTAGGTTCAGGCACATATCGGCTTTCAAGTCTTAACAGCACAACTTGGTGGCTTGTGCCTTGTGGGCTTTTTTAGTGCCACGTGGTAAAACCCAAATGGAATATGCATAACAGAGGCAAATTAAATTTGTCACTTTCAGTAGGTTTATAAATGAAAAATGACCTCAGCATCTCCATCAACAAAGTGGAGATCCCTTTCATGGCGTATAATTCAACAATTAAGAGGGTATCAAGCAAATAATTCCAGCAAGTCCCAGTAGTAAAGTAATTTAAAGATACTATATAACTTGTTTATTAATGTCTCTGCAACTTTTTGATTTTGAACGATAAGATGTGATATGAGATGAGAATGCCGTTGGCACCTAGTAGGATGATACGTCCTCAGTAGAGTGAGTGACTACTTGTCCTTTATTGCAGAAACAGTGCAGAAATCCCCTTTTTTCTAAATTCTTTTAGCCAATTGGCAAGGCTTAATGAATTCAAAATCTAAAGTTGCTGCTGCAGATTATATCTATCATCAAGATGAGCCAACCTTTTTTAACAGTGCAAAAAAGGGGCTCAAGCAGATTAATATTCTGAAAGTGACGTTAAAAAACAAGAACTAATGAGTATAGAGACTTAAATTCAATATGGGCAATGATAAATAAAACAAATAAATGAGAACACCATTGTAATGATTTATGTTTCCTTCGTAGTAATCTCCACAAATATTCATGTATAATAAAACGACAGATTACAACAAAACCTAAGAAAGGGTGACCCAGTATACAATGCATCTTCCCCTAACTTTTTCAGAGAAGTTGTTTCCTTGACTTGAATTCATGACCTTTGAGTCACTAATGGAGTAACTTCATCTCTACACTAAAGCCACCCTCTACAAGAAAACCTAAAAGAACTACAAAAATAACTTAAGCTCAAATGGCTCAAAGAAGCAGCTGCACAGAAAGAGTTAATTCTTGTTGTTGAAACTGTCATTTTTTGACTTTCCGATCATTTCTACTTCTCTTTCTAAATTCTCTCTTTTCAGAGGAGTAATGCTTCTTAATTAATAAATTGCACAGTGCTGTTTTCACAGCTCCAGCAGCTGCTAAGAAAACCTTTTCCTCAATAGACACACTCCCCTGCAACTTCTCTAGCAATTTCTCTGCCCCAGGTACTTCATTATCTCCCAAAAGCACTAGCTCATTGTCAGCAGAATCTGTGTTGCTTTTCTTGAAACCAGAAAGTACTCTCACACGAGCCAAAGAGTTGTACTCAGAACCACTCAATTTAGAGACCCCAGTTACCATCCATAAAAATTCGGCATCAGAGCTGCTACCCAAGCCCGTAGGAATGAAGCTTTCCCCAGCGACGGAAACCACCTAAAAGAGTAACACCAGGGAATAGAAAATCCCTATCATTTTGTTAATATCACACGGGTAGTTGGGAACTCGGGATCCTTACCTTGACAACATTAAGAGTTTGGGAAGGAAGGTCACAACTCAGCAGCAGTATTCCTTGCAAACTAACATATAAAAAGTGCAATGTATAAAGACATTCAATTAAAAGACTGGCAACTCAATAAGGAAAAAGGACAAAAAAACAGATGCAGAGAGCTTAGAAACTTGCCTTTGAACGGCCACTGCAAAAAGATTCCCATCTGAGGTTGTGCATATGTCGGAGATAGCGAAACAGCTCTCATCACTTCCATTGGACTCTAAAAGCCCTGCCTTCATTAAGTCAAAATGAAAAATGTAAAATAGCCAACCAACAGCCAAGGCCACCTTATGTAAAACTGGAGCTCCTATTTTCTAAAACCAACCAGTTAATATCTGGTTGATCATTAATCTTGTTTGAGTTATGATAAAAACAACAGTCCACAACTTAGGGCTTTGTGCAAACAATCTGACCGATTATTCTACTTCAGAAATGGAAAACAAGAAAAATCCACTCCAAACTTATGTCGGCAAGATCAACATGGTAATTTTCTAATGGTAAATTCATATTTCCAGATTTGACTTAAATCCATCAATTGTGCAAGTAACAATTTTTGGGGAGCTATAGAAATTAGAAATTAAGAACCTCAAAGCAAGTAACAATATTTATGAAAAGACATACCTTAGCACCAACTTCACAAGTATCAAGAAGAGATCCAGAGATAATATCCCACAGGCGAACCTGCATATTGATGCCAATCAAATCTCAAAATTCAGTTTGCTCATCTAGGAAAATGAAGGCATCTAATGTAAATCATAATAAGTTGCTATCTTTGAGTGCTCACGGTTGAATCACCGCTGCCAGAAACAAGAAACCCCTGAGGGTAATCCACAGTGCGAATAAAGGCAAGGCAGGAGACAAACCTGTCAATTATGTACAGAAAGGGACAAACATCAATGTAGCTAATAGAAGGGAAAATTCAATTGCATTAGTTAAAAGGCATCAAACCAAATTCAAGACTAGCTAGCTAAAAAGCAAGCAGCCACTGGGTTTCAATTCTATTGTGCAATACTAACTTTGGGCCCCATTTCTAATTCCTTATAATGTGCACAAATAACACCATGATGCAAGGAAAAACTATAATCATAAAATTAAAACTCACTTACTCAGTATGACCAAGGCAAAAACTTTGAATCTCATGAGCTCCATCTAAGGGCTTCTTTGGAAACACAGTAACCTGTCATGAGAATAATATGACATAAGATCATACGAAACCAAGCTATGTCTCAATCAATTGGAGTTGCAAAGTGACTTACACGAATCTTAAAGTCCCGATCTGCACTAACAATAAACTGTCCATCCGATGAAAACTCCTGATCAAAGTACTTATTAATTCGAGGGAATTTGTTGGTGACACAATTGTATTTGGCAGAAACAAAGTCTAACCCTAGTTCCAAAAGAAAGAACTTGGCCAACATTAATGGAAGAAGATGAAATATAGCTAATTGAAAATAGCTCACCAGGCTAGTAATGATGCTGCAATAATGAGCAAGCAAGGGTGCTGCCTTCTTGTTCACTAAAGATTCATTTCCATCAAGGTCATGCAGATCCACAACCCAAACAACTCCAAATTTATCAGCAAAACAAACATACAACCCATCGTTGCTTATTGCAACCGCACTCACTCTTTTCTCTGCAGATCTGTTGCGTAAAACGATCAGGAATATCGCACTAAAAATAATTTTCACTTTCAGCTCATAAATTGGAAATTTAATCCATTTCTAAGAACCTGGCATTCATATCAAAGAGCAAAGATACAGATTTTTTGAAGCTACAATGAAATAACTCTATTTAGGTAACATTCAATACCAAAGCTAAACATGGTTAGCATTTCCTTTGCAGATTTATGACACTTTTGCCTAATCTAAATCGATCCATATGCCATAAAGGACAAAACTTTTAGAAAAGTCGATGCATTTCCATATGTACATTTCAAAGATACTAACAGCAAGTGCCCAAACAAACGAAATGGATAAAAAACTTCGACTAGGAGAACTCACACAGAACTAATGCAGCGCCAAGAATCGGTAGACCATATCTTAATAAGTTTATCGTCACCGGCTGATACCAGAAGCTTCCCGTTTGCACCATAGCGAATAGCTCTTATAGAATCCTTATGGAAAGGCTCAGCGGAATCATCCACCAAAGGTACCCCGGAACAGTCTCTAGCATGAAATTGCAGCCATACAATAAGCAAACGCGTTATTTAAATTACACTTAAAAATTCTCCAAATTGTCAATCTAATACTCGATTACTTCCTCAGTTCGATCGTGGGTACCAAAAGAAAGATTACAACAAGGGAAAAAAGGAACGTTGCTTACCGGAGGTCGAAGATGCGGAGATCCGACCCGACTGCTACTGCGACAGAATTTTGTGTCGGATGAACTGTAATTAAGGCCGGAGCCACCTCCATATCTCTGTTGTTTTCTCCTGCTTCAAAGTGAGTGTCCTCCATGCTCAACCGCCAACCAAGGAACGGTTTGTTTTAGGGTTTTATCGCAGATGAAGATTTGGAGGGCTTTTTTTATCCAAAAAAAAAAAAAAAAAAAAATTTTTTTTTATCGCAAAAAAAAAAAAAAAAAAAAAAAGAATTTTTTGAAGGGTTTAGTGCGCGAGATTTTCCGTGGCAATGTTTTGAATATATAAACTGGGCCTACTCTGGTGCTCTAGGAGTACTTAAGCCCATTATCTTAAAAAAAAAAAAAAAAAAAAGATTTGAAGGGTTTAGTGCGCGAGATTTTCGTGGCAATGTTTTGAATATATAAACTGGGCCTACTCTGGGCTCTAGGAGTTCACTTAAAGCCCATTATCTATTTTGGCCCCGACGAGATATAAAAATAGTAACCAATATGATATTGATTCGAGTACTTAATTAGCAAAAACATTGCATTTTATTGCAGGTAGATTAGTCTTTCAGAGAGAGAGGGCCATAGTATTAGTAGCATAGCAAGACTTGCTCGTAACAGTGCAAAGGTGAAGGTGGAAAAACCCTAGGGGCGGAGGGAGGGGGACTGGGGGAGCCTAAATGCCATAAAACTCCAAATTTTTTTAACAAATTTTCCCTATAAAAGAGCACAAAAAATTTTCCCTCTTTGATTTGATCTCCTTATTTTGGAATTTGACTCCGTGCTTGACCATCTACTTTGTAATTTGTATGATTCAAAATCATAGAACCTTTCAATTTGTATTAATGGGTATCAGCACCGAGTTGGGGTTTTGCAAAGCAAATGGAGGAGGAACAAAAGCACAGGAGAAACGTAGAATGTATAAGCCTCATTAGTAAAATTGTTGAACATAAATTCTTTTCAAAAAAAAAAAAAAAATTGTTGAACATAAATGGAACCAGTTGGCCAGCATACATTTGGCCCTACACCAAAAAGAAAGAAAATGAATAAATAGAAACTGACTGGCAAACAATTTGGTCACTTAAAATATCCAAAAAAGGAGGAACAAAAATGGGGAAAGAAAATGGTTCCTCGTCCTTCCTATTAGTAAAATTCCATGTATCATACGTTGGTTAAACTGCTTCAAGACCTCCAGTGCCCTCAGAATGGGAGTTTAATCCCCAACACCCTAACATCAACAGAAATCTCAAGGGCAAAGATTATGGCCTACAAACAAACAAGGAAGCCAAAGAGAAAAGTTACATTCCTCCTCGCAAAATAGGAGGGAAATCAATGCCTTGGCAACAGCATAATTTTCACAACAAAGCAACAAATCATGTAACATAAACCTAAATTCTCAGCTGTGTACATCCAAGTATTGTACCACGGCACCGAGTCATTGGAGCTGCCTGGCGCCAAGTTGGCCTCTCACCCCCAAATGTCAATATATCAACATCTGACATTGGCTTGATTTCCCAATTCCATCGGTCAGGGCCTATAACTCCTCCAATCACATAGATTTCATCTCCAAGCCCAATCATTGCAAATCCAATACGTTTCCGGAACTCAGATGCAGAAACCACAACCTTCCTCATTTTCCCCTCCAGTTTGCAAATCAGTCCATGGCTCATCACATATAAGGCCCCATGAACAACTGCCATTGGACCTTGAAGCCAACCATAATCCTCAACTGTCCATCCAGACGCTACATTGTCTAATACTTGCACCGTTGATAAGCCCTTGTGCAAGACATGCACCTTTCCCCCAATAACTACTCCAGAGCATGCTGAATTGTGAGTGCGATGAAGATCAGGAATTGGCATCCAGACATCTTTCTCTGGATCATACATTTCTGCTTGAGATATTGACTTTCGGCAGCTGGTGAAGCCACCTGCAACTACTATCTTCCCCTTTAAAACACAGCATGCAAACATTGCACGGGGAACAAGCATGGATGCACATGGAGCCCACTGTCGGATTACAGGGTCATACGACCAGACTTCATTGGTTGCAAAGCTTCCATCCTGGTCACCTGTCAATGGGTCTACAGCATCACTACCACCACCAAGCACAAATAGTTTTCCAGCAGTAGAGACGACACCAAAGTGGGCTAGGTGCCTGATCTTTGAGGGCAGCACAGGCAGAGTAATCCAAAGATCTCGAAGAGGATCGTACAGCTGCCACAAATTCTCTGGATCAAAAGCACACACGCATAGCAGCTCTTCTGCTGAACCAACCTCTTCCCGTGCTTTAAACAGCTCAGAACTATGTATGGCAGCTCGCCATGATCGAGAAACAAGCTCTAACTTGGGATGGAGGTAGAAGGGAACTCGTGCAATGCACCTAATAGCAATGGCGTCTGGAAGACCATCAATCAGCTCAGACATATTAATCACTGCTTCACTTTGTCTCAAATGAATTTTCACTTGTGAATAGTTGCTTTACTGATAGAAGTATTAGCATAGGCTATCTGGCACAACAGAATGAACAGGCATGGTTATGTGGCAAAACAAGTCACAGTTCTGGAATTTCAAAATCATTCTATCTGAATATCAACAAGAATGAAACTAGCAAACTTGTGCTCAGACAGAGCATTGAGAACACCCATCACTTCACTCCACACAATGACAAAAAGGAATGCCACAAACCAAACTCTTATTTAATCCATCTGAACCAGTCTTCTCCACTTATATTTCAAAACCTTAGATAAATCAATTAACTATACCTCTAGCTCCAAAAAGGAGGAGATAGAAACAGCACAGCAACACAAGTAATAATCAAAATCTGTATGTCAATGGACTTTATCTCTAATGCTCAAACTGCAAAAAATAACAATACTACAATCTCTTTATCCATATAATTCTCACAAGTGGAATTAAAGCTTCCTTTGGATTTATCCACAGTTTTGCCTTGTCTTGGAGAAAACTTTTTACAAGGACAACAATAAAGATCTTGCTGTATCAAATTTAGCTGATAGAATCTCAAAATAAGAAATAATCTCTTTGGTGGATTGTTGCATATATAGAAATTAGGATGATAGTACAGAATATCATGACCCAAGCAGAAACTGACAGCAGCATCTGGAAAGGACATGGATTAAAGAAACTCAAAGACTAACAGAAAATAGAGACAAAAAAGAGAATTTAACCTTTCTTAGGACTATACTTCCTTGTTTTAGAGATTGGAAATTTGAGAAGAGTTAACTTGACTTCTTTATGAGAACATTATGCAGCTATTTAAAGTATTATCATTTTGGGGGCACTCATGATAACAAAAAGTATATGTGCTGGAGATAATTTTGTTATGTAAAGTAGCATCTAGAATATTAGCTATGTTATTCCCTGGAGATATTGGAATTCTGCTATAAAACACTTCAGATACATATAAATTTTTTATGTCCCTTAAAAACATAAATCTATGTTCTTGAAGTTTTAATAAATGGAAACGAAAACCAATATTAAGCGCCATTAATTCAGTTGAAAACTCAATCAACATTTTTTTTCACCATTGATGTGACTCATATTTTGCAAAAATGTTCTTACAATCATGCCAGTAAAAGCACATAAATCTATTAGCTCATGTGATTTTTCACCAAATGGCTAAACATTAAAACAATCCTGGCAAATTAAACTAAAAAGAAAATGAATAGGGCTCAGATATCATCCCAAATTTCGTATTTTCTTTCAGAAGTAGTACCATTTGAAAATAGAAAAAAAAAGGTCAGCATAAACAATAGTGGCACAACCCTCATGCCCTATTCTTAACAATGTTCAGTCATCCAGAAATTTGAGGCAATTTACTTCCTTAATCTACCACTTTCTCAGAAATTCCAGAAAACAATCATTAGTATTTCTTCATCTCTTTAGAACTATCAAAAGTTCTCCAAGCACGGATAATAGGTAGTACATCAAGAATGTTTGCACACTATGGTTCTTTGGGAGATGGAAATAAGGAGGAAAGAAACTGGAGAGCAAAGGAAGGAAATTTTTTTTTTTTTTTCCTCATCCTGTTTGGTTACCATATATAGGGTGTAAACGAATATGATATAATTTTTGTTTACGCACTGTCAACACTGCTCTTTATTTACTAAGTAATGGGGTCAAACATGGAAAATCAATGTAAGTAGTAGGTTGGCTCCCACTAGTCCACCCAAATGGGCTGAATTGATTCCTTGCTAATGGAATGAAGCTTGGTTCTTCCCTCCTCTTTCTACACATTTCCTCCCAACCAAACATTTGGCAATCCATCCCTCTCCTTTCTTTCCACCCAAATTTCCTCCCAGCCAGACATTTTACTAAGGTATCAATGCAAGAATGAAGAAAAAGAATCATCTTTTTGTAGGTACATGGGATTGGTGAAGAAGATGAACCAGACTACACACTAGATTGCATGAAAGAAATGAAGGGGGAAAAGGTAGCAAAACCATACCCATACAAGCCACGTGTCTGAAGAACTACATTCTTCTTTTAGAAGTGCTGAAAGTATTGAAATCATTCGGATTCAAATACAATGCTGCCATTTGCTATGAATTACCAAGTAGATTCATTCATACACAAACAAAAATGGACTGATCACAGAAATTTAAGAGACAATATTGACACGAGTCTTCATAAGCCTTTAAGATAACAATTTAACTCAGGGACAAATCAGCACCCAACAACACAAATCTCAATTATGTGTTAACCTCATAACATAAACTCATAAATTTGACTGGGGAATGCCCAAAACCTCCCCAGCGAATGAATGTCTAGCGTCTAACACATGCAAATCGTCATTAAAACTCCTAAATTTCAAGCAAATTCAGACGCATTTCTGAACATTGAACACAAAAGAAAATTCTAGCAATTAATCTAGTCCTTTCAATTCATTACAAAATCAAAACGCAAAGGCACGAAATTGAAATCAAAACACCCAGAAAACTTAACCCACCCCCCCCCCCCCTTCCTGAAAACATTGAACCAAAAAGAAAATTCTTAAGCAATTAATCTAGTCCTTAAATTCATTACAAAATCAACGCAAAAGGCACGAAATTCGAAATCAAACACCCAGAAAACTTAACCCCCCCCCCCCCCCAAAACAAAGCCACGGAACAAAAACAAGCAAGCGGCAGTTTGTTAACTTCCAAAAGAAAACCCAGTTGGAATTCAGCACAAAAAAAATGATGGTGTTAAATAATTTCAAAAATCCAATCAAAATTCGAAGCAATTGTGCATCACAATTTCGTCTTTTAACTTATCACAGTTGGCTTAAACAGGAAGAAAGAGTCTAAAAGACACGCTTTACCTGAAAGTCAATAGGATTCGCGGGGTTGTGTCGCTTAGATTTGTAAACGCAAAGAAAGGGAGAGGAAGAGAGTAGCGTAGAATTGCCTGCGAGGAGAGAAAGAGAGTATTTTTGACAACTAACGAAAGAACAAGTTACAAAAACAAAGCTTAAACAGAGATGTTTGTTTCTTGATTTTTATGAATTTATTAAATTGATTTGTGAGCGTTAAGGAAAAGTCTTTGTATTTGTATTCGTAATCTCTTTGCTTTGCTTACCCTAAGATAGAATATTAAGGCAATTGGGATATTCCTTCCTCTTGCCCTTTACCTTCACTGCAATCTGCAACAATGGCATTTTCGTTAATTACCAAACTGTTCTTGGTCGACACGTTCACGGCACGTGGTTGAATTGCAGCACGACCACTTTTTGTTTTTTACGTTTTTCTTTAGCCAACGACTAAAGCTACTATGCTTGTTTTTTGCTCGCCGACATGTCGTTTAGGACAACACAGTCGCATTGAGCCGTACGATTTAAATTTCGGGGCGTCCTGCTCTCGCCACTAAAATTGCTTTGTGGCCCTGGCTAATGGCTATACTCAAACCTTTCAAATTCCTTCAATTCTCTTTTTCTTTTATTTGTTAATACTTTTGTTTCTTTATTATTTATCCATCTTTTAGCTAATATAATTTTTTCTAAATTCAATTATAGATTCCTAATTGTTAAAATTCTTTGAAGATATTCAATTAATTAATATCAAAGTATTGAATTATTACCTATAATTTTATATAAATAGAATAATAAAATTGAGTATTTGTGTATTTATATAAATTATATTCAAGCTACAAACATGTCAAAGATTTACATTGATGGTATGTAAATGTAGCTCGTTGATCAAATAACTAATCAGAGTTCATAGAACTCTTTGTAAGGCTTGTCATTATTATCAAATATTGTATTATATGTAATTTATAGAAATTTTTATTGACTTGAAAAGAGTGATACTTAAAATTTTAATGAGTTATGCATGGGCAATGCAATATATAAGTTTTCACATTAAATATATTTTCCCTTGAAAATAAGTAGCAAATAAAAAATCGTCAATATATGACATATTTAATTGTAATTAACTTTACATTTTATTTATTATTTTCACATTTATATAACAATTTTGGAATCAATTTAAAGTTTTTTGTCTTTTTTTTTTTTTTTTTTTTTTTTTTTTTTTTTTTGTCTTTTTTTTTTTTTTTTTTTTGTTTTTTTTGTTCTTTCCTAATGTCGTTCGTTCCATGTTTTCCACAGAGACCATAGAAAACGAAAACAAGTCATTCTAACAATAAAATGACAGCTTAGTCCCTCCAGTTTTGCTTAATTCAAAATCGTGTTTATCTGTCATCAATCATTTGAAAATTGCAATAATACCTTTGGCTGGTCGATAAATGCAATGTTGTGTGTTGATGGCTCCTTCTATGGTTTTTCTTTTCTTTTTTTTTTTTTTTTTTTTTTTTTTTTTATTTTTATTCCGCTGCAAATGTTTTGTTTTGCAGTATTGAAATTAGGAAATTTAACGGATATATATTAGAAAAAATCTATTTATAGATATATAATTAGCAAATTATTTTTATAATTTCCGGTAAAAAATATTATCACGATTTTATTGCAACAAAATCACTAATTTGACATTTACATTTAATTCCATTAAACTATTTACTTTTTGAAAGACACTGTTTTCGGTGTTAAATTTAAATAATCTTATTTAAATGAATAATTTTGCCGAAATGTAAAATGTGATTGTAATTTTAATTAAAATTTAAGGACTAAAAATTAACGCTAAGTGATTTTCAATTATAAGATGGTAAGGATTGATTGGTCAAACACTCCATAATAATGTATTCTTATTACTTGTCAAATCTATAAAATATAGAAAAAAAAAAGAAAAACTTGGTGGAAGCTTCTTCTCTCATATGATTGTTTCCAACTAAAGTTATTTGTATGGCTTTTGATTAGTTGTTGAATTGGAAGTGAGATATTGACTCTGTGCAAAACTTATTTCTTTTGAACTAACTAATAATTAATTATTATTATTATTATTATTATTTACATGAAAGTGCAAAGAGTATAATACCAAATCCAAAATGTTATAATTTCTGCAGAAGAATTATTACATTTATGTAAAAAAAAAAATACACACTCCGTGGTCTAAGAAATAGAGTCTGGAGCATGAAACGCAATAAAAAACAAGAAGAAGAGCAAAGAAAATGTAAAGTTAATGGAATTTCCATTTGATGTTCCATTATCTGCCGTTGGCCTACTCCTGGATCCACCTCCTACAACAACCATAGGACAACCTAAAATGACTACTAAAATTCAAAATAACTAATGAAAATTTAAAAATAATAATAATAAAAAAAATTGTACCTGAAGGAGAATTTGGTGTTCCTGATGGAGAAGCTGCAGGTGAAGACCCTATTCATACATCATTAATTATAAAAGTGAATTAACAATTTCCAGAAAAGGGTTAGTTAGAAAATAATGAAAATCGATCTTTCTTTTCTTTTTTACCATTGCAATTGCTAATGGGGGGAGTTTTGACATTGCAAGCATTAGGGAGAGCCAAAGCTTGAGTCTGATTAACATTGACACCAAGTGAGGAGGCTCCACCATTAAGGACCTGACATAGACACCGAGGCCGTGATCTTACCACAGTAGCTAGTTGTGTACAGCATTGGGAAGATGGAGTTGTTGAGTTTCCTGTTATGTAGTTTAGGCATGGAGACATGCTTATCAGCACATTTCTGCAACTTAATTGTGCATTAGCCCCTAACCAAAAAGTCGCAATTACCGCCAATGTGAGTATTATCTCCAATTCCTTCCTCCTAATTTCCATTGATTTGCAATTTCTGTATATTCTTTTAATTCTGATATTTTTAGAGATATGAGAAGGAAAGTGGATTTATAAAGGGAAGATTGTGAAGAAAAGAGTGGTAGCTGGGTAATATTGTTCACCAAGTTTCCCTGCTTTATATAACAAAATTTTCTGGTAAACAACTCACCTTTCAGAATTGATTATTATTTTCTTTTTGTATTAATAAAGTCATGCTTTTATGTCTTTCTCAAATATTCCCAACGCAGCAAAAAAGGAAAAAAAGAAACAGGTCATTAATTTTCAGTAATAAAGTAAGAATGGAATTAGCTTATTGTTCTTGCTACAAGTTTGCAAGTGATTCATCAGATACGGTTACAAGTGCATATAGCTGCAGATAATAGAACAAGAACCAAATCTTCACATGTAGTAAAGTTAGAATCTAATAATGACATTTGAAGCACATGAAGCAATGAAAATGACGAATATGGTGAGATGAAGTTGCATTCTTGAAACGCTTGCTGCAGATGTGCCTCTTGCTGTTGGGACTGTTTTAGAACCACCTCCTGTTTTTGCCCATAGAATTATATGTATGATCATTAAGATGCCATATTGGGAAAAAAAAATGAAGTTCGGAATTTTGGGTATGCCTGAAAATGTTTTTATCATAAATATACCTGCGGGAGTGACAGGCAATGATGGCGGCACTGGCGGCCCATTAGCAGTTTCAGGCGTATTAGGAGTTTCAGGCGTATCATCTGCTGGAAGACTTGCTGGAGAAATTGCTGGAGAAATTGCTGGACTGGCAGCTGATTCTAGACATACCCAAGTAAAACCAAAATAATTATATAAAATTTATTGTTCAAACCACACACACACACACACACACACACATATATATATACACCACACACAACACACACACTATATATATAGATATATATATATATATATATATATATATATATATATATATATATATATATATATATATATAACATGTAATGAAGCCTAATTAGTTGAGATACCATTGCACTGGCTAACTGGTGGTGTTTGCACTTTACAAGCTCCAGGGAGCGATAGAGCAAGGGTTTGGTTAATGGCAATGCCAAGTGATGAGCCACCACCATTAAGCAATGCACAAAGACACAGTGGCTGAGATTGAACTACATTAGCAAGTTGTGAACAACAGGAAGAAGATGGAGATGAACCATTTCCTGAGACATAGCTTAGGCATGGTGATAATCCCACGAGAGCTATAGTGCAGCCTGACTGAGCAGTTGCTCCATGACAAAGCATCATTACAAGGACTGCAAGTACACATAGGTTGGCCCCTTTTGATGCCATTTGGATGTTACTTGAACTTTTTACAGGAAATCAAAAAGGTTATAAGTATTTCCCGCACAGGGGAGTTCTGTGTTGTGAAATTGAGTAGAAAATGAAGATTAGTAGGATTTATAATTGAAGCTACTGAGGAAGAGAATCTATTAGTCCTATTTGGATGACCAACTTATATTAATTTGGTAGAAATACTGCAAGAAGCTCAACCATATTCTTGCTGCTTGAAAATCAAGTTTCTTATTATAGGAATAAACACATATATATACAAGTTATATTGTCAACTTGTTTGTTTTAACAACCCATTATTTTTTATTATATGAGCGATGAAGTTTTAGTTTGGCAGTCTACATCCAAGTCTGCATGATTGTTGGGTAGCCAAGTCCCTTTGAACTTTTGGATATTTTTTTTATTCTGATTTGAGTTCTGCAAATTAATCATATTTATTTTTATATATAAGATTAGATGAACATATGGCATAGATCAGATGGCTCACAAGTCATTCAAAGAGATAAATGTTCAATCAATTAAGTGCCTTTTACTGATAAAGCAAAAGTCTGCAACTGCAAGTGCCCAACAGATTAGTTTAAAAACTGCATAATTGACTGTCCAGATTTGTTTCCAATCTGCTAAAATATCCACAATATTGATTGGTTTGGAATTAAAAAGGAAGGACTTTGTTTAAGTTCATTTGGCATGGTGATATCTTGTAACATTATTTTGACCTTTTTAGCCTTGCAGAATCCCCATGTAATGTTTTATAGTGCTGAGCCAAAATTTTATATTTTAGTGGAGTTATCTTGTCTCATTCAAAAATGGTTTCACAGGCAAGCATCACATCTGCTATGCTGTTTTCATAACCATCTAGAAATTTTCAATTGACTTGTTTTTCTTTTATTTTTGCATCTTTTAGTAAGTCGCTGCCAATGATTCTTCAGTTACAGTTATTTTCTGCTTCGAAATTGCATTACTGTTACTGTTATTTTGTAAATTTTTTCATTTTTTTTATGTTCTTGATTACTGTTATTTTGTTCTTTAAAGAGAAGAACTGAAGAAAGATGGAAAGATGGAAAAATGATTTTTACAAGAGGACAAAAATCATCTTATTTTTCATTAAGCAAACCAAACAAATAATAGTAATACAATCACAGTCTTGCTAGTATAAGCAAGAATCATCTTTTAAGACGCTAAATGAAAATTGTAAAATCATAATCAATATACTAGAACGGGCTAAAATATCACTCTGGAAGATCAACACTCAGAATTTAGAGCAGATGAGATGGAAGAACATGAAATGGAGGGATTCATTCAGCCACGAAATTTCAAAATCTCATGGCATTTGCCGCAAGTGAAGCACTCAGAATCATGAATAAAGAGAGATGAAGTTGCATTCTTGTGATGGTTGCATCTGAAGTGCCTGCTGCTGGGACTCTCTTGGACCCACCTCCTGCATTAACTCAAGAAAACGTAAGGAATTTTGAATGGTTTGTGAATCAGGACTGCAAATTCGAAACTTTGAAGTATTACCTGCAGGAATAGTAGGCATTGATGATGTATTTGGAGTAGATGGTGTATCATCTGAAGAATCTGCTGGAGGACTTAATGGTGAGGCTGCTGGACCATTGTCTATATTCAAGAGCAAAAATAAGTCAGACCACAAAAGATACATAAAAATTATTGTTTCTAACTGGTCATAATATTATAAAAAGAGTGTATCCGGCGTTTCTGATGAGAAAAATACTAATGAAACTGTTGATTAAAGTTTGTTTTTCTAGTGAATTTCATACGTTACTGTCATAAAAACTTTGAAACAGATTGATTGTTGATGTACCATTGCACCGGCTAGCGGGGGGAGTTTGCACATTGCAAGCTCCAGGGAGCGATAAAGCAAGGGTTTGGTTAATACTAATTCCTACTGATGAGCCACCACCATTAAGCAATGCACAAAGACATTGTGGCTGAGATTGAACAACGTTAGCGAGCTGCGAGCAGCAAGAAGACGAAGGGGTTGAGGAATTGCCACTAACATAGTTAAGGCATGGAGATAAGCCCATAAGGACCCTGGTGCAGCCTGATTGAGCAGTAACTCCATTAAAAAGCATCAACACAAGAACCATAAATACACCTATCTCAATCCCTTTTGAAGTCATCTTTATTGCTGAAGATTGTAGCAGAAAAGAAAGGGTATAAGTAGTTGTCTGCAGTTAACACACAAGAGACCTGTTTTGATTTTTTGGGATTGAGTATAAAAGTGAAAACTAGTTGAATTTATAGTTGGTGCTAAAATGGAAGAGAATCAATTAGTTGCATTTGGATGGCCAACTTTATCTAAATGGGGAGTTATTTAGTAGAAGCTTAACCATTTCCTCCACTTGGAAAGTTAAGGTCTTTAATAAATGCATACAAATTGGGTTTCTATACTTACCGAATCGATTTGTTTTAACAACCCAACCCATAAAATATTTTTCATATAAGGATATGTGGCAATGTATAACTAGTTGGGAGACCAACTCTTTTTCAAACTTGGATTATCGTTACTAATTGACCAAAATAACAGATCTTCCATCCTCATATATATATATCTATATCTATATATAAATATATATACACAGTACAGAGGTTCAGTTGCAGATTTAACAACTTTTTTATTGGAACAAAGACCATTAACAATACTATATGGTTCTTTCGAAAAACATCTAACCCAATGATTCTCAGGAGATAGGTTTAATTATTTCTAGGGTTAGTTTATACTACTTGCAAAATTTATATTTTCTGTGCAAAAACTGATTTCTTTTGTGTGTACTGTGGACAAACAATAAATATCAGTGGCAGCAAATTTGAGTTGCACAAAAGATGGAGTGAAGGACGAGAAAGGAAAGTTTTGAGCTACATGGATTGTAGTTTTTGTGTTTCTGATTTTTGGAAATCAAGAATAATCCTCTCTACAAAAAAGCAGGGGAAGAAAGTATACATCAACCTCAACAACAACTAAACCATAGTCCCAAACTGACTGGTTGGGATGGTCTGCATGAATCCTTTGTTTCCAATATCTGTTCTGATCAATACCAATACAAAGTAAAGTTCAGGCAGGAAAAGAAAATTTTAAATACTTTTTGTAGATGCTTGGTGCTGTGTGTCGCCTAAAAAAAAGAATAATCTTCTCTCTGTCACTTTTGAACTAGGAGGAGAACTTTTCTTTCTTCTGTAGAAGACAGTGAATATGGAAACTTTTCTATCATTTGCAGATGGGAGAAAAACTTTTCTTTGTCTTTGAGGAAACTTTTCCGTCGTTCTTGTTTTAGTTTTAAAATTTTGGGCAGAATATATATGGAATCTGCATTTAGCTTATCAATTAGCATAAATTAATTTTTGTATTATTATCAAGTTCCATAGGAATTGGAATCCCATCTCAACTTGATAAATATGTCGAATTCATTATCTTCTTTAGTTCACTGTATATGCTTCACAGTTCCTTTTATGTACGTTCTCTGTTACTATTCTGTTTCTTTCTTTTGTTGTTTAACATCAAGGAGGAAGAGGAGCGGATTTGAAGATTAAAAAACAGTTCTTGTCCATGAAAGTACCAACCATCAAGATCTCTTTATTTATCAAACACAACTAAACAAATAATAATACAATCACACTCACTCCGAGTAACAGAAGCAAGAGTCAATCATCTTTTAACAGACAAATACAAAATCGGAGAAAAGAATCAAATTTAACAAGCCACAAATTCCCCTTCGAGATTCCGGTTCAGAATTTGGAAAAAGCTGAACCACACCACAAAATGAAGAAAGCAAAGAGCATAAGATGAATGGGTGCTTTTCTGATACTTCCATCTGATGTTCCATTTGTTGATGGTACTGTTTTTGACCCACTTCCTGCATTTACCAAAAATAAATAAATAAAATATCCTCAAAATGAAACCTCTATTCGTTTATAATTTCTAATAAAATACCTGAAGAAGAAGAAGGAACATTTGATGTTGTTGGAGTAATGGCAGGCTCAGGCGTTTCATTGGGTGAACCTGATGGAGAAGCGGCTGGAGAAGTTGCAGAAGTGGTGGGTGAGGGTGAAGCTGCTGAAGTGGCAGGCGGAGCAGCTGATGTGGCAGGCGCATTAGCAGCTGTTTGACCAAAGTCACATAGTGAGCATATATATAGATATCATTATTTCCATAATTAAAGTAGATTTATTTAGAATTACTCTTACCTTTACACTGGCTAATTGGTGGGGTTTGCACTTTACAAGCACCGGGCAGTGAAAGAGCCTGAGTTTGGTTTATGTTAATGCCTAGGGAAGGAATGCTGTTATTGAGGAGTGAGCAAATGCACTGCGGTGAGGATTGGACCACACTGGCTAGCTGCGAGCAGCAAGAAGATGATGGAGTCGTTGTATTTCCTGTAACATAGTTGAGGCAAGGGGCTAGGCTTGTGAGCACATTGCTGCAGCCGGACTGAGCCATAGCTCCACCATATAGCATGCCCACAAGCACCAGAACTAGACCAATGTGAATCCCTTTTGAAGCCATTTGACGGTTTCTGAAATTTTTTGGTGATGTTAAAATGTTTGGTTGGAATTTGAAGGTTGGATGTTGAGTGAGAGGCAAGAAAAGGAAATGGGTTTATATAGGAATTCTCCTAAGATAAAGACAAGTGTGTTGGTATATTTAGATGACCTACCTTGACTAAACTAAGAGTAGTTTGATAACTAAGCGCCTATGGACGTAAAGCTTTTCAATTTATCATATTAAACTTACACGTTGATTTGCATTATATACATAGAGGAATTCAAAATAGGGTTTGGGGCATTACAATGTAATAACTCTTTCCAGAATTCCTAATTATTTAGGAAATTTATTTAGTAAAAAAATTATATGATTAGATTTTGAGAGAGTAATTAGCATTAATATATCTGAGGATGACAAATCCCAAGCTAATGGCTTGCCTAACATATACCTAACTTGAATTCCTGAGGATTCCTTCAGCTTTGCAAGTGGTTAAAGCAGTTGAACTCCACAGTCCATTTCAAATCTACCAGTTCTTTCCCTCCAAGTAATTTTTTGAACCCTGAAAAGCTATAAAATGCTTTAATTTTCTTATCCCTGTCAAGCTCTACAATCATTTTTGTTTTCTAGATAAGGGAGGCAAGAAATAGAAGAGATGAAGATTCTCCAATTAACTGCTATAATATGGACTCTTCTAGTGATTTCAGCTAAAGGGCAAATTAGCACGCCATGCACAGGCTCAATGCTCAGCAGCTTCACACCATGCATAAATTTCGTTACGGGAAGCAGCGGCAGCGGCGGATCCCCAAGTGCCAGCTGCTGCAATTCAATGGCATCAATGATGAGCACTAGTGTAGATTGTACTTGTCTAATAATAACAGCTAGTGTCCCTCTTCAACTTCCGATTAACCCTATACTAGCAATCACTCTCCCTCAAGCATGCAAGATGAGTGGTGTGCCATTACAGTGCAAAGGTTTGTCGCTTATATGGGGTAAATATTTTCACATTCTGTCGGCATTGTTAAATATTCTGATGATGTTTGCGTTTTGTCTTGCAGCTTCTGGCTCTCCTCTACCAGCTCCAGGTACTGCAGAACCGTTAAAGACTCAATAGATCCTTTACCATTCTTTTAGTTATCAAAATCTTATATAGATTCTTCTTGGAATTTTAATTTTTGTACATTGGCAGGTCCTGTGTTGCTAGGTCCCACTCTTCCACCCCCAGCTCTTGCTCCTCTCAGTCCACGAGGTAAAATCTGCATTTTACGTTTTATATTTTTCTACTTTTTTTTTTTCTGTATATATATTAACATTTATTTATGAGGTTTCGACCTGGCAGCTTCGAAAGCAGTAGTTCAGGCTCCGCCACCACAATCAGAAGCCTTTCTTCCACTGACACCTGCATACCCACCAGAGACAACAGCAGTTCCCCCGACAACTACAGGAATTCGACCAGTGCTGAACCCCGCTGCATCCATGTCATCTCACATTTCCCCATCAATCTCCCTACTTGCATTCACAGCAATCATGGTTTTGAAATGCAATTAAATTTGACCCTCACCTGCGTTTCATTTTGCTCTGACTGTTCGCTTCCCTTTTATGATGTGATTAATTTTGCTCTGGGTTTGAGTTGAATGTGATGAAATCAGCTTAATGTAATGTAACGAAATGGGAAAAAAAAAAAAATGAAGCAACAATTTAGAGATGAAAACAAGGGGAATAATGTATATCACATTTGACAATGCAAAATCATTTGATTGGTTGTTTGAAATCTTGTGAAGAGGTACTGTAATCCTAAGCATTAACCAAGCTATTGGCTACAATGTCTAAGCAGTCATGAAGAATCAATCCGATTACAGATCCATAGCATGATTCCAATTGAAGCGACCACCCAAATGCTACCCAAACTAAGACTAGCATACAACCATCACACAAATTTGAAACAATAATGCATAACCATTAGAACCTGACAATACATAAAGGAAAATCATTGTCTTGAGTATAAGAACACTTGAGAAGAAAAACAGCAGAATGGTAAGACTTGGCTAGAACTTTGATACTTAGGCTGTAGGTGCACCACCAGTATCCTTGACAGATTCTCGCCAGGCATATTCCCTTGCACCATCTTTATCAACAATTTTGATCACGAAATTTGGAGGAGCCACAACCAATCTTGATCGAATCTCCATAATGCATTTGTCCACCAAATCAATTGCTTCTTCCACTGTCATTCCACTGTGGTAGTGTCGATCCATCATTGAAAGAGAAAAATATGATCCATAACCAAATGCTCCCTTATCAATCTTATGAAGAGTGGCAATATAGTCAATGTAGTATAGAGATGGTCCTGTCTCTTTGTCATAACCCGCCAGAAGAATGTTAACGAAGTATGGATTCTGGAAAACCAAAATTCAAAGATGCATGTTAAATGTTGAGTATAAGTTAAATGCTTTCTAATTCACGAAACCCCGTCAAACTAATCAATAGCTGAGAAAGCAGGTTTGTCAAGTTTCAAATATTAATTTTTCTTTTTTTGATTTTTTCCTTTTGTCAATATAAACTGTGCAACAGTGCAACTACAAGTATCAAACAACTCTAAAAGAATTATGATGGTAACACCAATCTTCAATCAGATGTAGGAGAAGGTCTTGGCCAATTACTGTAACACACTCACTTTTCCCATCCTGTTTTTACCTAACATACCAAATTACAGCATACAAGAGAAGCTAAAAGAGATAAAAGAATGTTCCACCAGACTGGAAAGGAAACATAATACTAGAACTATATATCACAATCTATAATTTGCTTAGTGGTAATTCTCTGACACTTGTTTTTACCTAACATACCAAATTACAGCATCCAAGAGAAGCTAAAAGAGATAAAAGAATGTTCCACCAGACTGGAAGGGAAACATAATACTAGAACTGTATATCATAATCTATAATTTGCTTAGTCACAAAAATGCAAGTGTAGTCTTTATTACATCCTATTATCAATTCCAGAAAGACAAGATTTCAGCAAGAATCTGTAAAGGTTTGCTGAAAATTTTTCACAACTTTATACCCCTTCTGTTTGATGCCTAAGGAAATCCAGAACAGAAATTGTTACATATTATGTAATGTGATTCCTAGAAAAATGAAAATCTCAACTATAACAAATAATGGAAAATTCTTTCCTGGTACTTTCTTCTTCTCTCACTGAGGTTCAAGCAACACTTGGGTACAAGTTACCCATTCTAAGATTTGAACTTTTTTTACCTAAACTCTCAAGCACCTGCTTGATTATCTCATGAAAATCACACAGCCTCAGCCCAGATGTCTACTAGTGATATCAATAAACCCCGACTCAAATGAGACCAAAGGAAAAAGGTTGATGCCACTGTCCCATGGGATGGGATGGGATTCAATTTTCACAATCTACACTTAAATTCTCAAATCTCAATGCTAGTATAGTGCCTCCACAATGGCTAATAATATCACGTGCTGGATTCAAACAACTCAAATAACCAGTTGATAATCTAAGCTCATCTTGTTTGATATTGATATTCTCAATCAAGGGGCAGATTCAAATCATTGACCATTTGTCAAGCATAAAGTAATAAATAAAAAGATGAAAAAAAAAAAAATAATAATCACAAGTAAAATTGTGATATAATTGATACCCTTCCAAATCCCTAAACCTCAACATCCTAATTATAACCACAACAGCAAATAAATAACATAAACTGGCATTTAAACAATAAAAAAAAAAAATACCTTACGAAGGGCCGTGGCGAGTTCACCTCGAGTGAAATTCGCAGCGGCGGCAGTCGTCAATGGAATTCCGTTGCGGAACTGATACAAAGCCACGTTCTTCTGTATGTATTCCGTGAACTGAACTCTGTAAAACAAAAATTAAACAAAAATTAACAGAAAGAAAAAAAAACACATGTAAAAGCAACCATTAGAGAAGATAGAGAAAGACCTATCACCGCTTTCGCCGCTAGCTCCGAGGAGTTTATGAGAGTCGAGTACCATGATCTTATCCTCGTTTGATTTATGAACCAAAATACTGTTTACGGCTGAGGTATCGGCCACTACCAGAGCGAATCCGTCTCCTACTAATCCAAACACGCACTCCATTTCTTTCTCCTTTTCTTTCTCTGTATCAGACGCGAACTGGAAATCTTTAGTTAAAGAAAAGCGAAGAAGCGACTTGACAGACAAGAAAGACTCGGCTCTCAATTTCAACAAGGCCCATGGGCCATATTAAACTTAACGGCCCACTTAGATTTTACATCAGACTGACATGATTTATGCACTCTTACAACTAATCGGTGAAAAGTCAAGAATAACCTAAGGCCATGCAAGAGAGTGTTTTCACACTATTTCTATTATTAATAATATTCAATAACATAATATTTACGTTAATGTTTAAAATTTGAGCTACAGATTATGACTATTAAAACAGTTAATTTTGCTTAACATGTTTTAAAATATGAGTAACAAAATCGATAATTTATTTAATGGTACACATAAAATTTGATAAACAATAGTTTGTTAGGGTCAAAAAATGATAATCCATATGATTTAAAAGCAGTAAATTGTTTTTCTATATTAATTTATTTTTCGAAAACATAACAATATAGGGACACAATATTCCGATTCTTTCTCCATTTAATTTTCTAGTAAGAAACGAAAAAAAAGTCGCACCATTGATGAACCCATGTTTTAAGCAAACACCAATTAATCCATTCCTATAAATTACCCATTCCTATCCTATCTATCAAAAGTCGCAAACTAAATTAGAAAATGGGTAAAAAATTGGTTTCAACCTTTATGATATGCATAATCATCGTAGGTGTGATATTGCAGCCGTCGGACGCTGCCCCTAAGAACCCAAGTGAGAAATATAAAGCATGTTTCAATAACTGCGTGGCAGATTGCAAAAAATTTGAAGGTGGCGGTGAGACCTTCTGTGAGATGAAATGCGACTCCGATTGCACTGCTAAAGAGGAAGCAGGTAAGTAATTGTATATGCCATTAATGTTGTTTAATTATTTTTATAAGTTTTATTTGTTTATTTTCATTGTTATTTTGTAGATGATTTGAATATTAAGTTGCCTTGATCTTGAAATGAAGAGATATATATGGAGGAAGAAAAAGATTGCAATATACAAGTGAAGAGTAGAGGAAAATAATGGACGGATTGTAATAAAATTACTTCATTATTGTACCATTTCATTTCTCTTGTTTTCTATATAAAGCTTTTTGAGAATTTCTTGAATCATTTTTCATTCTGAACTTGTAATCATGATCTTCTTTATCTAAATGGTTTGATTTACATATTATGGTTTGATCTTATAGCTATAAATTGTAATATTTTTCTTTTCCCTCATAATTATATAATATACTTTTTAATTATATATTGATTTTAGGAATGAGGATAAGAACCGATGGACTTTTGAATTAAGTATGATGGACTTTTGAATTAAGTATTATGCGGTAAGAATTAAGAAATTAAAAATTTAAGTTTCAATTGAATTCTAATTAAATAAAAATAAAAATAAAGTATAAATTATTCATATAAAAAGAAAGAAATTTCAGCAATTGGATGAACTCAACATTATTAGCATTCCAAAATTTGTTTAAAATATTTATTATTGTTAAATTAATTTTTGAATCATTTGCTCCAACTTAAATTAATAAATTTTTATCTAAATATTTCTTTTTCTTTTCTTTGAAGAAAAGAAATAAATAAAGAAAGAGTTATAATACTTCTTGTGTGAAACTTTCATATTATAACTAGGTGAAAGTCCGCAGGGTTGATTTGATAGTTTATAATTCATATATACATATTAAATTTTTATTTTTTTAGCAATTTACTTTATTGTTAGATATTTTATTTTATAAATTGTATTTAATATATTAGTATATAAAAGATTTATTTTTGCCGTGGTTACTTTATTAAATTATCGTGTCATAGAAATTTAATAAATTCTCATGTTATAGAAATTGCAATGTGAATAATGTCTATATTTTAGTTAAAGTTTATAATTCAAACAATATCTTATTAGATAAATTTTTAAGATTCAAATCATTCAATATAGATAACATATAAGTAAATAATATTTATTATTTAATTGTTTAACAATAAAATATAATTTAATTATTTATATTGAATATCAATTCCATGAAATATAGAAAAACAAAGAAAAAATTAAAAATTCTTATACTAATATATATTAATCTCAAATAAAAAATAATTTAGTTCAAACTTGACATACAGAACTTAAGTGATTTTAAAAATTGAGCTAAGTAGAGAGATATAGATAATCAATAATTTAAAGTTTTTCAAAGTCTAATTATCTTGAAGAAATCTAAAATTTCTAATAAAAAACTAAAGAGATATATAAAAATTTGAAAAATGAAATAGAGATATTGATAAAAGGAAAGAAAAAATCAAAAATTTTTAAAAGATAAATATTATATACATAACTTTTCATTACGACTCTTTAATATGTGAAAAAATAACTTATAAATTTAATCTAAAAATTTAGTCAAATTATTATTCCTATTCTTTAATTAATATATAAAAAATAGTTTTTAATGTTTGGGTACCTTCTTTTATTTAGTTATTAATGTCACTTTGTTTTTGCTATAAAAATATAAGGTTGAGTCAATAAAATAAGTTTTCAATTAAAAAATAATAAATTCAAATATAAATAGAAGTAGAACAAATGACAAAAAAATCCATCTCAATTAAAAAGTCTGGATTTTTAGAGTAGTAATCAGCTTCAATTTGCATGCCAATAAATATAGTGTACAACACATTTAGCGTACAGTACAATAGCACTTAAACATATTTAGTTGATCTATTTTTCAAAATTGACACAACATCTATTTTTTACTACTCTCTCATTTACTGCATAAAATGCACTTGTAGCCTCATCTAACAGTAATACCTTTGGACCTTTCATTATGGCGTGAGCTATGGGTACTCTTTGTTTCTGTCCCCTGAATAACCATACTCCTCTTCCCCTACCACAGATTCGTACCCCTGCATTTTGGATTGACATAGCAATACGAATCATGCTTAAGAAAAAAATAAAAACAAAAAAGAAACCTTAATGATTATTTTTCAAAGGAAACTTTTTGTTGACTAGTCAAGTGAGATTATCCGCTTCTTTAATACATGATCAACATTAATTAGCAAAAAAAAATAAAAAAAACAAAAAAACAAAAAAATCATGATAAGAAAGATCTGATTAATCACCACTAAGTATGAAATGGAAAATTATCAAGAGAGGAAGACCTTCAAAAGAGGAGAAAGTGAAAAAAGACGTTTAACTTCCAATTAAGGAATTTCAGTAGAAAATGAAAGATTAGAGAATAGATCATTATTTATATATTTATTTAACATATAAATAGTTAAAACAAAATAATAAATTAAGATTTTTAAAATCATGACAAAATAAGATAAGATTTTCAAAATCATAAAAAAAAATAAGATTTTCCATTTTTAAAAAAATAAGATTTTCAAAATTATAAATAATTTATAATAAATAGTTTGTAAATTGCAAAACTGAAAAAAATGAAAGAAATATATTAAAAATGTAGAAAATTTGGAAAAAAAAGAAAAACACAAACGCTGAAAGAGTAGAGAGAGAATTCAATATTTTTAAGATGTTTTTTTTTTTCAGGATTATATATATATACTTTTAATAAATTGTTAAACCTGTGAACTTGTCACAAATGGGCTAACACTAACAATAAACCCAATAAAACCTCTAAGCCCATTCAAATACTTAGGGCTTCAAGAAGAAGAGAAAGACCATATACGGCATCGTTCTCTCCCCTTCCTTCAAGCATCGTCTTCGCTGGGCAGTCGCCATAGCCTCTGGTGCGCCTCTCTCGCTTTCCTCTATGATTTGATCATATATTTATTAAGTTTTAGTTAGATTACTCATTAGCACGAGACTGGCAGTTTCTTTGTTTCTTTCTCAGTTAGAGAATGGGTTGGAAAGCTGCTGAAAAGCTTATTAGGCACTGGAAAATACTTAGAGGAGATAATGTAAGAAACATATTATAAAAATCCTATTTTTTTTCTGTTTTTATTTTTTGATTGTTCAATTTTGTTGATTATAATTTATCATTTTATCTTCTAAATATGCTTTACATTCGCAGGTAATGATAATAAGGGGCAAGGATAAAGGTGAGACTGGTGTTATTAAGCGCGTCGTTCGTTCACAGAATCGTGTTATTGTTGAGGGAAAAAATCTGGTGAGAACTTCAAACTTCAAACTTTTCTGTTTTCCTGTACTTTGCTTTACTAAAATTTGGGAAATTTTATTTGTGTTGAACTTGGAGAAACAAGTATTGATATATGGTGTGTTAATTATAATGCTTAAAGATTTCTGTTCAGGGATTTTTGTTAAAGTGCACTTGTTTTATGTTTATTGCTTGTTTATTTTGGCAGGACTGTCTATGCTTCAAGTCGAAGTGATATATGTTTGTAGTTGGAAATTTAGATGCTTTTTGGATTGTTATGTTTGGCACCAAATTCATAACTTTTGTCAATTTGGTGGTGCTTATCCATCAACTAAATATGTTTCTGCCAATCTTGCAACCAGTAAATTTGACTGCTTATGGTTTTGAGCGTTTGTACCATCTAGTGTTATATTCAATCTCTTTCTAAGTGGAAGTGTATGCCATTTTTGAATTGTCTTCAGGGGCATGCTTGATCATATTCAGTTGCAATTTTAAAGATTTATGTAAAGAAATCAAATGTCCTAGCGCTGATCCTTTCTTTCCCTCATTACTTGTCTTAAAGATCAGCTTCTTTCCCTTTTTTTGGCGTTTTTAATTGTATTAAATATTTCTTTGAAGAGAAAAATCAAGGTAAGTGCAAGATTTATGTTATGGACCAGTATACATCAGTCAAAATATTGTGATAGATGTTGATGGTTTCATGATTTTGAAGTTCAACCTGCAAAGTTTGCGTTTATAGAAAAATAAGAGGACAAATTCGGAATAATGCTGTCGAAACACTAAATTCTGTTGGATACCATATAATCTAATTTTGTTCATATTGTTGTCTTAAGTATTATTTTCTGTGGCCTAGTTATCTCTTGCTTGTTAGTCTTGTTTCTGTGACTCCTGAGCTTAATTTTGGCAGACAGTCATATCTCCTAGAAGTGAAATAGATTAATGATTTTATCCTCAATGATGAACATTGACTTTATTTTCATGTTAAAAACACCTAAAATTTCTTCCTCCATCTTTGCAGGTAAAAAAGCACATCAAGGCAGGTGAAGGTCATGACGGTGGAATCTTCACTGTTGAAGCACCAATTCATGCATCAAACGTTCAAGTTGTTGATCCAGTCACTGGGTATGACTGGACTCAAGCTTTTTATTTGCAATAGTTTGCATCAAATATTCTGATCTAGATTTCAAAAAACTGTGGCTACTATGCAGGAAACCATGCAAGGTTGGAATTCGATATCTTGAAGATGGAACCAAAGTGAGAGTCTCAAGAGGTATAGGGGCATCTGGGTCCATCATTCCTCGTCCTGAAATTTTAAAGCTAAGGACAACTCCAAGACCTACCGTAGGTATATTATGAATGCTTGTCACCATTTTAATATGACTTATTTGCTAGTTTTCAAATTTTAGTTCTCCTTTCTGTCCGTAATTTGCATTTATAGGGACATGGTAAGCTACAGCATTCAGATGTTTGCCATAAGCAAAATATTTGCCTCAGTTTATATTTTATGGTCTAACATAACAATTAATGATGGAAGGGTATGCATCTATCTCATGAACTAATTCAGGGCCTGAAAAATTATCTTTTGATCAGTAAACTAGTTGCAAAAGGAATCGAGCTAGTTCGAAGGAGATATATAAATTAGATATAGTTTGATTCAGAAAATTACTTTTGTATGGGATTACAGTTCAAATCACTAAGCATATGCAACACCTATAAGATGGTTTATAAATTGTTTAGACTGTTTAATGCTCGAACTATGTTTGATTTATTGCCTCTTTTCTCTTTTTGCAGCTGGCCCCAAGGATACTCCAATGGATCTTGTGCTGGAGAGGACATATGATTCTAAAACTGGGAAGGGCATGCCTGAACTTTGAAGAAACTTTGTTATCAAATTTATTAGAAATTAAAGGTATTAATGGAAAGAGTTGCTGGGGCAGGGGAGTCATACATATATGCCAGATCGACATGTGTGGCAAAGTTTTGTGAGTTTCAGACAGAGTAGTCATTCAAAACTAACTATCTGAAAATATTAGAACATGTTCTGCTCTGATACTAATAATAGTTTTATTACTATTAAGTTATTAGTTGCTTTTATCAGCATATATCAAACCAGATCATAAAATGCATTTTGAAATACATTTGATCTGGATTTTAATTTGAACAAGCAAGTGTAATTGTTATTCTGTCGCAAGTTGCAGATAGACATCAAGAGGTGATGTTCTGTCTTGGCATTTAGTACTGTGAATTTTGATGACTTTGGTCTCAAACTGTGAGCCTGTCGCGAGTTGTAATCTGTCCGTTCTTAGTGTTGTATTATTGTAGTTGACAAGCCGAAGGCCAATATCTGGTTTGGCTAATCTTTACGTAGGAAATCTATCTTCAAAGCTTTCCGGTTACGGAAGCCTCGAGAGACATTAATGGTAATCTTGAAATGGTTTTCTTTCAAAGCAATGCACAGAAATATTTTATCCCTCTTGCAGGTATTTCATTATATTCAATAATAGGAGAAATAACTAAGTATTATAATTTAAATATTTATTTTAATAAAAATTATTCATATATTAAATTATTCATATATTTATTTTAAATATTATTATAATTTTTTTATTAAATTAATTATTTTCATAAAATAATTATTTCTGTCACTAATTATTAAGCGCATGGTTATGTTTATATTATCATATATTACTATTTTTTATTTTTTAATGTATTATATAATTTAAAATATTAATTAAATTTTTCTACAATGATATTTAATAGCTATTGACTCCACCGTTCTTTTTGATACACTGGATTTGTACATAAAATTTCGTCTGTGCAAAAAATAAAAAAATAAAAAAATAAAAAATCGAACTCAAACTCTACACTAATGAAAAAACGAACCAAATCGGATTCGGCTACTATTATTTTCTTTTTTCCTTCTATATGCTCTTAAAATTTATCGTTTAAGCAATCATTCAAGAATCTGTCGTCTAGTTTTTCTTGTCTGGAAGAATACTGCCACGTGAATCCTACGTCGTACGGTCGTAGACACTTGGACGAGTTTGCATGTAAAGATCATCCCGAAAACGCTCAATTTTCCGCTTCACGACAAATAAAACAGGATAAAAATTGTCCTCCTTTCTTTCTTCTTGTCCCTGTTAAATGTTACGCTATACGCGCGACTGAGTTATGGGCATGATCGACACGTTAGATGGACACTCGTCTCCATGCATGCTATGCAACTCTCCATCGCGCTTTCTTGTTCTAATCATCCCTCTACTTTAATTCCCAATTCCACTATAAAAGGCAATGCTCATCTCTAGAACTCTGCACCAAGAAAACACTTGTGAAGTTAAATACAATGGCTATGAGAATGAAGTTTTGTTTATCTGTTTTACTCGTTTCCCTTTTGGTTCTTTGTTCTGGCTTGGCTCTAGCTAAAAGAGACCCAGAGCTAGAACAGTGCCAACACCAATGCAGAGTCCAACGCCACTATGATGAGGGCGAGAAGAAAAGATGCATCCAGCAGTGCGAGGATTATTACAAAGAGAAGAAGGGGCGAGAGCATGGAGAAGAAGGACGAGAAGAAGAAGAAGAAGCCGAAAGGAGGGTAGGACAGTGTCAAAGCCAATGCGAGAGACAAAAGGGAGAAGAGAGAGCGCTTTGTCGCTTCCGGTGCCAACAGAAGTTTGGAAGGGACGAAGGGGAACACAGTTGGGGAGAAGAAAAGAACCCTTATGTGTTTGAAGAAGAGCATTTTACTTCAATAATTAAAACAGAACATGGAAGAGCCCGCGTTCTACAGAAATTCACTAAAAGATCGGAGCTTCTACGTGGAATTAAGAATTATCGTGTAGGAATTCTTGAAGCTAATCCTCAAACATTTGTATCTCAGGGCCATTGGGATGCTGATGGAGTTCTCTATGTGGCTAGAGGTGTGTGTCTGTACTGTGCGTGTGTATCTATATATATTTCGTCTTTTTTTTTATTAGTTTAATTTGGTGAATTATATTAGGACGAGGAACAATATCTATGATTATTGAGGAAAAGAGACAGAGCTTTAACGTCCAGCGTGGAGATGTGCTAAGAATTCGTGCAGGCACTCCTCTCTATTTGATTAACAGAGACGAAAAAGAGAAACTTTACGTTGTCAGCGTCATGGTACCCGTCAATATTCCGGGCGAGTTCGAGGTATAATATAATTTAATTTCAATAAAGATTAAATATTCTTCCTTCAAAATTGATTTCCATTTTTAATTAATATGCTTTATATTGGTCTTTTGATTGATTGATACAGATATTCAGTGCGTCTGGTACTGAAGATTCAGAGTCCTTTTACGAGGCATTCAGCTGGGAGTTGCTTGAGGCTGCTCTTAAAGTACGTAATTGCATTTCCTGTGTCTAATTTTCTTTTAACTGGATAAAGATAATTAACTAATCTCTGTATAATCCTGCAGACCGAAAGGAGGAGGTTAGAGCATATATTCAGGCAAAAGCAAGGAGCTATTGTAAAAGCCTCCAGGGAGCAAATTCAAGCTATGAGTCATCGTGAAGAAGGTGGCGGCGTTTGGCCTTTCGGAACTGAATCCATCGGTCCAATTAGTATCCTGAAGAACCCTGTTTTTAGGAATAACTATGGTCAACTCTTTGAAGTTGGCTCTAGAGATTTCAAGCAACAGCTCCGAGACCTTGACCTTTCAGTCTCCGTTGCCAACATCTCTCGTGTATATATAACAAATATCCGAAGTTCCTTTCTTCAGTTATTTCATATAATTGGTACTAAGTTTATAGAATTGTATTGTCTTTCAGGGAGCAATGTCTGGGCCCTATTACAACTCCAGAGTAACCAAGATATCAGTGGTTTTGGATGGCGAAGGCTACTTTGAAATGGCTTGTCCTCACCTTAGCGGCTCGCGGGGAGACACGACGGGTGAAAGTCAGAAGACTTACCAGAAAGTAAGTTCACGGTTGAAACGTGGAACAGCAGTGGTCGTCCCTGCAGGCCATCCGGCGGCTTTTGTAGCTTCAAGAAACAATAATCTGGAAGTAGTCTGCTTTGAGATTAATGAAGAAGGCAATACTAGGCATCTACTTGCAGGGAAAAATAATATTGTAAATAAGATGGAGAAGCAAGCCAAAGAGTTAGCCTTCGGTGTAAGTGAAAGAGAAGTGGATCAGGCTTTTGGAAGACAAAACGAGGAGTGGTTCTTTCCAGGGCCAAGGAGAGGTTCCTTCGAGGGTCATGCTGTGGCATGAGAAGCTAATAACGTGATGGCAAGTGTTTCGGCTTTTTGGGGTGACTGTGACATCGACCTTGAGGGTTTACTAATGTAAATAGTGCTGTGTATGGTGAATAAATAATGAAAGGTGAAGGTACATGTGTAAATTAGTCTTTAAGAAAAGAGAAAGATCACTGCTGCGGACTATAGTGGCTTCTGGTTTAATAATTAATAAAGAGATAAATTCTAGTTATTCTTCTTGTTTGGGTGCTGCTTTTACTGTTAAACATCTGCCGTTTCTCAAAACGACTAAAAAAGCTTCTTTGTATCAGATAAAAAATATAGGCTACTATAAAGAACCTGTCAATGGTCGGAGATGGAAAGTCCACTCGCTTAGTTCTGATTTCTGAGTGCTCCATTTGGATCAATAGGTGACTCTGGGTTTCAAGGGAAGGGAATCTACATATTGCCATTGAGGGGTGGGTTCCTGGAAGCAAATGAAAGAATCGTGAACACTGGAATTTGATAAAAAGACCATAAACTATGGGATTTGAAAATTAAAGACGACAGGCTAGACAGCATCAATTTACGGTCTCTCAGAAGAAAGAAAAAAAGGTATAATGTCAATTGCCCAAATGCGCATGGGTAGGAATAATGAAATCTTCTTCGAATAAATATAATTAATTTCATAATATTTCTTAAAAAATTCAAATAAGTGAACAATCATTCATAAATGTTTTATTTTCTATCACAATATTTTTAATCATCAATTTTTCTTAATCTAGATTTGAATGAAATTTGTTTAAAAAATATTAACATCTTTGAAAATAGCTAAATTCACCTCCTACGACATTCGATTCGACATTGTCGTTTTGTTTTAACATAAAATTAATGGCTTTCTCTTGATAAGCTGAATAATTTTTTGTTGTAGCTATAAGCTTTTAATTTCAAATTCTTATCAATTGTTTTTGAAAATTTTACGAGATTTTTTCTAAGACACAAAACAAAAACAATAGTAGCATTCATATCTGGTACAAGGAGGTTCTATGCATAAAATAATTGTAAAAGAACATTCAGAAAAAATAATTATCTTTTACATAGTATTTATAAAACATTACAAGCTATTGCATTGAGAAATTAAAATTATGATAAAGTAAGTGTCTTGATTTTACTTGAAGGCATTGTAGTATGAAGCATCTAAAACAGATAAGCAAAACGGAAATTAAGTACAAGTTGCTACGGGGAGTCAATTCATAGTTGATTGTTTTCTCGAAATTGGCTGCAAGATTATAGAGAACTTGACTAACATCCCATAAAATCAGGAGGCATGCAAGCTGATACGGAAAGCAATTTCAGCAAAACAAAAATGGTTTATGCCATCAACTATCAACATCAAAATCTCAATTTATATTCTGGGAATCTGTAAATAAAATTACAAAATTTAATTTCATTCAAATCTAATTGAGGTGCGAGCCATTCATCTCACACTAAATCTTTTTTTTAATTAAATTAAAAATAATTAAAAAAATTATTATAATTTATATTTGTGTTGCTTTAATTAAAATAATTTGCTCATGTATTTTTTGATTAAATAATGAAAGATAAAATTATACACTCTTTTTTAATTTTTTTATCTCAATTAATAAACTGAAATATTAATTAGCATAATTAATAATTATAATTCAACTGATATCTTTAATTAATTATTTATTTTTTCTCTTTAAAATTATCATATATCCAAATTAAATGAGGTATAAAAATATTTGATTTCAGCGAAATGAAATTTTAGTGAATTAAAGTTTATAGTTCAATTATATTTGTTAATGTAATTATATTGTTCAATTAATTTTTATTAACCATCACTCTATTATAACCCCATTAGTTTTTTTATAAAATAAAAACTATTTAATAAAAACTTAATTTTTATTAAATGCAAAAAATATTAATTATAATGATTTTTATTAACCAATCACTCTATATAACCCCATTAAGTTTTTTTATAATTACGAAAACTATTAATGATAAAACCTTAACATTATGTTACTTAAATCTATTATAACCCCATTAGTTTTTTTATAAAATAAAAACTATTTAATAAAAACTTAATTTTTATTAAATGCAAAAAATATTAATTATAATGAGATCCTCCATTAGATTCATTAGTTAGTAACCCTATTATTTAATAAAAAAAATAATTTTTATTAAATGCAATAAAAAAAGTTTAATTATAATAAAAAATAAAATGTCACACATTTACTTTCATATTATAATATGTTGCCACATAAGTATTTATACTCTACAAATTATATATTGATATAGATAGATATGGCAAGAAAGTCCATGTTATAAATGTTCATAATTTATATTTATAATATAAATAAAAATATGATTCTACGTGTGTTTGTTTATTTAAAAAAATGAATTAGCTATTTAAGATGATTTTGATAATATTAATTGATTCGATTACTTAATTATTAAAAATCTATAATTATTTATGATATTGATCTTTAAATAAAAATTTTCAATTACAGTTGAACATGAATTATGTTAATAAAATAAACGGAATTCTACTCATTCTCCAAAACTTATTCAAGTAGAGGAGAATCGCCTAATTACATATTAATCTAACTCGCGATCCAAACTAAAATTTAAAAAGTCTTAATTGCAATAACGGAAATTTGCTAGTATAAGATACGAATCTTGCATTCTTATTGGTTTATTGGGAACGTCCCTGGACCCTTAACATGAATCACACCGCATATAATTAGACGCCCCGAAATGAATTAAAAAAACGCGTCCTTAAATGAAGGAAGGAAATTGACAGGGACCCACAGTAGCCTATATAAGGCTACCAAGTACCATGAATTCTGACACGCCAAACTCACTATCACGGACAATTCACACACTCAAGGTTCGCTCCATTTCCCAGCACAGATCATTTTTTTGGTTCTTCAAAACCCTAAATCTCCCTGACCAATCATGCCGAAAAAGCGATCTCGAGTCGGTCAATCAAATAGTTTTCTAGACGTTGGCGTGATGAATCAGCATCCTTCGCCGGAGCTCCGTTTGGGTGCCGCGTTGCCGGCTAATTTTCCTGATCAGTCTCGCCAGAGTGTCCTGACAGTGTCGTCTCCACCTCTAATGTGTGAGGCGGAGCGCAGTGGTTTCGAGAGGTGCTCCCAGTGCAATAAAATGTTGGACCAGAGTAAGGATATCTACATGTACCGGTGAGGCTTGTTGATATCTATTTTTCGTCATGATCTATGTCATTGTTTTTTTCCCTTTCTTTTTTGTTACAATTCCATAATTTTAGTACTATTGTTATTGCTTACAGTGATATTAATTGTAATTGGAGATATATTTGAGGATTGTATCTCTGTGTTATTTGTATTATTGTTTATAAAAGTAAAATTTTAAAAAAAAAACAAGGAATTTAGGTTAACGATTGTTTGCAGACTAATTTGCTGAAAATCACTGAGAATGATGATATCTTCATGTCTAGGAAAGTTTTTTTTTTTTTTTTTTTTTTTTTTTTTTTTTTTTTTTTTTTTAAATCACTGAGAATGATGATATCTTCATGTCTAGGAAATTTTTTTTTTTTTTTTTTTTTTTTTTTTTTTTTTTTTTTTCAGTTGTATCTGCGAATTTGTATGCTGAAGTTTTGTCCTATTCTATGTTCAATTGTTTTTTTTTTTTTTTTTTTTTTTTTTTTTTTTTTTTTTTTCAGTTTGTATCTGCGATTTGTATGCTGAAGTTTTGTCTATTCTATGTTCAATTGGTAATAAAATTGAAAAAAAAAAAAATTATTTTCAATGCCTGTGGTTTAATGAAGGTAAATGATTAGAAAACGAATTTATTCAGCTCAATAAAGCGGTCATCCCTCAGAATGTTTTGTTGGCTCTATTTATTCTAGTAAGTAGTAGAAAAACAGAGTACAGGGTGAGAGCAGACATTTTAACTGCTTTTATAAGAACAAAAAAGGAATAGGATATCATAAATGGGGAGAAAGAAATAAAAGCCTTATAAAAAGAGAGTTCCGCAGGGAAATGGGAAAATGAATACCTATGAACCATATAGTAGTTTCAAGATTACATAAAACAGTCTATACATATGCGTGCCTGTTTAAGAATTTCCGTCATTGATATTTAGTTCTTCCAAATAATAAATCCATATCCTGAAGCTTTCCTTTTAGAAGTGAAAGGAGGAGTAAGAAATGCTCATGTGTATTTTACTTATCAGATTTCAGCAGTCAAACAGGTGATTGGAACTTAGATATAGACTATTCTGTTTTTCTAATCTTTTTGCTTGTTGATACCTATCAAAAAGGATTAAAAAAAAAAATCCTTTTCTTCTTTTCTATAGTTGTTTACCATTTTAGATTTGAAATTGATCGCTGCTTCTCTATAATGACGCTTTTTACCTCAGTCACATAGGACCTTGGCCTTTCTCTCTCTGATCTTAATATTGGTGGGGGGATTGATCTTAACTTTAGCCTCAAGACATCAGCATATTTTGGCATGATAACAAGATCTTTCTATGTTTTGTTTTCTTTATACAAAGCTATTGAACTTAAAATATTTATTGTGATTCAAGCTGCTCTTAAGATGCTACTGAGCATATCAATTTTGGGTAACTCATTTGCCCTTGCTTATATCAACTAAATAATATGGTTAGCAATGTTATCGGCGCTTCTGTAATTAATTCCCTAAAGTTGTCAATAAAATAGTATTAACTTTGTAGTGTTAATCAGATTCTTGCATTTGGACTAACATTTATTGTAATGCAGTGACTCTGCGTTTTGTACCAATGAGTGCCGCATTGCTCGAATTGCAACTGACCAGGCAGCTGAGGAAATGGCTAAAACGACTTCAGGCAAAGGAATGCTACGGTGATTGATCAATTTTGTTCTCAACCGGACAGGCATTGGAACCACAGTCTGTACATAATTAGTGACTTTGGCACACTGATTTTGGTAGTGCATAGCTGTCAGGTTTTTGAGATTGGCTTGCACTTTGGAATAGAATGGAAGACATAATTAGGTAGCATACCAGTTTCTTATAGAATTGAAAGCATTGTTTTCCTAGAATAATTCTGCTAACATTTTCTCCGTTCTTTTCCACTTTTTATTGGAGAACAGGGGGATGTATGGATGCCTTTAAATTTTTACTAGTTGAATCATACTTGTGCTTATAGGATGAAACAACCTGAATATGTATTTTTCAATTAACTCAAAAGTTCTAAATCTGCACAATAATGAGGTTTGGTTTGAGTATGTCAGCATTGAGGGGCTGAATTTGCTATCACTCGCTACTGTTTTGATTTCGTTTATACTATTTTGATGTTGATAGTTAAGACACGCATGCATGAACGTGAATGTGTGGTTTCAGGTGATGATGGATGTTTGGGGCTTATTGCCATGTAATCATCTTTCTAGTTTCTAAAAGCCTATATAGTTTCTTTTCTTGAAAAGGGTGTAAAATTTAGCATAAAATCCTATTAGGACTTATCAATAGTCATTCTTGCATGTGTTTTACCTGTCCAGAATAATTTGGATCAGCATATTATTCACGGACGACGATACTTTTCTGAATCAGGTGCTTCTGTAAACACTCCCCATAAACAATTTATAAAGCATCACTTTTATCTTGAACATATGACTGTACAAGCCACATATTTTCTGTTCACCAGCGAGCCCAGGCAATTGTATTGCTTTTTGCTTATGTCTTGCAGACACGTAAATTTGTGTGGCTAAAGTATTCAGATGATGATCTCTTTGGTGTCCAATTTCTATGTGAATAGGCTACTGTTGTGTAAACTGTTTTTGGGCCAGTTGTTCAATCTTGTCCTATCTTGCTGGGGCAGTGGACCTAACAGTTCACAACTTTGTTGTTGCAAAGGGCCCATTGGTTTTGGTCTTTCTTATTCGACTTTTAGGATATAGCTGGCCATTTTCATAACACATGCACATCCATGTGAAAATTAGCTCTGAACATGTCCATTTCTCTTGTGAATTAGAGTAAGCCCTCCCCCCACCTATTATTAGTATTATGATATAGCTGAAGCTGTTGATCAGTTCCATGTACGTGGACAGTGTTTGACGTAGACTTCACTGCAAATGATGAGCCACCAACGTAAAAGGAATTAGCTTTAAAAATTTGAAACTAGCAAATGATGGGTGACATCTTTCGAATCTGTGGGAGCAAGAGATGGTTAGTACCTTTTTCTTTCATAATTTTTCAATTTAAACACAGTCTTAAAACCGTTGTGGAAAACGAGGGTGTGAGTTGAGTTGACTAAAACAAACAAGAAGAACAGGTGAAATGCAAAAGCAAAATATACATGCACGTGGGTAGAGAAGATTCATATATAACTAGTACTACTGTACTAGTAGCATTTTAAAGACGACACAGCCTACGTCCAAAATGATATCACACTGTAGAGAAGAGAGTGTTTTCTTTTCCTTCTCTCTTTTTCAACCAGTAATACACCCGTCAGTTCTGACACAACTTGTTCAATAAGCAACGGTAACAAAAAAAATCAAACCAAGAAGATAATAGTATTAGCTTATTAATTACTTAGGTTACATCACCTGTTCTGTACATAATGAATGCTTAATATAGTAACCTGACTTCCATGGAAATTACAAAACTGTACATTGCGTACCTAAGTATTTTCCATTTCTGTTCTTTCTTAGATCACCCTATTCTTTCTTAATTAAGATCATATGCGATGCCCAAATAGCTAGTCTAGAAGAAGATTTTTCCTTTTGTATGCAACTTGTTTTCTTTTTTGTTTTCTATCTTTCACTATACTTCTAGTGAGTGAGTTTCTGCGGTACTTGTTTTAACCCTTTTAATTTTTATAAAGTTTTAATATTTTTGAACTAGTTTTCTTGACAGGAAGTTTTTGGGTGATGGATTGGAATATTATGCATGTAGCCTGAGGCAATGATGATGTTGGAAGAGAAAATAGCTGAAAAGGTATAGTTTGATTATTTCTTTTGGTTCCCAAAGACACAGGCTGATGCCAAATATAGGCGTTCTGTTCTGTTACTTTCAAGCGTGAGATTATGTCAGAATTCTGAAACCCACTAATTCTCCGAATCCCAGTACTTTTGCACTTTCTTATTGGGGGACCAAATCTATTTTCAGCTGCTTGATATATTTTTTTTCTTTCAATTCCCTGCCTTATATCTCCAATTTCCTATACTCTTACGTTTCTCTCCTAGTTGTATGAAGCGTGACTGCATCCCTCGACCTAATGAAAGGGCCATGCATCTACAGTGTGATTTCGTCAACCCAACCCATATTTTAATTCAAACGGATACAATTCTTGATGATAATTATTAAGCTTTGAACTTTTTAGCTTTGACACAAACTCTGAGAAACTCAAATTATTCTTAAATATGATCCTGTCAATAAAAAATAATGGAATAGCACATTTTAAAATGAGATTAATTCTATCTGAATAGCACTCTGCCCAGCGTGAAAAATAAAGAAAATTACCGTATGTCTTATTTTCATTTTTTTCTCAATAAATAGTAAAAATACTCTTATTTGAATGAGATATTAAAATTGCAAATGGAGGTATCCGAGGGATGGGATGAGAGAATTAATAATGATTTCTAAACAGTCAAACACTCAAGAGCGAGTATTTTGCATCTTTTATAAAATCGGCTGACGTGAATTTAAATTAACCAGACTAATGAACTTGAATAGCATATGGTAAAAAAAAAAAAAAAAAATTGCCATCTTTTTATAAATCGGCTGAGCGTGAAATTTAAATTAACCAGAACTAATGCTTGATGTGGTAAAAAAAAAAAAAAAAAAAAATGGAAACGGAGGTGGTGTTAAATTCAGTGAAAACTCAGGAGTAGGCATTCACCAAGTTTTACAGCACGCATAGAGCATTCCGAATTCACATTTATGGAAGGTCGTCCTTTGACGTCATGTGCCAGAAGAAACCCTCTCTGCCACGCAGAAAAATCACAGCATGCGTAAGCAAAACGGGTACGGTTACTCAGACCGACGTGTGCTTTGGGAGGCGTCCAAAGGCTGATGCCTGATTATTACGGGCCACATCCAATTATGATCTTACACTTGGATGTGCACGAGATTGTCAGTCCGTAGGAGATTCCACCACTTATAACGCCAATAATGAATTCGTCTATAACAGTAACAGACTAATTAATAAGGCTAAGATAATAATAATTGAAAAGATTAGGTTAATTAATATTTGTCTGGTACCATAATATTGGCCTGCTGCTAAATAAGCAACTTTCATATGTTACAAATGCATGTGAGGACCACTAAGAAGGAGCATAATTATTCGAAATTAATTAAAAATGAAATTATTAATCCATGTGGTCCATTGGTATTAAACCTACCCATCGTTGTCACTTTGGGAGGCATACTTCAACGTGGAACTATAAAAGGCAAGCAAAAGCTATTATTATCTTAACCAAAAATTTCATAGTATGCCAGAAGATAAGCTTGCATTGCATGTGAATATGTTTGATTTTTATGACAATGCAAGTCCTTTTTTTTCTTATTTCTTTTTTTTTTTTTTAATACAATTCATACTCAGTTTTCAATTTTCAAATTATCTATCTACGTAGCAAAATTTGTTTCAAGATAATAATAATAATATATTAAAATAGCTCCTAACAAGAAAAGAAATGGAATTAATCAATGAATTAGATTAGATGATATGTTGAAAATAAGACAATTAGTGGTCAAAGAATTTAGAAGATTAGATTTTGGGAGGGCGAGCCCTTCTTTTTTACCTTTTCTTCATATCTGTTTCGGTTGTTGAATCCATGTTCTTCAAAATTAAAAAGTTTCAGATAGCAGAAACCAAGGCGTCGTCTCCCCCATCCCCACTTAGATTTTTGGTCTCCTTCCTTTACTTCTATTCAATCAGTACAAACTTTTATTTGCAACTCAACCAAATTTATTCTTTTATTTACAACTGTTAAACTGAAATTCACTAATAAAGACAGTTTTAGATGGCATTAATTGCATATTTGAATTTTAAAATGTACTAACAGATCACTAATATTATGCACAAATCACTCTTTAATTGAGTTGAAACATGGATTGATGTTCCCTTAAAAGGAACACTTGCAACTACCTTTTTTTTTTTTTTTTTTTTTTTTTTTTTCCCCTTAAAAGGAACACTTGCCAACTACCTTTTTTTTTTTTTTTTTTTTTTTTTTTTTAATTTGAATAAAAAAGAAGCTTTAAATCTGGGGATGCCCAGAATTTGGTTTACACCACCAAGACAGAGGTGTGTGAGGCCCGACCAAGCAATCCTCCACATCCCATTATTTTTTTTTTTTTTTTTTTTTTTTAATTTGATAAAAAGAAGCTTAAATCTGGATCCCAGATTTGGTTTAACACCAGACAAGGTGTGTGAGGCCACCAAGCAATCCTCCATCCCATTAATTTACGACTCACTCTTAAAATATCAAATTGCCTAAAAGTAACGACAAACAACTAAGCTTCCACGTTCTTATGAAATGGGATGTGTCACTCCCAATTCCTTTGTTTACACTCTAAATCATTCTCAGCGTTCAAAATATTAAAGCTGTGTTTGGAAAAAACTTTAAATGTACTTTTATAATGTTTATTAATATATCTTTTTAATTAGCTTTTAGCGGTTAAATTAACGTTTTATAAAATATTAACTCCTGTAATATTTAACTTTTTAATATTTTACTACTGAAACAGTTAACGGTTACCAAAACAGTTAATTTTGTGAAATATAATCTAATTTTCTCTTTTTATGCGAAACCATGAATATACCGGTACCTAATACACACTTTATTTTAAATATTCAGGAATTGAGAAGGAAGGGAGGATTGTGGGGTGGGGCTAGGCAGAGACAGGGATGTACGAAAGAGGAAGCTTGCACCGCCATTTTTAGTCCACTTTGATTTTATTTAACTAAATAATTAAGAAAAAAAAAATGGAGCATGGGAATTTCCGGGCCCCAATGCAGAAGCAGAAAAGAAAAGAAGCTTGGCAGTTGGCAATGGAAATGTCATGTCTGTCCGGTTACCTTACAGGCTTTAACAGATTCTCCTAAACGCTAAACCTGAAAGCTTCCAAACATGTCGTTTTAAATCTATCATTGGATTGGATTTGTTAATGTTATGCACACCACACCAATTCTTGTTTTATTTTTCCGATTAGATTGCTCCTTAATATTATCTAATCTTTCTCTATAATTATATTAATTTTGTGTTAATGGAGATCAACTAAGTAAATCCTACCTCCAAATTTTTTAATTTAAGCCACTTTAATTATTTAATATAGTTTATTAAGAAAAAAAACCTAAATATTATATCCAGTGTAAGCATAAAAATATGTATATAAACTAAAAAAAGTGCAATAAATCAATTGGATATAATTCCTTAAAGGCTAAAAAACTTCATTCAAAATTGAATTTTTTTTTTTTAAATTGCTTATTGTTTATTTTAATAATTCAGGAGGAAATTGGAGTGCTGGAAATTTCTTTATGCAGAAAAAATGTAAAAGCAAGAACCACAAATGGGATTGGGAATCTTTAGGAAAAAAAAAAATCCACAATACATTCGGGAGCAGACAATAGCTGTGCCACTTGGCAGAATACGTTAGGCTAAAGATTTGTCTGTGTGAGACCCACTATATTCTCCCCCACCGTGACGCCACGCGTAAGCAAAAACACCCTTTTTAGTTTTTGCTATTCCTCTGCCCGTCAACCTAAGAACGACCGTACTCGCACAAAAGAGATCCGACACCACATTAAGCGCGTGTTAACAGGTGGGAAGAGTTGATGGGAGAAGTGTAATCCACGCACTATTTCGCTGTCATAAAAAAAAGTTGAAAAAGAAAGTCATGTGGGCACGGAAAACAGAAGAGACGGTGACATGTCCGAAAAAGAAAAGGCCGTTTTGACGGGAGACCCCACTGTTTCCGGTGATGAGTTTTTTTTTGGTTCTAAAATCTTTTAACCTTTTTCACCTCTCTTTAGTAAAGAAAAAACAAAAGAAAAGAATAACAGCGCAGGTTTTTAACCTCGAGGCCTAACCTAACCGATGGTGTACCATTTCCAGGACTCGGAAGCAAACCTAACCTCTGGCAGCCTGCCACGTCAGAAATGAAACCTGTACTATGCAAATTTAATGCTCAATGCCCATTTTATCATCCACCTCCATGTTTATAATGAAATCTAGTCGTTAAGGGTAAATTATTTTTCAAAAGTAAATAACATTTTTATATTTTCTTTTAACTAACTTTGCAATATTTTTATAATTTAAACAATTTCTTCTTTAAAAGAGATGTTAAACAAGCTTGGCAGATGTTTAGGTCTAACTCAAAATAATAAAATTAATTCTCCCATTTTAACAATTTACTCGAAGAAAAACCGTCCATTTAAAGGAATATTTTAAAATGTCAATTCAGTAGAATGACCAATTTCAGGGCAATTGAGCTTTATAAAAAAAAAAAAAAAAAAAAATCCGAAGAAAAACCGTCCATTTTTAAAGGAATATTTAAATGTCAATTCAGTAGAATCGACCAATTTGCAGGGCAAATGGCTTTATAAAAAAAAAAAAAAAAAAAAAAAGCTTTTGACTGAGTTGACCCTGATTTGAGAGAACAAAACCAAGATGGAAAAGGAAAGTTTGCCTCTTTGGGCCTTCCTTTCCTGTGGTGAAAAAAAAAAAAAAAAAAAAAAAAAGCTTTGACTGAGTTGACCTGATTTGAGAGACACAAACAAAAGATGGAAAAGGAAAGTTGCCTCTTTGGCCTTCCTTCCTGTGGTGGTGGTATCAGAGAGTGCTGTCACTAATAGGAGCAAACATAATTGCAACTTAGAGCTGTGGGAATTTTATTGAGCAAAGCAAAAGTGATTCTCATTAATGCCAAGGGGTGTTATTGGGAAAGGAAAAGTTTTTTTTTGCCCATCACTGTCATAAATTTCTTGCTTCTGACAGTCAGATGGCTGGTTGGTTAATAAGTTATACCTCATTGTACAAAGGCAGATGGCTACCAAGCTGAAGTATAGTAAGTACCGATTACATCCAGTTTTGACTCCTAAACCCACAAAATAGCCTTTGGTTTTAAAGAAAGAAAGAAAATTACTGTCACCTGATGCTTAAAAACAATAACCATGAGGCAGGGGCAAGATTGTCCAACCAACACAAACATTGTAAGGACGTCCTGCTTAACCACCTGACATGGCTACATGAAAGCTGAAGCTTTGTTGCTTTTTCCTATTTCTTCTTTTCATGTCCTGTTTGATTTTCAGCTTGAATTTAGAAGAAAAGATAAAATGGCAATATGGATGATGAAGCAAGTTACTTTTCTTTTTTAGAAAAATCATTTGCACCAACAGAAAGAAAAAGAAACTTCATATCTATCAGAACTTCAACTCTTCTTTTAAATTTGTGATGAGCAGCCATCATTTCCCCCACTTCTTTCACAGTTTTTTCTCTCTTTTACACCAGTAGTACACAACAAAATACAATACAAAGAAAGACCGAAAAATGACACCTCCATCTGATTTTTATTTATTCTTTCTTTGCAAATTGAATTTTCAGTAAGTTAGACCTGTAAACAGCTCCTTAATTTGGCAGGTATGGCAAGTTCTTATCCTGGAAAATTAGCAGAGAAAGTAGTTGAGCAATTAAGACTCATAATTATGCAAATCCATTCACATTGGAGCAAAGCAATATGATTAAAGAAGGAAAAAGGATATCAAGTTAAGCTGTAATACCTTAGTATTTATGTTCACACATACTTGTTTGCAGGCATGGTAGTTACGTTTGTGAATTTGCACTTTGTGATGCTGCTATCTTTTTGAGTCAGCAGTTATTGACAAAATATAGAAAAGCTGTACCTATTGTGATGAGAGAAAAAATGGTGTGGATAGAAATTAAAATAATAAATGGCAAAAGTCCAGCCAAACTGAGAAAGAGAAAGAAAGTGGAGGACCAACCTTTATTGGATTGTAGGCAACAGGGTGTCTCTATCACCACTGAAGGGAGAGTCTCATAACGACACTGCCCCCAACTGCAAAACAGGGGACCAAACAACATATACAAATTAGAAACTGCAAGAGATCTCTTTAACCAAAAACTTTAATTGGAAAGTGATGATTTAAAATAATATTTCAGAATCTTTTTCTTTTCTTTCTGTTTTTTTCTCGGTAGAATTAATGTGGAAAGGTTCCATATTCATTTGGGCTATAGATATTATCATGTATGCCTTCGAAAGCTACATTTGGTTCTTTTGGATGTACCGAAAGAAAAGGCTGCATTCTATAGTCCTTCAATTCAGCTGCTTTATACTTCTCAGGATGCAAGAAATAAGACAACTAAGAGAAGCACATGCCTGAATAACTGAGGACAGAAACAAAAGTTTGATATTTTTGAGCAACAACTGTTTGTAAAAATGATCTTGTTTGTATCAAGATGAATCCTGCATCTGGATAACAAAAACATTCTTAGTGAGGTAAAATCACTTGGATATGCTAGCAATCCAAGAAACCAATTCACGCCCCAGGTTACCTTGGCTCTTGGCTGTACAGCAGAAAATCCCTTTTCATTTGTTGGGCATTCAACAATATGCATGAGTCAGAAATCCATCTTTTAAAAGAAGTTGAGCTCAGTGTATCCAAGTGCATGAGGCAGCAACTCTTCTACCTCAATTCTTGAACTAGAACAACTCATGTTTTTCTTGATTCGGCCTCGGTTTATGGATTCAACCTCAGCCAAAAATATGCTATAAACTGGTCTATGATCTGAGAATCTTGATTCTCCACGTACATAGGACAATTGATTGAGGCCTCTTCCATACCATAATATGCGGTCACACCTACATGCATGTTTGTTGATTGATCATTTTTTTTGTCATAGAAAATAAAACACATTCTCTCCCATGGCTCCATACAGGATTATGGATGGGATTTTATACAGCAACATTTTCATTTTTCTTTTCGACGAGAAAATAAGAAGAATAAAGAAAATTACCATGCAGGAGTTCTTCGCTTTTCTTTTGGGTGCCTGTCGTCCCCTGCATATCGATCTGAATTATTAGAATACTTGTATGTTGGAGGGAAATATATCTTCCCTTCATTCCAACCCTGAAAGACCCGTCCTTGTCTTTGTTCTATCCGAAGCTGAAAGTAAGAACCACGATAGAAGTAAGAATGAGCATTTTTTGGCAAGAAAAGATGCCAAGCTCCGCATCAAGTTGGACAAAAATCAGATTGCTTATATATTGAAATAACAAATATGGCAACATGCCTGGTCATTCTCCAACAATGCCCTCCAGTTGTGCATCTCTACAAGAGCCTTTGCAGTACGGTAAGACAGGGCAATTCGATAATTTAAATCCCCTAGCCAAATAATTCGACTGCATCAAGACCATGAAGTTTAGATACTGCAAGTTCGTTTAGTCCTAAAAGGAGGAAAAATAAAATAAGGAACAAAAGACTGATCAAGGTCTTACTCATGTTCCAGAATTGTTTGAGGCGAGTTCTCATCTCCCATGCCATGAACTCTGGGAAACCTTGTCTTCCTAAGGATCTCCATGACATCAGAATTTCTCCGTAGCTCATCTCCCTCCTTCTGCCCAGACGTTAAATGACTACAGATGAAGCAAAAGGTTGTTTGGTGCAATGACATGCTAATTGAAATTGAACCCTGGAAAAACCAAGAAAATAAGAATGCTACTTTCTTTTTCCTTATTTCATCACATTTTGGTTCCAAATCAAAGAAGTTTCCATTAAACAAAAATATACCTTGTTTCCAAGATAACCCATCAGTCCTCTGCCCACACAAGACACTTTCATGTTGCGGACATCATCTCTGAGTTCACTTCTTACCCAAACTGTTAGAAATATCCCAACCATTTGCTTACTGGCAACCAAACAGTAGCTGGATTGCCCCATTTGCTTATCTCTATCCTCCCCTGAGAAGGAACCACTGTAGTCAATTGGTGAATATTGAGTAGTACCAGGTGAATCCCCAAGTCCATTCTCTTCATCAGAAGAACCCCATTTGAAATTAGGGTCATAATCACTTGGCCTATGTCCAAAGATAACCCTGTCACATACACTGAAGCGCCGGTCAAGTCTAGGTTGCAGGATTGACATGTCATTATCCATTCTCATGCTGCGGCTCAATGATTGAAATGAGCGGCGGTGGAATAAAGATAAGGCCTTTTGCCTTGTTGATCCCTCAAAATCCGCATCCAATTCCACAATTGGATCAGGGATGGGGGAAGGAGTATGGTAACCACCACTTGCACCAGGAAGACTATTTAGAGTCTTCCTAATAAGAGCTAGCCATTTTCTGGCTGGGCCATTGTCTTCTGTACCCAAGACATTGCCAGCATTCAATGGAACGATTTCTTGAAACCTAAATTCAATGTGATCAAAGAGGTTGCCTTAGTATGATGAAACCTTCTTGGCTAAAATAAATGAGAGAAAAATATTGTGATTAATTGAAAATACCCAAGAACATAAATGTCAGCAGGAGGAGAGGTATGAAGCCAATCTTCAAGATTCAAATAACCTGGAGGAGATTTTCCAGCCACATTCCATGTTGCAACAAATATCCTACATTTGCAAAGCAATTAAAATAAAATTGAAATCCAAATTTCAAACAGAAACAAAAAAGCACGGAACACAACGAACACACCTGTAATTGTGAACATCAGTAACTTGTGCAGCATCAACATCAATCTTACTTCGCCGGACTCGATCAGAGTTCCTTTTGTTCAATCTCACTGTGGAATAAAGTGAGAGTTCAGAGGGGCTTTAGGAAAAGAATAGGGGGCAAGTTTTGAAAAGCAAGAAAACCCATAATAATTCAAAATGTTTCTTTTGTCAAGATTTTGAGGGTTAAAGGAAAGTGTGGTCCAAAGCAATACATTCGGGGTCTGATACTGAACCTGTTTTGCTTTTCTTGATGGTGCATGCCTCTATCTCTGAGAACTTGCTCCTCCAATCTTCATCATCACCTGAAAAAGAAATGCAATAAAGCGGTTAAAGCTATGCTCTTTCCACTGTCAATGCATCAATCCAAAATATTCAAACACCGGAATAAACAAATATATTTTGGCCAAGAAGAAAAAAAAAAAAATTGAAATTCAGAAGCCGGAAAAGAACAAATTAACAGATCTCTAGCTGCAAATAGAAGTAGCAGACCCACATTAAAATCCAAACACATCTTTGTTGTACGAAATAAACATTGATGCGGGTGTATAATAAAGCTAACTATTCAGGGTCCAGAAGCATCCAAACACATCTCAGTTACTATGTTGCAGAGAAAAAGAAATCTCATTTTTGTTCTTGGCATAAACAGCCAAGATTACCAAATCCAGAAGAAGAAAAGACTAATAATCACCTCCATAAACAACATCATCTGCTTGAAATTCCTCAGCTTTGCTCTTGATATTGAACCACTTCTTGACCAGTGTCTTGGGCCATGAAAGCTTCACCAATAACACAGAAACAGAGTCAGCAATCACTAAAAAAATCTATGCATGAAAATAAATAAATAAATAAAGAATCTATTTAAGGAGGCATCTTGAAAACCTTGCTATTCTTCGAGTTCCCATCTCTCATTGTTTCACAAATTCATAAAGCCTTCCAAAATTTTTAACTCCTGTTTATAAAACTTCTGTTCAGATATCTTATGGGTTTTGCTCAGAAAAAAATGTGAGAGTTGAAGAATAGAAAGAATCCTGGAAACGAAGTTTTTTAAGGAAGAGCCTATAAAAGGCGTAATCTCCTGTTCTATGCTAAAACCAAGGGGAAAATCGAAGAAACTCAATGATTAAATAAAAAGAGAAAAAAAAAAGAACAAATGGGCAATGCTCTGTTTTCCTTAGGTAACGAAGAGAAAACAATTGAGGCAGCAAGAAATTCACAGATTCTCGGCATTTTATAAATAGGAAGAGAAACTCAAGAAATACCCAGTTACAATTGTAAGAACGAAGAAGTTCTTCTCTCTATTCCCCTTCTGTAGCCATTTCAGATAAAACAGAGAAAATGAGGAAAGAAAAGAAACTGAAAGAGAGGCAACTAAAACAGGAAACGGACAAATACAGATAGAGAACGAAAGAACTGATGCGTGGAAGTAAGACTATGAGATTCTGAGAGTAGAACAAGACAATGTAGGAGACATAAAAAGGAGAAAGATGAAGAGAGAGAAAGATAGAGAGTTCTCAAGGCAACAAAAAACCTCGTTCTGGGCACAGAGCAAAGTATCGAATTTGAAGAAGAGAGAATAAAGTGCAAGTGCAAGATGAAAGAGTTCCCACACGCACACAAAAACTCCCTCTCTCTCTCTCTCTTTGAGACCCTTTTTAATTCTTGCTCCAAATCCGAGGCCTTTATTTTTTTAACCTATAGTTTTGTTTAGGCACCAGAAGAGAAGAGCCAAAGAGGTACTTTGGCACACCCACTCACAAGTAAAGTCACACCCAATACAACTCTACACTAAAGAATTACAACTATTCTCCTCTATCGCTTCTGCGCTCGCCCCTTGGTCAGCGAAGTTAGGTTTGATCTATTCTAATCACTTATGCGTACCTTAAGGCACTGCCTATTCTACAATTTGGTCTTTCTTCTTGTTAGAGAATTTTGAAGATGATGCAAAAAGGATAAAGACATTGTTAAATATTGGTGTTTCCCTTTCTCTATATATAAATATATCTGTGGAATGTGTTTAGGGGATTTTTTTTAATTTGTTTTAGTTGGTTGGTTGTTGGTTAGGACTGTTCCTTCAATGTGGGTGTTTGGGCCTGAGACAAGTATAATATAGAATAGACGTATAGGTTTTTAATAGAGGGAATTTTTGTATGAAGAAGAGTTTGCTTCATTAATTTCTCCAATGTATCTATGTAGTAATACAATTTATGGGGTTGGGGGAAATTTATAAACTTGGAGAAGGTAATGTATCAATCTCCTCAAAACCTTCTTTGTTGCTTTTTAGTAATGTGTCCATGTGCCTGTCTGCTACACAATTTAGAGGCTCTTTTTGACTCAATCTAGACTAGTGTCCAAGAGAAACAAGGCAATTTTGCCAAATTAATGCCCTTTTTATTTCAACTAGTTTTATGTCTTGTAAAGTATTAACTTGTTTTCATTCATTGATTAAAGCAACAATGTTTGTGCTTTGAGACTTAAAATTTTGTTTACATGGATGTAGGATCTTGTTAAGCCTTCAAGGGTCTCCAAACCCTAGCCCAACGCATCCACTGCCCGTGCCATCTCCTAGGGTTTTGTGCACCTATCTGAATGTTAAGGCACATAGTTATTTTCTTGAATTAAGCTTGATTTTCCTAATTGACTAATCTTTATTACACATGCCTCATGTGGGAGACCGTGTCTGTCGTGGTTCTCTTAGCTTAATTAGTGTTTAATTTTCATATTTCAAGGTTATTAGCAATCAATTAACACAACAGACTAGTTTATGTGTTCTAGGATTAAATTAATAGAGTTGACGGCGAATCAATCAAAAGGAACAAACCCTAATTATCATTTAAATCTCCAAATTTGGAATCCCTAACTACTACTTCTACTAGTACTAGTAGTATAATAAGATTACACCCTCACCACCAACCTCCCCTTTAGTGAAGCTTCCACTATAGCATTTGAAGCCATTTAGTTCCAATAATAGATTTGTCGAAACTGGAACAAGTCGTAGTTGTCCAGCGAAACTGTCTTTCTTTTCAACCAACGTGGCAATCCATTATCATGGTTTATGGAGACAGAAAGAGAGAGAGAGCTTCTGTTTCTGTTGATGACAATTGTTAAGTGCGTAATTAAGCATAAAATTTGTGATTAGTTGGTCGTAATGTGCTTTTCTTTTGTACTATAGTATTAGGCTATTATTTTACCAACAACACTTTCTTGTTTGCTTTCCCTAAGAAAGATGTCCAAAGAATAATTTCAATTAAAACCAATAATAAGTTAACAACTAGTATTTCTTTTGATATGAGTGCATCCCTTTAGCCATCACGACTAAGTATCATCAGAGCCATCATACACAATCTAAATTGAAAATAAATATTATAACCCTATATAGAGGGATTTGTTCAGTAAAATTAGTTATTTTAGTAGTTGTTAGTTGTTTTAGTAATTAGCGTCTTAACCAGTAAAAATGCTAAAAGCTACTTAAAAAACAATTAGAGAAAACAATTTCAAAACAGTTGTTTAGCGTTTTAATTATTTCTATTACTTATAGTGTTTGGCGATATAATGTTTTTGAGAAAAAAACAATTAACAAATATTATAACAGTTAATAGCTACTAAAACAATTAATTTTGTCCAAACACATGCTAATTACTTCAAAAAAAACTTAGTTGGTGTACGGTATAGTATACTAGAGGGCAACATAAAACACTATAGGTGAGTGATGTAGGACCATTAAATTTGACAGGTGCAGGTCTCTCCATTGCAAATCCACACCTGTAGAAGAAGTAGAGGAAGAAGTGAAGCAAAATTAAAGAAGGAATGGGGCCCTATGAGTTAAATGCTTTATCAAGAGGGAAGGAGAGGATTCCGCACACACCTTCAACATCTCTCATTTTCTTAAATGAGAGACTGTTTTGATACACCCATATTTCATTAGAATGGTATCTAACAGGACGCCACATAATAATATCCTTTGATTCAATAAAACATATAATGAATTTATGATTCTTTTCCATCTCTCTCTTACATGGATTGTACCTTATCTTCTACCAAATTGCCACGTGGGTTGTAGACCTTCAGCCGTCAGATTATTCCCTAAATTGGATCTAATTCATTATAACGAGTTTGATTATTGCAATTAAATTTTTTTTTTTCTTTTTTCTTTTTTCTTCATTCACGTGTCTCGATTAGGTCTATGCTTGGGTATATTTCACCAATAATGGATTTATGGTCCAGCATCCATAAGCTTTGGAGCAATTTGTTTCATCAAATACATTTTTTTCTTTTTTAAAGAAACATGCAAACGCTTTAAATACGAGAATATGAAAATAATAGTTTTGATTCGAAAAAAATGTTTTCTATCTGTGTATAAAATTGCAGCTGGAGTAACGATTTATTAGGACAAGAAAAGATAGTTTTCATTTTCAAAACCGGGATTTTGTTCAAATTATGTGAGAAATAGTTATGGAAAGATAGATAAACGAGGCAGTCAAAGGATGATATTTGATTTATACTTTGGGCAAAGTATCTCCAGACGAGGGGAATTCCATTTTCTTTCTGTTTCTTTTGCTTTTTCAGCTTTTAAAATCCCCATTTTATTATAGAATGGGAAACATGCTAATATCTAAGTATCCATTTGGCCTTCGGCTTAGATTTTTCTTCACAAACTGCTTTTCCAATACCCACAATTCAGCAAAACATATTGAAAAGTAAAAATAAGAAAAGCCAAAATATAATTTTGAAACGCCGCTATGAACTCGATGCCAAATGAACTAATTTTAGGAGCAAACAGCATCTCCTTTTCTATCTAATTAGAATATAAATTGCTATTAAAAGCACAGTGGCTTAATTTCAAGAGACAGATGACTCGGAAACGTACTTGAAACATTGAGATTTTTCTCTATTTATAGCCGTAAACAATATTTTGATAAAGAGAGTAGTAAAAAACTTTTGGATGCATTCTGGGTAGCTGCATTAATGATGGTGAACTTAAGTCACATGGCCAAGAATTGGATCTAGGCCGGTCCATATCCTGTGCGTTACTAGGAACTACTTGTATCTATGAGAAAGATATTTTGAGAATGGTCCATTAGAAGGGCCACACAGGTTTAATGTCAAGCCTAAACAAAAGCATTGGATTTGAATAGTTGATTCATCATCTTGGTACGACTGATACTCTTCATCTATTCTCAATTATTCTCCTGGTTCAACTTCCCTGACGTCTTCTCTACTACAATTCACAGCATTTCCACCATAGGTCCTCCATTTATATGTTTAGGTACGTAATGAAGCTTCACACAAGAAGGCATTGACTTGTAACACTTCATATTGATGTGAAGGTTTTCACTTTGGGTAGAAAATTGAGTATGTGGTCCGCCTTAAACTTGGTTTCGTTTTCTTTCATTTCGTTGACTTGGGCAAAGATCTAGTCATTGGCTTTCTTGCATTTTTTGTTTTCCTATCCCTCATGTTGCCTATCAAATCATCAAGTCTATGTCTAATCCATTTATCTTTCTTTTCACAGATTTTGACCACTGTAATATTTCTTTGCCAAAAATTGATAGGACTCGTAATTTTCTTGTCTCTCCACATAAGCATAGGAATATTTTGACATTTGTGAGGGAAATATCATAAATGTAGTTAGTAGTCTTACTCTCCTACCTAATGATTTCTCCTCCCTAACAAGTTTAGAGAGAGACCAATTTTCTTGCATACAATTTGAACAAGTCCCCTTCTCCTGAGTTTATTGGTTGCGTCTACAATGATCATATTTGCTCCAATTGGGTTGCTTACGGCATTGCAGGTTGAATAAATAGACTTTGTTCCATCTCACTCTTTCAAGTTAATACAGTCTTAGTTTGTTCAAATAAGCTTTTAATCCCAACACAAGTGGACTCAGATATGACATAGAATCTTGTTTTGCTTAAAAAAGAGTTCCTAATTACTTCACGATAATAATTGGAGATTTATAAATACAAGCATAAAAGAAATAATATGACTACAAAAATCCCAGGTCTTTAAAGGAAAATGTCAATACCGGTAGAATGGCTATCTAAAATTACCTACATGGAACAACAGCTATTCTAACAAGTATCAGGAGCACCTATAAGAGCAAAAAAAAAAAATTGAAGGGTTGTATCTGTTCCTAACATGTCAACACGACGGGTAAAAACACTGCCAAGTATATTGGGTTTTTAATTAAAATAGTCAAATTCGATGAAGCAATTCAACAATTCAAAACAGTTCGCTCTGACACGAATAACATTAAATGTCTAATAACAAGAACTTTACTTCAAAAGTAATAAAGCAAGAGGCTTGTAAATGGGGACCAGCAAAAAATTTGCAGAAGACACTTTTATTCTTCTAAGTCACTTCAAGCTACAACTACATCCAACTTGAAAGTTAACACCAGTAATTTGAATTCCATGCTCTTAGTAATATGAAAATATTAGCCCATTATTTTTCTTATGGATCATAATTATGTTAGATTAAAGGCATATGATTAACTCCCACAGTTCACCAGCATGCTGATGATTACATTTCTTCATTAATCTAATTGGTCAGGATTCAAGAATGTGCTTCAGTGATTCAAGAAAATGCTTCCATTTACCATTTAAAGGTACCAGCTAAAGAAAATATATTTCTACCTACTGATAAGCCTAATGTAAAATGGTGGAGCTTGAATAAGTGAGTCATAACATCCACCATAAATCATAACTCTAATTCAATTTAAGTTAGTGGTTGACGTACCAAGTAACAATCGTTCAGTACTTTTCAAATACTTGGCCATAAATGAAAAAATCTTTGTATGGCCAACAAAGGCAGAAAATGCTCTATTGTTTTGGCTCTCTCACATGGCAAAACTTTAATTCTTACCATCACCATCATCTACTATTTTGTCATTGCTTGGTTTGTAGCTCTCAGGTTCTTAACTATCTAACGAATAACTCCATACCGGTAGGTTCCATTAAACAATTCTCCACACCAGTGAGTAACATGTTTCAACAATTGCTTTCACTGTCAATGGGCTCCATCAAACAAAGAAATAAAGACTTAATTTGACATAGAAGTAAATTGAATCATCTATCATTATCACAAGATATTAACATTAGTACGTTACCATCTTAATTAGGAAAGAAACCAACAGTGAAAACCGAAAAGCACTTAATTTAAAAACGAATTGCACTATTTACATAGAGGGCTTACATCGTAGCAATTACGCGCAAGTCTAATGCAATTCAACCAATGGAGGATCTCCGCATTTGGATCTCTCTCAATAACAACATCGGAGACAGTGATCTGCACCGCACCTCTATAGCTCGTAATCCTCCCGCGCACACAAGCCACAACACCGATCTTAATCTCTGAGGCAAAATGACTGGCCATGTCGGCAATTAATCGAACATCTGGAGGGCTGCGGCGAGAAAAATAAGGGGAAGTGAGCTGGTTAAGCCAGAGAACGCAGCTAACGCAGCCGGTGCCATCGTCGATCGTGAATTTGAGGAATTTGTTTGGTTTATGCTCGCGGGAGGTGACAATGCCGAGGATTTCGGCGCGTGAGAAAGACTTGCCTAAACGAGAGAAGGAGATTAGGTCTGAGGAGGAGAAAGATGGAAGTTGAGTGAGAGAGAGAAGATCGAAGGCTAGTAGTTTTACGTGCGTGTTTTGGTATTTTTGATCCATATATGGCGATTTTACTGTCAAATTGTATTAGCAGTTTCCTGGTTTTTGGTATAGTATCGAGGAAAAAGATGGGAACAATTGGCGGGAAAAGTTAGACACGTGGGCTATTGTAAGCTTTTTGCTAATTGCTGAGTAATGGGCCTGGCCTGGCCTGGTCTAAAACTACTTCCAACAAATGGGCTAAAGAAATTTTACAGGCCCATAGAATATATTTAACGAAAGCATCTTTAGCGTATAACTGAACATGATAATTTTTTTGTGAGGATATTACATTGAAACTTACAGTACAAATGACAAACTCAGTTTCAATTCAACTGCAAATACCAATAATCATTTCATTTAGATGTCTCAAATCTTTTCAACGGTGGCATATTGAACCATCACATGCAAGAGAATAACAGTACGTAACTATAGGAATACAGCTGCAATTTGCAGATATAAAGCTACAAATCTTTCCCTACCATTAACCATATCAACAGACCACATACTCAATTCAACAGATGCCTCTGCATCTTTTCCTTGGCAGGAGAAAGGCTCATCCAACCATGGTGCGCTTTCGGCCCCTTTGGCGAACTGTAATAATGTTGTAAAATAAAATAAGAGGTAAGAACAAGATGACAAGCACACACAGGAAAAGATAGGAGAGAGAGAGTAGCACCTTGGGCTAGCTTGTTCATGGTGGATGACCACTGTTTTGAAGATTTCTTATATGCAGCAATTATGCGATCCATCTATACAAGAACACATGCCATGGTAGTCAAATACTGTTGTGCAAGGTTCTATTCAATTCAAGTTTTAAATATTATTTCACAATTTCAAAATGTTTGAGAGGAAATTAAAAGCAAGATTGGGATCTATTTTCTAACAACCGTTTTGATGAGTTATGGGGAAATGAGGATTTCATTAAATCATGCCATCAAGACATTTCCTGCAGTTTCCACTTGCAAAATCATAAAATGATGAAACTACAGAAAATATATCTCAAAATTTATTTTGTATGTCTATCAGCAATCCAACAGAGAATGAGTTAAATTGGAATGATCAGAATTGAAAATTATTAAATTACCACATTGCCACATGAAGAATGCATAGAAAGCAAGGCTCTTTCAAGTACATACAAATCAACTGCCTTGTCTTCGGGAAGGGTTGATGTGAAGCTCAGACCAAAATCAATGAGCACCTGGGAAAAGATACCTTTTCTAGTTTAGATGCAAATACAAAAGTAAATATAATTACCCCTTTCCTCCCAAAAAATAAAGGTTAACCTATACAATAATTCACCAGTTGATTAGTGCCATTGCGGATTAGCATGTTGGAAGTGGTCAAGTCACCATGAATGAGGCCACCATCATGTAGTTTTCCAATTGCATCGCCGATCTGCATTGCAATATCAGCCAAACGTTCTTCCACAACACCATGTAACCCAAACTCAAGAAAGATATCTTTCACAGAATGACCGTCCACATACTCAAATGTGAGCGTATGCAGCAAAGGATCCAGAGCATACAGCACAGGAGTAGAAACCCCAAGTCGTCGTGCCTTTGTCATGCACCTTGCTTCCTGCTCCAAATGTTAGTACATGGAAAAATATCAGACAGCAGAGAGCTCGCTTCATCATTCACAGAGAAAAGCAAGCAAAATAGGCCTTATATAAGTAACTAACCGCATTTAGACGCTTAAGGGTGAGTTTAGAATCCAAAGATGGGTGCCTATATTTCTTTGAGAAGCGTTCCTTGACAATAGACTGTCTTCCAACAAAAGTAGACTCATAAACCCTCTGAAAAAGCATACAATCATCACGAGTGTAAGAAACTGCAACTTCCAAAGTACATTTCTAAGCAGTTGAAATAAATTACCAAACAAGACAAGCTGAAAAAGATATTTTTAAGAATTGAAAAGTGGAAACTTTCATAAACAAAAATGCATAATATAAGTTCTACGCATAAAAAAGGAAGGATATATGCAACTCAAAAATTAAAAGGCAAGAATGTGTTATTTGTGTCCTTTCCCCAAAAATTATAATAAAACTCACAGCTTCAGCGCCTTGCTTTATCAGAATAAGCGAGCCATCTTTAACATCTGAATTGATCTCCATACAGTTGTGTAATTGTAAAGAAAATTACCTGGTGAAATTACAAACCAACACAAAATATTAACCAAAGTTAAACATACAGAGAAGGTTTTTATTTCACTGTTCTAATACTTTTGTAGCCTTTTTAATTGTGCTAAAAGATAACAATAGAACAAAACAATTAGAACTATTTTTTGTTTGTCCTGAAATAAATATGGTTTAATCCGTAACATCACATATAATTACTGGCAGACCTACTAATTGAGCCGTTTTGAATTGGTTAAAAGTAAATATTTCAATGTACTAAGATGAATTGTATATAAATATGTAAAAATATATAACCTTCGACGATATTCCAAATGCATTCATGACAAAACATGAATCTCTCTCTCCCCTTATCGTCAAGCCTTTTTATGCTATCATCAACAAGAAGTTGTTTCCCAAATTTACAAGTTATTTTCCATCGACCATTAACTTATTTCCGGTGATTTATTCTCTTTTAATGCCTCAAACAACAGAAAATTGTTCGTTAAGGTGAGGAGAAATAAGGATTGTTGGACATGTCTAATAATATCAGTATATGTAGCAAGTTACAGCATTGTATATTCACATGCTCAACACATCAGATTTTTCTATCTTTTGTTCAATAGAATAGTCGTTATATTTAATTAATACGTTCAGCAACCACAATTATCCACATTCGCAAAGCTCGTAAGAACAGTTAATAGAATTGAATTTGTGCACAAGAGGATTTACCTTCTGATGGTTTGAGTGTACGAGCCGGCGGTAGAGAGCAGAACCTCTAACTCGAAGATGGACTAAACTGCAAAACCCTTCCGCCCCAAATCCTTCCCTCTCCAACTTTCTGGCGCATAATAACACAACAACAACGACGTCGTTAGAGCGCCTTTCTTCTTTGGATAGAGGTCTAACTTTAATGTCCATCGGGTCCAAGTCCAACCTATGAGGGTGTTTTTGTAAATATGAATGCGTGATTAAAGAAAAACAGATACAACGATGCCGTTTAAGCATGATACAGCAATATTACCAGTCAAACTGAGACCCTCGGAGCCTCCCCTTGCAAAGCAGAAACCCTAACCTCCACTCCCTCCCACCGATACCAGAGCAAGCTCAAGGTTTCTTCCTGGTAATGAAGCTCGCTTTTTCTCTGGGTATTTTTCAGTTTTTCAATCTTTTTATTATTGATTCATGATTTTGTTTTGATCTAAATTTCTAATCGAGTGTTTTGAGTCCTTTGTTAGGTTTATAGCTATACATTTGTACAATGAAGAGGCCAATGCCATTGAGCGATAACGAAGAGGATTCATCATCTTCTGATGAATCTTCATCATCAAATTCAGATAGTAATGTTGATAAGACGAAAGGAAGGGACGTGTCAAAATCTAACAAAGGCCATCAATCCAAGGAAAAGAAGTCTGAAGGTATTTTAAAAGATTCATGGCATATTTACCAAAAGAAAGGGTACATATTGTATGAAAGTGAGAAAAATGGGGGAAAATATCTTTCTCGTCCGTAACTGTAGTCCTTACTGTTCTTTAACTACGTTAGTGAATGGGATGTTGTTCTTGACGATGTTTAGCTTGCAAAACGCAAATATCTCTAAACAGTTCCTCTCCTCTTTCTCAATATCTTGTGGTATTGATGCAAAATTTTGCTTTCCTCTGCATATGTTATATATCTAGGCAAGTACGGGAGGCGTAAGAGTGGCGCTGTGGATTTTGATGTACTGAAGCAACATGGCTATAAAGGCGGAATGTCGGTCCTGAGTGTGCCCCTGCCGAAAGAAGACACAAAACCAGACTGGGCTTGGTCTACTGGCAAAGAACGTCGTGAGATCGAGGCGGTTGAAGAATCTTACGAACAACGGCAAAAAACCAGAGCTGCCTTGTTAGATGCCGAGCGATTGACAAATGTGCAAACTTCTAAAGAGAAGAAAAACCTTAGTTTCTCTCAGAAGGAGAAGAGAAAACGCGATCTTGGTCAAGCTAGTCGAGGGAAGAATTTTGTTGAAGAAGAGAAGAGGTTGTCAAGGGAAAGTGGTATCTACTCTGGCTTTGACACGTAACTAGTAACGCTTTATATAGCTATGCTGTTATTGTGAAAACTCCATTACTGTGTAATTAGAAATTCTTATAAGTTCTTATGTGTTGCTTCGAGTAGTAGAGATTTTTCTTCTTCAAGGTGAGCTTTCGGTTAACTGAAAAAGGCATTTGCAAACTAGTGAAATTGTTGGAAAATCAGGCGTGGCATTTTCGTTAATAATTCAGTCATCTTGAGCATTACAAATAAAATTGCAGTTTATAATCTATGAGCTGATGAAAAATATAATTTATGTTAAAAAATTTAACAATTTTAAGTATATTGGCATAAATAAATTTGTTTTTTTTTAAAACAAGTATTTTTATTTATAAATAAATAAACAAATGTGAAGATAATAGGAGAGGAACTTTATTTTTTAAATTTAAATTCGACACGAGTTTTAGTAAGTAAGGCTGTAAACTCTGATCCTTACAACACCTTATACAGCCAGCATATTCATGATCCTGTGTACTATGAAATTTGAACCGAGCTTCAAAGGCGACATTTCTCTGCTCTCTGACACAACCGAGTCCTCAAAGGTATCCAGACAACGTAAGCCATTTTGACAGCTTCGTCAGATTTGTAAGTGCAGAGCAGAATACCTACCGGCGGAGAGTCCAGTATATAGCGCGGATGGTTTTAGGAGTTGTTCTGCAACAACCTCCAATGAGGGAAGCCCCAATCTCACACCATTTGTTTACATACGAGACAAAATCTTCATCTGATATCCCAGTATTTTGCTGCAATATAAACATATACTGTTAGTTTATTTAGCATATTAAAATGCAGGCTAGCTGCAAAGCTGCGAGCATTTGATACGAAAAAGAAGGGGAAATGAAGTAAATTGGATAATGACATATTTCCTTTTCCCTATTCTTTTAAAGATTCAAAAGAAAATTTCCAGAATCTTCAATAAGCCATATTGCTGACTATTACTTCTGGAAATAGCTTCAGATTTTGCAGTGGTGAATGTTGTTTTACTTAAAACTACAAGGTTTGATTTGTTCCTTCAAATGTAATTTAAAAGAACAAGTTGAAGGTACTTTCTTTGTATTTCACAGGAAAACAAACAATGAAGCAAAATATAACTTACCACCCACTCCTTTAGGTCAGCATCATAACTCTCCCCACTGTTTGGATATATAAGTATTGGTTTGGATGTCACCTGAAGAGGCTGAAAGTAAGTTTCTCAAGAAGTAGATAGCCTAGTATATTCTGACTAAGATTTTAAAAAAAATAAGAGAGGAACTAATTCCCAAAACATTTACAAATGCTGAAAGCAGAAACTTCTTAGTTCAGATTGAAGGCCAAAACTATTATGGCATAATATAGAAACCACACATACAATATTCAATTGGTGTCACTTGTCTCAGTGGAAGTATAATTACTGTTGCTAGTCATCTGCATATCATACCATCATAAAAGGCATCTCAAGATTAAACAAGCAAGCATAACAATCATTATCATTGTGGAAAATTGCTCTTAAAAAATTACAAAAACAATGAAACAACCATTCCGTGGATTTGGATAGCTAGGCATTTGAAATGATTAAGTACTAGATTTCACATTATCTTGAATTTTTATGATTTTACATTTTAAAACTCAAATCCAAATTTGCGGTCCAAGCAAACTTTGGCAAAATACTTTTGTAGGAAATATATGCAGACTGTGGAGGTAAATAGGCTAGGGATAGTCAATTGACCATGAAGGAGAACCATGTAACTACTATTATGTTGAAAGCGCACCTTCTTGATACATAGTATCAGTCCATGAATAAACCTTGGAGGCGTGCAGTTGATTCCCACAGCAGCTACCTTGCTGCATGATTCAGCAATTGAAGCACACTCAAGCAAAGAATCACCACTAACCACATTGATACCATCCTTAGAGTTAAAGGAGAACCATGCAGGGATTTTTATGTTTTCTTCCTCTAATAGGTCAGCATAAGCCTGAAAGAACAGAAAAGTCAATGAGATAATTTACACCAAAATTAACATGGCAGCAATAATTAACTAAGCAAGCTTCGCTCCCCAATTTACTCTTCCTTTCTTTTCTATAGCTTCCCAAAACCAAGTGCAAATGTCCTTTTAATTTCCAAGAAACAAAAGGAAAAAATGTTAAGATATCAAAAGAAGCAAACTAATACCTGAGCTTCAACCTTATTTGGAACTGTTTCAAATGCAATGAGGTCAGCACCTGAATCTGCCAATACCTGAACCCTTCTGCGATGAAAATCTTTCAAGGTTTCCAGGGTAATGTCATCACCATAAATCCCACTGAGAATGTGAAAGAACAATGAGAAAGTTTCACTTCTATAATGGATATGTTTAACCAGACGTGCAGAGTCAACATTGATTTGAGATGTTTGCCTGAACTTGGTGCTTGATACAAGTGATATCAACAGAAAAGCAGCTCATTTAATGTTTTAAATAACAAGTGGACTCACCTGTACTCAGATCCATCAGCCAAATAAGCTCCATAGCTGCCAACAGAAGCTGCAACTAAAATGGGACGCTGTTTCAGAACCCTATTGTCATTATTACCATCACAAGCACCTGTTTGGCATCTCTCATAGTAAATATCTCTGGCCTCACAAGCAATTTCCACACTTTTCTTAAGCAGGGCTTCGCCTTCTTGGCTAGAGAAGCCTTTGGCTTCAAATCCCTGAATGGTAGCCTGTCCAAATTCATATAAACTGAGTGTCACTTCCGTGGAGAAAGACAAAGAAAGTGTTTGTTGTTAGTACCTGATAAGAGGCCGTGATGATAACATCAGCCCCCGCTTCAAGATAGTCAAGGTGCACCTGCCCAGTTACGAAAATCAGCTTCCATTTTTTTTTATTAAAACAGAAATAAAACAGACTACAAGAGCATGAAGTATCCTCCTCATATAAACACAAAGAAATAAACAATAGCAAGCAATTAAAAGTATGCCCCCGAATTATGAAACCATCTTCTACCACAATAAGCCTCCAGAAATTCCCATAGCACAAGAAACCATCTTCTACCACAATAGAATAAAAGACAAGATATAGCCTGGTAAAATAAAAAGATATGATTGTACTAACTATCCAAATGGTTTATGACATAAGTAAACAGAACTGATTGCTAAACAAGAAAAGATAGTTTATATCATTAGATGGCAGTTTACCCACTAAAAATCGTGTCAACATGTGAAGACATTCGCATAATATCTCTCTTATTAAATTATTACATCAATGAATGTGGAGTCTTCTGAATACATTTTATGGTGCCAGCATTGGCAAATTTTCTGGGGGAGACCAGGGACTAAAAGGACATGATACCCCATAATTCTGTGGGGAAAACTGAAATGATGTAAAACCAATAACTAGTTTTGCTCATTTGATTCATGGATATGCTCTGCCCTTACCCCCTTTCCTTCCTGGCCAGAAGAGAAAAAAAGACAATCAGAAAAATGCTTTCATAATAATACTAGTCATAATAAGAAGTGCAAACTTGTCCAAGTCCCACCTTCAATCATCAAATTAATAGTGTTTCTTTCAAAATCATTCATGATAGCATATGCTTTAAATCAGTTGAATACTTTCTTTCCATACTTCGATAAAGTTACATGGCGTGAATCAAGAAACAAACTACTTTCTATACACCAAACTGATACCCTTGTGTGCCTCACCAGCTATACTTTTCATCACTAAAACCAACATCACTCCCTCCATTCCACTTTTAAGTGTTGCTTTAAAAATAAATTTTCATTCCACTTCGTCAATCATTTCAGAAAATTAAGGAAGTATTAATTATTGTTTTTCAACTTTACCCTTGTCTTTTGTTATCTCCATTAAATTACACAATTTCTCTCTTCCTTATCACCTTTCTCTCTCTTAATTAAAGATTTAGAGGATTGATAAAAGGACAACTAGTCGAATATAATACTTTTTTCTATAATTGAAATTGCTCAATGATTTTCTTAATCATCGTGCAATTACTTTAAACAACGTTTAAATGTAGGCATGAGCCCTTATAAGAATGTTCTTCCATAAGAACAACTTTTCCAGCCGTTGGATGACAAGTTGTATTAGGATAAGCACAATTATTATTTGTCTATTTGAATTGAGATAAATGTAATTTTAAATCCAATGGCTGATGAGATCATTCTCATATAAGAACATCCTTATATTAGGCGAACCTTAAAATGTAACAGAAGATAGAATTTGGGATTATCCCTACTCCAAAAACTATAAAAATAAAAAATAAAAAAAAAAAAAAACAGGAAAAGGAAAAAAAAACAAAGACAGAGAAGAGGAGGGCATATGTTGCATGCCCTCTGCCAACCATTAATTAAATAACATGTATTTGACATACCAGTGGCCCAAATTGAGATACTTACCACATAAATATAGTCTGTCGATACTAAACTCTAATAAACAAAAGACGATACGGTTGATTCAAGAAAAGCAAGCTCAGAATCGAGCTCCAATTCGAACTTCTAATGAGTTCCATTCTTATATTATTATAGTCAAAAAGTCCTGACTACAGACATCTCAATACAGACAAAACTATAAAGTTGATTGTATTTACACAACCCCCATAGAGTCAATACAAGAGAACAAATAGCAGAAAGCAGGACCACGATAAATGCATGTTATGGAGGTCCATATCTGCATAGATCCAAAAAAGCAGTGCCCATCTCTGTTAGATGTGAGTAAGCTTTCATTGGCAGTCATAACACATACAATTCCAAATAAGATCAGACCAGCTCTCAGTCTCTCTCAGCCAATAATAACTAATTAAGTGCTCTAGAATCATAAACCTCATCCTCAATAGAAATAACGCATTTTCTCAAAGACAAGGTCTAAAGTCTAAATGCACTACTTGCTCCACATTTCAAATTTAAAGGAAAAAAAAATTTGAAATAGAAACCTAATCAGCTATTATGTATACATGTACAAATACGCAAAGAAAGACAGAGAGAGGTAGTACCGTACGGATAAGGTGAGGCGAAGTTAGAAGACACTTGGCACTCCAAAGGGGATCGTTCAGGTCAGCGCCATGCTGTTCGAGCTCCGTCGCGAGACCACCGTCAATGACAGCGACGCCGCCAGACTGCCGGAGGAAATCCGATATCAAGGATGACTGCTCGGCGCCGGAATGCCTCATATGCGGAGTTGTTCCGATAGAGAAGTTATGACTTTCTCGTTTCATTGTATTAATTTGGTAATTTGGTTGTTAGGCGCGTAGCCGTAGTGGAACTGGATCAAGTACAAGTCGGCAGCAAACAAAGTGACAGTAGCGCTAGCTCGTTTGCACCGCCAATTCCGTATCTATAGGGGGCAAAGTTTCTAGAGATTGACCCCACAAGTTTCTTAAATAGCACTTGGGACCCAGTTGTATTTTCCCCTTGATTTAATTCACCTCAGCCTTCTATTTTCTTTTCTGATTACTTCACAAAATTGTTTGACAATCGCGGGCTTTTACAAAAATAATTCTCTTCATAAACTATCTTCCAATCTAATATCATTTCAAAACTATTTACTAATTTAATATTTATCCTAACACGGAGAGAGTGTTACACTAAAATCACGAATTGAGTTGGTAACTTCAATACAATAAAAAACATAACTCGTACTAACAAGCAGGGAGCAAAAAATAGTTATATAAATAAATAATAAATTTTATTTTGTATTGAGACTAGCAATCCAATTGGTGGTTTCAATACAAAATAAAAATTCTAAATTATCAATTTGCCTTTTCACTAAAAAACACAATTTATTTGGTGGTTTTAGTGCAACCAATTCTAAATATCATTTCAAAACTATTACTATTTTAAATATTTATCCTAACACGGGGAGAGAGTGTTTACAACTAAAATCACGAATTGAGTTGGTACTTTCAATAACCAAATAAAAAACATAACTTCCGTACTAAACAAGCAGGGAGAAAAAATAGTTATAATAAATAAAGATAATAAATTTTATTTTGTATTGAGAACTAGCAATCCAATTGGTGGTTTTCAATACAAAATAAAAAATTCTAAATTATCAAATTTGACTTTTCACTAAAAAAACACAATTTAATTGGTGGTTTCAATACAAAATAAAAATTCTAAATTATCAATTTGCCTTTTCACTAAAAAACACAATTTATTTGGTGGTTTTAGTGCAACTATGGGATGTGACCACTAGTTGGTAAAAAGTACATGCAAAAATAGTGTTTTATTAAGAGTCCACCAGATTAATTAGTGATTCAATAAAAAAAATAAGTGTTCACTCAAAATACATGTATGGTCTTGTGGTTTTTTGGTTCACAATTATTTCAAGTTACGTAATAACATCATTATAGAGAGTAATAAAATGCTTCGAGTTGAACTTGTATGATGTTAAAAATGTCTTAATAACTAATACATGAAAAATCAATCATATGAATGTCTCCCCACATGTCCTCTTGTACCACACCTTGGAGGCCTCCTATTACGACGTGGATTTCGACATACTTTATCTTCTCTAAGACCTTGACATTCTTCTTTATGCTCAATATTTATATCGACACTCATGTGAGGAGCTTGAACCACATTCACAAATAGTTGTTTTGTGCTATGAAATGTTAGATGAGTCTATTGCTCGGGTACCATCATCATCTCAAAGAAATCATTAAATGAGTGTCTAGAATGAGATGTAAATCTATCATATGTGCCAAAAGACACCGCAGAAGTATTGAAAGTAGGTATTGTATATTGAAATAGCGTTGCCTCGCCTATTTCAGAGAAAGAAGTATGGGTTGCCATCATTGGAGTGTAATGAATGTTTAATGGCATTTCTAATGTTGTAGATGGTACACTTTACTCAGATTGTGGTGCAGAAGATGATGTGTTGCCCATATTAGTATGATAACCTTCATAATAGTTATATGTCATAGAGAGAGAGACTTGAGGTATATCGTCTATTGGCGAGGCTTCAACTAGAATACTTCTAGATGCCATTTCACGACTCTTTCACCTCTGTAGTTCTTTTGGTGTTTGGGCATGAGGAAACTCTATAAATGGAGGGGCAGGTTAAAGCATAGGATGAGTTTTGGTATTAATTTTTCATTCATCACATTAATAGGCTAAATAATCTTCAAAGGAATGATGAATTTCTACACGTTGGTGATGTTGAACTATAATATATATGTTGGAGCCCATCTTCCTATTGTAAAAAAATATTATGAAAATAAGAGCAAGATTTATTAATCAATTAGACTAAGAAATTATAAAATAATATAAAAAGCTATCGAATAATTACTAGAGCTCTAACTTGTGCACCTCGAAATGAAATCCAACGTCTAGTTCGCTGCACAATCAAATGTATTGCACCAAAATCATCAGATTATATGTATGTTTTTGTAAAAAAATATTTTAAGTGAATAAATATTTTTTTATTGAAACCACTAATTATCCAGTGGACTCTTTAACAAAACGCTGTTTCTCCGTGTACTTTTTACTGATTAGTGGTCACATCCCATAGTTGCACTAAAATCACCAAACGAATTGTATGCTTTAGTAAAAAGGCAAATTGACAACTTAAAATTTTCATTTTGTATTGAAACCACCAATTGGATTGGTGGTCTCAATACAAAATAAAAATTATTGTTTTTTTGTATTGAAAACCACCAATTTGGATGTGGTACTCATTTTGTATTGAAACCACCAATTGGATTGGTGGTCTCAATACAAAATAAAAATTATTGTTATTCATATAACTATTTTTTGCTGACTGCTTTACTTTTTTTATTGCACTGAAAGCACCAAGTCAGTTGGTGCTTTTAGTGCAACACTCTCTTTCTATGTTAGGACAAATATTAGATTGGTAAATAATTTTGAAATGGCATTAGATTGGAAAATAATTTTATAGAGAGCATCATTTTTGTCAAAAGCCCGATAATCGCATTCTAATTTGAAAATTATTAAATTATTGGTTCTTTATCTTAAATTTTTAAAGAATTGGGGTCTAAATTTTGCTAGTTTGTTTTTTTTTTAATGTCTCAATTTTATTTTTTTTATCAATCAAGTGTTTGAATAAAACTTTTTATTTTCAACCGGAATTTTATTGTCAAATTAAACAATTTTATTTAATAAAATCACATCTAAACATTCATTCATTTGTTCTCTATTTTGATGTTTCAGTAAGAAATTTTGACAAAATACATTTAATTAAATTGATAAAAAATAAAATTGAGATACTTAAATAGAAAAATAAATAAAATTGGATCACTAATTTATGATTGTCCCAATACTTATTTCATTTATATTGACTATGATGTTCATGCACTTGTGCAAGAAGACTAATACTTATCAAAATTAAAATGTTCAAAAAAATATAAAAAAAAAATCAAATTTCCTGTTTGTTTTTTTTTTTTTTTTTTTTTAAGTTTTTTTTTTTTTTAAATGCGTAAAGGTTTTTTTTAATACATAAACTTGGGTGAATTTTTTTTTTTTTTTTTTTTTAAGCGTAAAGGTTTTTTTATACATAAACTTGGGTGATGCTGTATCAGCTGCGCAAGATTCTGCCTTGGATGTATCATAACCATTTTTTTTTTTTCTTTGAAACAGAAAATATTCTGAGGATCTTCTTTCCTTTAAACATATAAACTACTATATTGATCTATCTAAACTGAAACCATCTCAAGAAATGTTATACAATACAAATATGAAGCTCCAATTTTCCAATTTTCTGTAGCAATAATAATTACAGCAGCCAAACCTTTCATGAACTTTAAACTTGCAAGAACTTACAAAGACCAGAAATTCCTCTGCCTTCAGGAGACTGCAGAAATCTATGTCTTAGTTATTTGAAGGCCGGCTGCATTCTAGCAATGAATTTGCACAAGTACTCTGCAAATAAGAATTATATACCGGTCATGGAAGTTGAGGAGCTATGGACCTCGGGCTGAACTGAAACAGAAACAGCCGGTAGATTGGCCTTCAGGTATCATGCCACCTCCTTTGCTAGTATCAATTGCTTCAAGCAGCTTCACTACCTCATCCATCTCAGGACGTTTGTGTGGATTTGCATCCCAACATTTTCTCATGATGCCTGCCAATGGATGCGGGCAACATCTGGGGATTTCAGGGCGTAAATTCTGTTCAAAAGTCACAATGATTGATGAAGTTGACATTTATGTAAGAAATAGTTTCAAATGTGGGGCGTGTCAAACTACAACCAGCAAAATAAGTAATAACGGAACCTGAAACTACAGAGATAAATATATGAAAAGACAAACCTGTCGAACAACCTGAGATGAAACTTCAGCGAAACTAAGATCAGGATAAGGCATATCACAGCAATAAATTTCCCATAAGCATATGCCAAAGCTGTACACATCGCATTTCCTATTGTAAGGCTTACCATCAAGGACCTAGACAAGTTATTATGTTAGTCTTTTATCCACCTTTCAGACAAAACAGGATATTATAAGAGATAGCCACAGAAAGAACAGTACGTACCTCTGGGGCCATATATCCAAGAGTACCAGTTTCCCCTGTCATATCCCGTGGATTCTGTGCTTCAACTCGTGCAACACCAAAATCAGCTATTTTCAATGTTCTATGAGCATCCAACAACATATTTTCTGTCTTGACATCACGATGTACAATCTTTTTAGAGTGAAGGTAGCTCAAACTGCAACAGTGGATCAAGTAAAAAAAAATGTTAATCAAGCCTGAATCGAAGATTACATTCCCCAAAAATGTGTACTTACCCTCTTGAAAGGTCCAAAGCAAGCTGAATCACAACCTTGAAGGCAAGTTTCTTCCTTCTATTTCTGATTAAAAATTTCTTTAACGTCCCACCTGGAAGATACTCAAGGACAACACAGCATGCCCTGGAAGGATGAGAATCATAACTTCCATTTGCAGGGCTTTTGGGAAGCATCTTGAGATTGGAAGTCCCCATTGAAGCTCCAACAAACTATAATGTGAAATTTTACTTAAAATCTGAACACAGAGGTCTATAATATAATTTGTAAAGAAAATTTAACTTTAACTTAAGTCTGAAGATGGATAATATCCAAATAATGTAGAAAATGAATATACAACTCAAGTGATATTATGATTTATGGTAATTAAATGCTCAAAGCATCATAGTATCATTCACCTTTGTAACATTGGCATGGTCGAGCTTATGCCAAACAGCAACCTCTTGCCGAAAAGATGCCCGAAGAGCTGCAATTTCAGCAGCAGTGGCAATGCCATCCTCCCCCCAACTCAATATCTTCACTATAATGTTTGAGAATCACAATAGGCAGTAAGGATATAACTAAGAAAAAATAATTATAGATACATGACCTTACAATTTGATTTATGGAGTAAGATTATGTATCTATTGATAAAAAGGAAAGCTCCTACTGCAGGTGCAATTTTACTAGGCAACTTTATATCAATCGGATAGACTTTTAGTCACTAATTAGTCACCCAAAAGTTGGATAGGGGCATCAATTATTATGATCTAAACCTTAAAACACAATCAACTAAGACAGAATTTAACCAAGAAGGTTTAAAGTACTAAGTTGTTTAATCATTTGTCTGATGATTGTTCTTAATCATTGTTGTTTGACCCAGAAAAAATAGAAAAAAGAGTTTAAACAAGAGTTAATACTACTTTCATAAATTAAGTTGAAAGACAGGATATCTATATAATTAAAACAACCTGCCAGCACTTACCTGTAAGCATCTCATTCTGTCCTATCATAAAAGTTCTTATCAGATCTTGAACTGGACTAATCATGAATTAACTTATCATCACTTATATTGAAATTTGAGCATTTGAACTGCTAAAAGATTTCCTTAGCACCTTTTTATATGAAAAGTACCAAGTCTCAGTGTAGTTTTCTTTACCTCGTTTTAATTACTAATTCATAGAATTCATTGACAGATGTAGAACACCATAAAAGTAAGCCAGAACTAATCAAAGAATCATCTACAAGACAAACTTTTCAAACAAACGAATTCAACAAAAAGAGAAATGAATTTGTAAGTGCAAAATTAACTAAATTCCAAATTAATTAAAATGCATTACCAGCAACATCTTGGCCGTCATAATTGCCTCTATACACGATACCGTAAGTCCCTTGAGCTATAACATGCCTCATATCCAATTTGCTCAAATCAATCTCCCATTCTTGTCTTTTTGTCTGAACTTCCCCATCCCTTGACCAAGCACGGTTCAAGTGCTTCTCTAGCTGAATATCCCAGCTCTTGAAATCAATTTTATCTGCTCTAAAATACATTTCTCTGTTGCTAATACTACCCGCATCTTTCGCTTGTGAACTCAAGCACTTTTCTTGGGTGTTAGAGGTTGCTTCTACTTCATGGCTATTGGATTCCTCTGCTTTTAGACCCCCTTCAACTTCCCTAACATTGCTTGATTCCATTTTTGTCTCTTCTTCTATAATAAGTCTAAAAACTCTAACTGAAGAAGTAAAAGTTGGTAATACAAGATTTTGTGATCCTAAATTTTGTACCTGAGACTGTAAAACAAAGCAAGCATACAACCATGTAAATGAAGAAGCAGCTAAAGAAAGAAGAATGAAGTGTTTATTTTTATCAATCCAAAGTCAGACTTATGGACTCAAAATCCAAAATTTATTTGCCCAAAAGAAAATTTTGAAAAATGGAAAAATTATAGCTTGAAGATAACCAAGAAAGAAAAGAAGAAAAGAATGACAAAAATACAATTCTTAGAAAAACTAAGAACAATCAAATAAAAACCCACGATTCTTTTTATTAAAAAAAAAAGCACAGAAAAAGATGCATGAGAGAGAGACAGAGCGCGCAATAACGAAAGCAGGGTTTTGTGGAGGAGAAAAAATGAATAGTATAAAAGGGGAACCAATCAGATGAATGGAGAAAAAGAGGAAAAATGATGGAAAGATTTTTCTGAGAGAGAGAAAAAGTGAATGGCAGATTGTGGCCTAAAATAGCTGCCGCGACTGTTTCCAAGCAGACGTTTCAACTCTTAAATACGCTGTTCCTTACCTGTCACTTTTAACCGACTTACCGGAATTTAGAGATTTTTAAAATTTTTATAAGCTACAATGTTTTACAATGACTAAAATATCCCTGTAATGTATTAAACCTTAGATTGCTTAGATATTGATGATTCCTTTAATAAAGTTTTTTAAAAACTATATCCACTTTTTTTTTTTTTAACGAAGCATCGAAAATACTTTTATTTCATTTTTTTATTAATTCAATCTATAAATAGATTTATAGACTAAATCTAAATAAATTAATCCTATTAGACGGATTCTAGAAATTGAACAAAATATAAATTCATGTGTATAATTTAATAAAAATGCCCCTTTTATTTATCTTAAAAATTAATGTAAATAACGTCATTTTATCTTGATCTAATATTTTATAAATAAAACTTATGAACCCATAATTTTACTGATAAAAGTTGGTCTAAAATACTACAGTTACTGAAAGCTCAATTTAAACAAGAAGGAAAAATATCGATAAGTTTGAATTTTATACTTTGTTAAGTTCCTAACTTAGTTTTACTTTAACGGTAATTACTATTTCTTTTTTTCTTTTCGATAGTTTCTAACAGCTTTTCGAGTCCCAGAAAGGGCGACAATCAAAAGGACCTTTTGCCTAACTATGTACTGTCGCCCAATCGCATCTTGTTTAGGTTTGTAGCAGCTTCCTTGATGCTTCCTAAGCATCCAATATAGCACTGTCCCACTGTCATAGATTCTATATTCATCCTTAGATAAGCTCAATGCTTAGTTTCTTCCACCGTCACTCTAGAACCAGCTCACAACTTTCACCAGAATCAAATCAAGAGAAAAAAATAAGAAAAAGAAAAAGAAAATTCATTTTTACAATTCCGCAACTACGAGAGGGAAGAGAGAACCTCGCATTTTAAAGAATAATTCTGTGAAATTCTGACCCCATGGACGTTGGACCTATTATTAGTGCCGGCTTTCGAACACACATCACATATCAGATCAGAATCTTTCTCTGGAGTGGGAAAGTAATAATAAAAAAGTTGATCAAAATAATAGCTTTAGGCAATTGGACAAGTAAGGAATAATGGGTGGTTTTTTCCATCACATCAACATTTCTTTCCATCTGCCAGGAAAGCAACCAATTTCTTACGAGAATATTGGGTCTTCATGACTACTACCGCAACAAAAACTCATTTTTAACTTGAAAATTTAAGCTTATATACCTGAGATTCTTAAAGTGATGAGACCACCTGCATGAGAATTTTATCCAAGGTACATAGTTACTGAGGAACACATCGTCTTGATCTCTGGATTTTAATCGTGCCTTGCAGAATTTCAAGAACTTCAATCAAACTCAACTCTAAACAGTGACTATCAGATTAATGGTAAAGAATATCAAATCAACACTAAGAGAGACCTTCTAAAATCAAGGTACTTTTGTTACAATGACAAGCAAGAATGATGCCTAGTTTGACCGTTATTAAGAATACTTTTCAGATATGACTTTTTACAGATAAAGTGATTCATACAAATTAAACAAGTCAGTGACTCGATCAAGTTTTGGCAAGCCCACACCAATTGGCAAAAAAGTACCTTGAATAATTGATGAATCGACCTGCCAGTCTATGAACTCCATTGACATACCTCATATTCTCATGATGTTTGCTTTGGCCACTAAATTTTGATGTGCATTATTATATAATAAAGTTTGACCAGGAGGAAAAGGCTACAATATTCTTTATGCCAGACAAGGATTGCTTCCTAACTTCCAAAGAAAATTTCCATTAAAACCAAAGAGTTACCAGTTATAACAATTAAGTCCACAATGATTGGCACTGCTTTCATTTGCCTTTTAGATACGCCATCGGTATTCTTGCCTTCTCTGGTAAGTATGTGTGTGCATATGTGGACATGCACAATAGTGTGTATGATTGAGTAAAGAAAGAAAATATCAACATGCAGAGAAGTAATTCAAATAAATTAGATGTGTATTATTACCAGAAGAAATATTTAGTTTACAGGAGTTTTCTCCTTTTACATTTCTCATTCTATGAAGCATAGAGGTGAAAGGAACAACAAATTTTCTTACCACAAACTTTTTGCCAATTCCCTTAATATGTTTAAGTAGTGGCGTTTTGCTGAAGCAGTAAAAAAAATCAGAACTTCAGAAATTTTATTCATCCTGCACAAGGAAATAATATGCTTCAACAAAGGTCCTATAAAGCATGCATATAATCAATAGAATACCCATGCTATATTAGACGACTTTTGGTAATGTGTTTTCATGGGATTCACACACTGGGAAGCAACTTTTTAAGTCCCCTAGGACTGAGAAACTATTACTGTACCATGTAAAGTCCAAGTCAGCTTGATGCCAAAAACTAGGAATTCAAACATTATATCAGTATTTTAAAAGAAAAAAGAAAACTGAATTCAAGACAACAGAAAATTTTATGCTTGTTGCCATGATGATTAAAGCACCAAACAAGCTGTCTTGGCAAATTATCAGTCTTTTCAATTTTAGGCCTCTTCTTGCAGCCAACCTTCAAAAATATTTAGAGAATAGAACTTCTGAAGTAGGATAGTCCCAAACTCCCAATTGATTTTTGCAATGGGTGTGAAATATGAACACGCTGCATTAATATTTTTTTTTCCTATATCCAATTTTCAGTGGGAATGGGAAAACTGAAATCCATTCAACATAAATTGAACTCCAGGAGACTGGATTCAACCTAATTTCCATAAACTCAAATTTGTCATTATGCATGAGTTATTTTTTGTCCACATAATTAACCCATGAATAGAAATGGAGAAAAGTGCAATGCAAAATTAAACTTAATATTGAAAGAACAAATTATGATGTAATATGAGTGGACAATTTCTGCACATTGTGAAGTGAAACCAGTTAATATCAATTGCAACTCATGTGCTATACTAAATCTAAACATCAGCTTATTTCAATTGCATGCAAATAACATTGACTAACCTTAATGCTGAAAAGAAGAGTACTGTCTGAAACCTGCTGGCCAGCTGTGACTTGAAGCCCATGAACATAGCCAGCTAATGGTGCCTTTACAACATGCTATTCAAATGAAGAAAAATAATTATAAAAAGTCAGCAAAGAAAATAAATTGATCCAAAATTTTATTGGCAATCACTACAAACCTCCATCTTCATTGCTTCTAACACTAATACGGGTTGCCCTTCCTCCACCTTTGATCCATCCTTCACAACAACCTTAACCACCAAACCAGCCATGGGAGCAACCACAGATCCTTGAGGGTGAGATGCAGTCTCAAACTTGGTCGTATGTTGGGTTTCATCATCATCAGATAAATCAAGCCCTATTTTTTGTCTAAAATGATGATGGTGAGACGCATGCCATATATGAAGGTGCCTTGTCTCATCCTGGCACACCAAAGTGGAAGATTTTATGTCAATGCCACAGACACGCATGCATGCCACAAACAAGGATAAACAACCAGATATATAGACAGGGATTGACATATATACACCTGCCTGCGTGCAAAGATGCAGAAAAACACGCATGCATGCAAATATGCTCTTCTATAATTGATTGAGCAATGTTTTTTCACCAAAATGTTCCTCCGACTTTTTTATTACCAAAAGTTTGTTCTACCAAGTGGCAGTAGTAGCAACAACAATTACGATATATCAATGAACCATCAAACTTGGCAAAGCACATGCTTTCAACGATTGAAGTGTCCAAAAAAACAACATATCATGGTAAGGGATGCCCATGGGTAGGTTCAAGAGCACCTCAGGGTCAGACTCTGGCAAGTATGTTAACCCATGATGCCAACTAAAAACACTACTGCAAGAGACAAGAAAAGATGCTAGCCAAAAAGGCATGCGGCACCATTGCCGAACTGCCATCTACATAATCTTCATACCATTACTAAAGTATTTGATTGCAATGGGAACCAAGAAAAAGGCCTGTTATCCTAAAAATTAACAAGAAAGAAACTACATTCACAAAGTCCATGAATGTAAAGATATCCAGTTACCTTTGAATACGCAGCCAAATTAACATTCATGCTTATACCATCAGCCTCAACTCGAAAATTGTCATCATGCAGATACATTGCTTTGACTTCCAAACCAGGAGAACTGATTTCTCCTATCTGTGCACAGATAAAGATGGATTATAACTTTATGTACCAGAACAGCCATTCAAACTTTCCACTTACATCCAGTATAAGAAGATAAATACCTTGATCAAATAGTTCCCATCCGGCTGGTACATGATATCAACTGTCAAAAGCTTTAAGCCGCTACTATCATATTCATTGTCCCACTCGAATACCATAGTACGCCTAGCTAGGTGATGGACTCTGAATGGGGGATGAGAATACCATATGGAGTGTAAGCTGTTGCCCCCTGAAGGTATTCCAGGCATTGATGTCATGAAGAATAAAAAAGGAATATTATTGCAAAACCAAAATAGCCTTCAACATACCAGGAGGACTTTCCTTCAAAGCAGAATGTTCCTTTTCACAAAGACATGCAGCTAACAGAGCTGCACTGAATCTGGCACTATTATATGCCTCCTTAGCTAACAATGAATTGTTAGGATCAGTAAAGAGATCATCTTTATGGTGCTCAATAAAGTGGGTTTCCACCTCGCCTTCTTCAAATGACCTATGGTCAGCAAGTTTTTGGAGAAAACTGATATTAGTTGGCACTCCTGCTACCTGCCAGCCAATTAATCTTTGAATGATTACATTTTTTCACTGTGACAGATTCTAAAATCTACATGAATTAGTTGTCTTCAGGTATCTAGAAAACTTTATGTCTTTACCCAAGTGTAGTATAACCCAAAACTTATGAGGTGACTAAACCTAAAAGAGAAGTAGCAGAGTGATGTGAGACTAAAAGATGCACATAGTACAACTTTAGTTCTCACCAGATATAAATCATGTTCATCATCTAAGAAGACTCCAAGGTGATGTCCAGTCCACTGATTTAAAATACTAAGTTTCTGGCTTGCTACTACCATCAAGGCCAAGTAGACAGTATTACAAACTGTCACAAGTTTCCATGATATAAGCAAGCAAATTTCATTGAGATATTGCAAGTTCATAGAGTTATTGCACCAAGTCTATGAATCACAGTTTAAATATTTAATGGACAGTCCAGATCTTAACAAGCAAAATCCAATTGTCACATGACTCGAGTTAATGCATACCTGAAATTTTGATAGACAATCTTTCAGTTTGATTAATGCTGCAGCACGGTTTTCTCCCCAGACTACAAGCTTTGCAATCATAGGATCATAGTGCATGCTAACAGTGTCCCCCTCTTCGACTCCAGTCTCAACCCGAACTGTTAATTTAGCAAGATTTAACATAAGCCAAAAAGAGAGGACACCAAAATTAAGAGAGACAAAAAGGAACCAATTCAATCAAAAGTATTGGTAGACTTGAGTCATAAAAATGACTCTTTCTGCAGCTATATCTGTCTTATCTTGCAAGTACCTTTAAAGTGAAAATAACTGGACAATCAATAAATTGGAGACCTGATTGAAGAATAGTTTGATCATGGAAAAACTTGGTCAGCCAATAATGCAAGTATAAAACAAAATCCTTCAAGTTTGATCATGGTATGAAAATGATTTTCAGACCATACTGATGCTAGTTCATATTAAGTGCAAATAACTTGGTTTTTGCATTGCAATTGCACCTGTTGATGAGACAGCAGCAGGTCGATAATGATGAAGAACTCCAGTTGCAGGAAGAAATCCTTTAGGAACATTTTCAGCATATATTCGGGTTTCAAATGCATGACCTGTCAAAAGAAATACGTAATATCTAAAGAGACTGCTTGATAAAGGTATTGTACTGATATTCAAGCTTGCACGAGATGTAAAAGTAAATTTTCCTACTGATATAGCAAGCCAACAATGTATTGCAACCTGAGCAGAAGAAAGCTTAGACAATCTATTAAATGAATTCTTCTTTGGCTTCTGGAATTAGGGATAGCAGTGGGGTGGAGAATGGCCCCAATGGGGCATGAAGTGTATATATATTAAGGTAGTACGGTTTCTGTATAGTTATATAACTCATTTATATTTTTATGAGTTATACATTAATATTTATCTTTATAATCTAGTAAAACGAAAATTCAAAGAAAAAACTATAATTAAAAATGAGAAAAAAATTGGAAACAATCAGGGAATGGGGATTTATAATGGCCATCTTAATTAGGTTGGATCATTATTTAATTTAGTTTAATCCCTCTTTCTTTTCTTTTTTCGATCTAGTCATCATCAACCCGAAGATAGGGATAGGGACATGTTCAACTACTGATGTGCCAGAACAGAAATGAGTTTGTTCCAAATTTTATATTTTAAGGAGCAAGCTTACCCAACAATGGCACCTGTGACTGACTGAGAGGAAGTGGTTCTCCATTTGCAACACAGATTTGCCATTCTACAAGATCCTGGCCAACAATCATCTCTGTGACCGGATGCTCAACCTACAAAAGAATAGAAATGTGCCTGTTAGGATTTTGTCAACTCATGGAATTCAGGTTTACTAAATGGAAAATAGAGAGCTAAGAACCTGAAGGCGTGTGTTCATCTCCATAAAATAAAATTGGCCAGAGACTTTGTCAACAATAAACTCCACAGTTCCAGCATTGTGGTAACCAACTGCCTTTTGATTTGAGCATTAGTGAATGCCATGAAAAGAATTAAAACGAAGTATAGTTGAACAAACAATATAAAGAAAATTCTAAGATATGAAGAGCTAAATACAAGAAAATGACAGCACTCCTATGGATATACAATTCTAACACTAATAGCTTGGTTATGATACACAGCAGATTTCTAAATAACAGGTAAATTTTTCTTATCACAACCAATTTCATTTTAATCTTATGATTTCATCTTCCAAATCTAAGGCAAAATAATATATGATCCTTCGAATCAAACGGCCTTACAAACTCAGTCTCCCATGTGGCATGGCAAGCCTTGTAAGTTAAAAAGATAAGTATCCCTCTCAAAAGTACTATATCAACTTGGTTACAATGCAATATGGAGAAGAAATTGCAACTTGAAACAGGTTCTGTAAATAATTGACCAATCAGAGTATATGGCAAACTTACTTGAATCACTGATAGAAGCAAACCTTGCTACATCTATTTGCATCATGAGGGCAATTAGACAGTAGGCGGTTCCCATTACTTGTCAATTATGTTGAAATGTTAATATATTATGACTTGAATACAAACAAAGAGCAGTGTTTGAAAGTTTAATCAAGCCCAATTACAAATTTGTCATCAAGTTGATTTGTAAGTTCAAACTAGGCCACAGATGAAAGTCATCATTCATGAAAGTAAAAACACACATGCCAGTTCTGCGTATTACCCATCCACCAGGAGAGCTTATAAACAAATACAAATCTTTGGTCTTGCTCAATATACCGAAATATACCATAATACCAACAAGTTCATTTGAGATTTCGCTAATAAGTGATTAAGTTCTTTATATTAAATTTCTTTCTACTTGTTCCTTCGTATCCAAGAATCAACAAACTCGACTCTCTATTAGTAAAGTTCATTTTTCTAAAACATATGCAAGAGTGAATCATGCTAATAACTAATAAGATCAGCTGACTAAACCATGTCAGTTTGCATTCACCTCAATCTTTTCTTCATCAAAGGTTGTAGACAAGTTTTAGTTAAATAGCTCCATGTAAAATAACTTCCACACAAAAAAATTTTTTGTCCTTTTCAAGGTTTAAAAAAGATGCATTCTTTTACCCTGTTTTCCACACATAATAATATTAGAATCGATTAAAATATGCTTATTATTCAGCAAATGAATTAGATGAGCGTTACCTTGGCTGCAGAAACAGCAGCCTGACCCAACTGGGAGCGGAAGTCATTCATAACATTTGGCTGCATCAAGGAGAGTTCTAGTTACAACTTTTGTAGATACACAGTGAATAACCTGAACTGAAACTATAGAAACCAGACATTACAGCTGGAGCTTCTTCAATTATTTTCTGATGTCTTCTCTGTATGCTACAATCTCTTTCATATAAATGCAGTACATTTCCAAGTTTGTCTCCAAATATCTACAGAGTCAAGCATATTATCTAAAGATTAATATACAGACCAAACAGAGAATCAATATAATAATGGCCATGAAACAGAGAAACATTGAAGTAAAACCATATGCTTTCAAGAAATTTAAAGAGAGATGAAGATAATTTTGCGAATATATAATACAACTACAATATTAATATTGGAAAGGCAACACTAACAGATCTAGACCAACAAAAAAAAAAAAGTACTACCTGGACTTCTATATGTCTTGGCTGTGTAATGTATTTCTCCAGCAAAATTGTATTTATACCAAAAGAAGCAGCAGCCTCACGTTGTGCTCCCAAGAAAGAATCAACAAATTCATTTGGACTTTGCACAATCCTCATACCCTAAAAAATCTGCAGAATATAAGAACTTCATCTGAAAAGAAGTAAACATCTAACTTAGCAAGAAAAACTTCATCCACATGGCGTTTGCCTTTTTGAACAATTTTTTTTTTATCAGAAAATACTTGATATAGATGCATATTAAGCTGATAAAATGCATTGGTTACTCACTACAAATGCATCAACAAACATCTTAGACCACATTCTTTCCTGATTGTATAATATCAAAGTAAAAGGCTGCAAGATAACAGCATACCTTTCCCCCACCTCCATGGGTCGGCTTGATCAAGATGGGGTATCCGATTTTATCTGCTTCTGACTTCATGAGCTCAATATCTTGCTCACTGCCATGATATCCAGGCACAAGCGGCACCCCTGCAGCACCCATTATCCTCTTGGAAGCACTGTTACATATACAACAAACATTAATAAATAAGATAATGGGACATGCACTTATTTAAGGTCTGAATACTTTCCCCCACCTCCATGGGTCGGCTTGATCAAGATGGGGTATCCGATTTTATCTGCTTCTGACTTCATGAGCTCAATATCTTGCTCACTGCCATGATATCCAGGCACAAGCGGCACCCCTGCAGCACCCATTATCCTCTTGGAAGCACTGTTACATATACAACAAACATTAATAAATAAGATAATGGGACATGCACTTATTTAAGGTCTGAATACACAAGCTTATCTGAAAGGTAAAAAGATGGAGTCAGTTAACAAAATAATCTGTACCTTTTATCACCCATATCCCGAATCGCTGAAGCTGGAGGGCCAATAAATATAAGAGCCTTATCTTCACAAAGTTTAGCGAAGTCGGCACTCTCTGATAAGAAACCATAACCAGGGTGTATCGCCTAATATTCAAAAGAAGCCAATAATATTAACCAGAGCGATCAACCATGCATCACCTATCCTACCTCACGTGCAGCAGAGTACTACAAGCCAATAATATTAAAAGCAAACAACAGGGAAGGAAGGAATAAGGCCGAGTCAAACCCACAGTAAAAGCCGCAGCAATTGCGAGGAAGAGGAGAACCATTTCAATGTCAAATACAGAATTCTAGAGAAAAATGGCGATTAATAATGCTACAATGTCATATCCAACTACAAATATCAGTGTTTAAAAGGATAAAACACTAGCGTGATAATCCCCACTCGAGCGCACAAAATTATTTAGGCTCTCTGAGTATATTTGCAATGAGCACGTAATTGGATAATTTGAAGTAATAAAAACACTGGTTCAACCAATAAGAACGTTAGAATATTTGGCCAAAATGTCATGAAGTTCCACTCAAACTAACCGTTAGTTTCTTGACTCCTCTACTTCTTCGATAACTAAACAAAAAATTGCGCAACTCACCTGAGCACCAGTACGAATGGCAGCCTCAACAATGGATGATCCATTCAAATAACTCAACCGAGCCGGAGGTGGACCTATATGAACCGCCTCATCAGCTGTTTTAACATGAAGCGAGTCTCTATCGGCGTCGCTGTAAATGGCCACAGTTCGAATCCCTAGTCGCTTCGCAGTCCTCATGATTCTGCAAGCAATTTCACCTCTGTTCGCCACCAAAATTTTCTCTAACCGTTGAGTCGTTTTTTTGCCATGAGAAGGCGATTCGACGGAGAATAGTCTTATCTGGATAAGGAAAGGCTTGTGGAAGAATTTTCGACGGAAGACAGATGCCATAGACGCCATGGTTTTGCGAAGCCTGAGTGAAAAATGATTTGAGCAGAGGAAAGATGATTAACGTTAAAAAAACGCAGGATATGGTAGTTTTTTGGTCATTTCGAAGCGTGGGTAAGGGGTAATTTTGGAATATTGGTTGATGTAGAGAGATGCGATTGGTTGTTGACAATTTTGACCCTATTATGAGTGGATATGGATCTGATGTGGTGCTTACCTGGAAAAATGTTCCTATAATTGCATTATCTTTTTAGTAATGCGTGCTCTTAAAATAATGAATTCGGAGGATGGGCTTTCAATACGCCATTCCACGGATGGACCAGTTAACAAATTTCTAACTTGTAAGCAAGAACAAGAAAAGGACCTTTGAAGCCCGGCCCAATCATTCAGAATTTGGGCTGAAACGATTGATGCTTTTCCGGGAATTTTTGTTGGCCACGATGTTTTAAAATTTTATGAATTATTAAAATATATTACATGTATTACTAAATAATAAATAATAAATGGTATGTCTTAGAAGATAAATAAATTTTTATATACATTATAAAATATATAAAAATCTACGAATACATTTTTTATAAGTACGGAAAATATCGTGAAATGGCATCCATCCATTATTTTTGGTATGGATTTTTTTTTTTTTTTCATGCCATTATTTTGGTATGATTTTTTTTTTTTTTTTTTTTTTTTTTGGTCAGAATTACTCAATAAGATGATATAATAACAATTGATTCTTTAAGCATTAAGGAGAAGGATTTTGGTATACATCAAAGTTTTATGTGTATTTAATGTTAGATTATTGTCTACAAGTGCAATAATAATTGTTAGATGAAAAGAAAAATACTTTTAAAATTCATGTGAAGAAAATATTTCCTGTAAAAACTTTTTAGGAACAAGGAGAATAAGTGTAATTAGCAAAAATTGTATTATAAGAGGCATATATACTAAAGAAGAAGAAAACGTGCAATATCATATTCGTGATGCTAAATATGAAATTAGAAGCATGATTAGATCAATACCCTTTAAAAAAGGAATTCAGATGCATCCATCTATGCATAAAATACCAAATGATAACACAAACTTTTAGCACATGTGAATATAAATTCACCTTTCATGTGTCTAAATACATTCTTACACACACAGCTATGATTCATAGCAGAAAGCAAGTAGTTGTTGAGAATTGGTAAGTATAAGCATATGGCAGGTAAGGGAAGGAAAGGCACAACACAACATATAAGATGGGATCTAGCAAATGGCATCTGAAACCTCTCATCTCATCTGATGGCAGTTGGGAGTGGGCCACTGAACTCTCCTTCTTCACACCTGCTTACACTTTTGCCTAACAAAATCATGGCAATTATAAGGTCTGTTACTTTGTTTGCTTTTTCAAAAAAAAAAAAAAAAAAAAACTTTGTTGCTTTTTCAAGAAAATTTTTAAAAAAAAAAAAAAAAAAAAACTGTGAAATAAGAAGTCCATGTGCAAGTGCTTGCTAGTGACCAAACACACCATGCCATTTCAATTGAAACTAAACTTTGTATTTATTAATTAAACTGTGATTTTCAGGGCCCATCAACAATAGCCTATTCCTAACTAATGGGGGGATATAACTTTGTACGGATTTTGCTTTTGTTTGCTAAATTTGGATTTTGAGTCTCAAAGATAAGATCCAATGAACATAATGTTTCCTACTTGCCTTTTCTCCATCAAGTCATCAATTGTTTTACAGAAGCATCATTGTTTCTTCTTTTTAAATTTTTTTTTCCAGGAAGGAATAAAGAAGAAGATGGAGAAACCTGGCAAATGGCTCAGGTTCAAGGTGGGTCCCTTAGATTCATTATCATATAGACAAGAATATATGTTCACAGCATAATGAATCATGTATTATTGTTATTGAAACCCATTACTAAAGACATATATGAATATGAATTTCTCTTCATTAATCATTTCAAAGGAAAAATCAGTTTGTAATAATATGCTCATTTTAGTATATATGAAATTAAATAAACAAATATGCTCATTTTAGTTTATTATTTTTCTAAATAATAAACGGTTAACTTGGTAACTTGTTCATTTAAATAACGCCTACCAAATTTGTGAAGGAAAAGACTGAACATGTATCTCCAATTACTTTTATTTTAAAAGAGTGTAAGAAAACCAACTACACTACACTTAATTAGCTATCATTTTAATTTCATTCTACACATGAATTCTAGCATTAATTAATTTAAATTATATTAATAAAATAATTAAATCCAATCACCATGATATTTTTTTTTTAAATTGGCTTGTAACATATTTTAGCAGAAATTGAAATTCTCTATCTATTTTCTACTTTATTAGAAGGAATTTCCTGATTGGTAACATAAAATATTTTCCTAAAAATAATGCAATGAGATAACTTGTATTGAAAAAATAAAAATAAAAAGAAAAAGAAAAGTTGATCCTAGTTGAATTTTAATGACCCTTGGAGGATGCATGTACTTAGGTTGGCATTTTTTGTTAAAAAAAAAAAAAAAAAAAAAAAAAGAAAAAGAAAGTGTGATCTCTAAGTTGAATTTTAATGACCTGAGGATGCAGGTACTTAGGTTGCAAGCATTTTTGTTTAAAAACAAAAAAAAAAAAAGAAAAATGTGAGACGATGAATAGATTTTCTTGTTGAGGTTCCTTTCAGCTGAAATGTAAAAAAAATCTCCATTGAAGGTATTCCACTCCCTAAAACTCCACGAGGTGCAAAAAAAAAAAAAAAAAAAAAAATTGAAGACGATGAATGATGATGTCTTCTTGTTGAGTCCTTTTGCTGAAATGGTAAAAAAAAACTCCTTGAATTCACTCCACTAAACCACGAGGGCTTCCATTGATTAGTAATTTCTCTTTTTCACTTGTTGTTTCGCAACTTCACATTATAATCATAAACATTAGTTAATCGTTAATTTCATATTTACTTTTCAGTTTTCAATATTCATCCTCTGTTTTGCAAAGTCACACGCATGATTTTGCCTTGCCACATGTGCGTACTAGAGGCCAATTAGAAGCATTAAAGTGAAAAGCCTCTATTCCTTTTTTAACTAATCCTGCTTTATTATTACTTTTAAGTTTTAACCGCCTAGTGATGCAAATGATGGCAATAATCCATGGCACCGTGGAAAGTCTTTTTTGAAGTTAAAAAATCCCATAACCATGGAAGATTTTAGATTTTGTTTGAACCTCCATTAAACAGTATAAAATAATATTTTAAATACGATAACTAATTTTTTTAAAACTATAAGAGTCCTTAGTATATTAGTTAATTATTAATTCAAATGTTATATTACCAAATAATTTTTTAAATAGCTTGTAAATATTTTAACCCGAGCTATTTAAAGAAAAAACTGTTGTCAGAGAATGATTTAACTAACTGAGTTAAAATTTTTTTGGGTAGTTAAAATTCACCATCCTACTAACAGTTAGCTTGCAAGTAGGAGGGACAGGTAACATCTATGGCAAGGAAAGAAAGAATGTATAAGCTTAGAAGTCACCTTACTCACCTACCTATCTTATCAAACGGAAAAAAGCTATATCCTTCTTTTTTTAAATAGAAATAAATAAATAAATATATATTTCATTTGGTTAAACCTTTAAAATTGTATTTTTTTCCCTCTATATTCTTGTTAGATAACAAACAAAGTCTCAAAAACTTGTGCCTAACATGGACTAATGAACAGAGATTATTTAATATTTTCCACTAAATAGACAAAAAATTCCAAGGCTTCTTTTGGCTTTCTCCAATTAGTGTCCTAGTCATAGAAGAGTACAAAAGATTATGCTTTCACATAATTAGAGTTATGAAATGAACCACATATGTTTGTGTTTTATTCATCTCCCCTTTCATCAAAATAATAATAATCATTGAGGATCAAGTCTAAAATTTCCAAATTTTTTCAACTTTTCTGATAATAAAAATATTGAAATATTTTGATATTATCTTTAATTTTCATGATGACATGCATACAGGCTGTCCTATAAAGAACAAAATATAAACTATGCATTTAGATTCTAATCAACAATCATCAAATTAAATTATATGACAAATGACTAGCAATAATATATTATTATTATTATTATTATTATTTTCTAACTTATTAATTAATCAATTATAGTTATACAATAATCAATTAAAATTAATATATTTCTGTATCTCAAAATTTTTTTTTGCCATTAATTACCATATATAAAATACATATTATAATCTGCGTTCAGTATCATTATGAATGCTGTATTTAAAACAGATTTACATGATTACAATTTTAAATATAAATTACATTAAAGTCCATTAAGGTGATGCAACCTAAAAAAGTTAGATATTACAAATTACAATTATATATATAAAATAATATTATCAAATTTAGAGAAATTATATTTGCTTTATAAATATATATAATTGGTGAAAATTCTTGTAGTAAAAATGACTCAAATTCAAAATTTTCATAAATTGTAATTATGATGTATAAAATATTATAATTTATACCAGAAAATTATAATAATTGTATTTATTTTATAAATCATAGATTACTTAAGGTTTAAGAACTGAAGAATTTCATTATCATGAAATCTTTAGTGCTCAGAAAGACGAAAACATTTTATACTTATTGCAGGAAGTAACAAATATAGAATTAGACAGAGAAAAAGGTCATGACATACTCGTGGTCATAATTGTACAGAGTGGATTTCTTAGTCGCGTGACGAAAGACAACCGTCCTTGGCCACCGCCCAACACGCATACCTTTTATAAAAGCATGACACCGTGTCATATCCTCCAACAGTGTCAGGAGTCGCCGTGACCAACCACCAAGCATGCGTTAAAGATTCTCCCTTCTCCAATTACCAAAATGCCCCACCTTCCATTTTCCAGTACGGATAGTTGGATTAGAATACATTGCAATTTGGTGGGAAGTTAATAGAAAAATTAGCAAATAATCCCAACTCAAATGGTACCTTTAATAGGTTTTGATATTATTGTGATACTGTTATAAATGGCATGGACAGTGCAGATTTTATAATATTCATTATATATATGGTATCTGATATAGAAAAATTATATGAAAATGGAATACGAAAATGCTAGTTAAAACATATATTGTAATTTTGTAATTTGTGAATTAAAAAATAGTAAATAAAAATCACCTAAATATAAATAATATAAAAAATTAAAATAGTAATTATTATGCAAAAATTTGCATTTGCATTGAAAATGAAAAAATTATATGAAAATGGAATAGCGAATATGCTAGTTTAAAGAACATAGATATTGTAATTTTGAAATTGTGAATTAAAAAAATAGTAATATAATAAAACCTAAATATAAATAATATAAAAAATTAAAAGTGTAATTAGTGTAATGCAAAATTTTGCATTTGCAATGAAATAATATTATATATTTATAATAAAATGTATTACTAGTATTATTTTTTTTTTTTTTTAAAATGCTTGAAGTAGTAGTAATCTGCGTCGTGTTTTTTGAAATCTGCTATAGATGGGTAAACTATTATCCAAAAAAGATGCAATTTTATTATTTGTATTAATTTTAATTTAAATATATGTTTGCTCAATGGTATTCGAGTTAAATAGACGAAAAGTGAAATTGAATGCTTCTTTTAAAATTCTCAATGTATAAACATTATTAATGTAACTAAGTTAGCTATAATGTATTACACGTACAGGGCTGATTATAATGTATTTAGTTTTCTTTAACTTATTTATACATTTAATTGGGAAAATGTCTTGATCTAACTTTTTTTTTTAAAATGCTTGAAGTATATAATCTTGCTCGTGTTTTTTGAATCGATATAGATGGGTAATATTTCAAAAAAAGATTGCAATTTATATTTGTATTATTTTAATTTCAATAATTTGCTCATGTATTTCGATTAAATAACGAAAAGTGAAATTAAATGCTTCTTTTAAAATTCTCAAGTATAAATATTTATTAATGTAACAAATTACTATAATTATTACAGTTCAACTGATATAATTATTTAGTTTTCTTTTAAACTTTTTATACATTTAATTGAAATGTTTATTAATTTTTATAACTAAAAAAGGTATAAAAATATCCAATTATGTTGTAACAAGTTTTAATAAATTGAAATTATATCTCAATTCCATTAGTGAACTAACCATATTTATTTTACTATGTAACTCTATTATTTAATAAAAAAATGTAATGTTTATTAAATGCAAAAAAGGATTAATTATAATGAAAGAAAAAATAAAATGCATATCAATATTTGAATATTTATATTTTGTTACATAATTAATTATGTTTTAGAAATTATATATTTATATAAATAGATAGTATTTGAGTTGCCTTATAAGTCTGTCAAACTTATATAGAAATTCAAAAGTAAAATAATATTTAGTTTGACCTAAAAAATTAAAAAATATTTAAATAAATCATAAGTGGTGATTAAAATAAAATAATTTTACTCATAATTAGTTATTTATTTTGAAAATTATTATTTAGTTAAGTAAAAGATTATATTATTTTAGTAGTATTTAAAAATTGACAATATTACCCTTCTTTTAAATAAACTTTTAGGTTCCATTTGTTTCCGTAAAATAACTTGCAGAAAAATATTTTCTACAAATTTCCGTTGTTTGGGGGGTTCAGAAAAATAAGTCAATGGATAATATCTTTCTGGTCAAAGGAAAATTATGTTATTTTTAAGGAAAATAACTTTCCATTTTTGAGAGAGTAAAACGTTTTTCGGATATTGATAAACCTTATAAATTCATATTTTTTTTAAATTTATAATCATTGTAGTCACTACTACTAGTCATCATTTACCACGGACTACCACTATCGGCTACCACCATCGGTCATCACCACCAACCATTGGCGATCACTGGCAGCTTTCATAATTTATATATTTTTTACATTCTTCTTATATTTAACAATAATTTTTTAAAATTATAAAATTTTATTATTATTAATATTTTTATGTTCTTAAAAGATAAAAACTTTAATATTTGTAACTAATTTTTAAAATTATAACTAAACAATGGAAAATAAGTAATTTGAAATTTTTTTTTTCAATAACAATGAAAAATATTTTTCATCAAATCATTTTTATGCAAGTTATTTTACGAAAACAAATGAAGTATTAAAGCTACTATAATTAGTATATTATTTTAATAATTTTAGTATATGGATTTTATACCGAAATCTACAAAGAAACAATCCAATTGATCGATATGCATGATGGAAATCGTATCTATGAAAATATTAAAAATAATTTCAGATAATTTAACAGACACTTATTAGCATTGACCTATAAAATTAAAAATATATTTTAAATCAAAAATTAAAATAAAATGGCCAAACTAACCACAAACATGGTCAAGGTTGACTTATTGGTTTGACGCTACTGCACATCTTAACATCTGATTGTAGCAAAAGTTGGCCTTAGAAACTGTACAAGAGGACGTAGGAACGTCACAACTGGAGTGGAATTCTTCTTCCAATTTCGGGAATTAATGAAAGAAATCCAGAGGGAATCCGCTGAACATGGCAACAGAATACAACAACCAAGAAAAAAACATTTTTGAATTTCTCAACAAAGAGTAAGGACAACTTGGTCATTTCATTTTATCATTTCCTTAAATAAGACCAGCACAGCGTATGACGACGGAATTACTTGTAGTTAGTACACTCGACTCGTAAGTTACTTTTTTTTTTAAAATTTTATTGTTTATATGGAAATTGGATTTGTCAAAGCGTATTTTTGTTAACTTTCCTCTTGTATTACAAAACAAATAGCATAAAAAGTAAGCTAACAAACATCAAATAGAGGGAGAACGAGCCAGTTACAGAGCGACGCCTACAGATCTATCAAACATGGGGTAGACTCGAGAACGAAGATCAGAACATGCAGCTGAGGCTCTTTTGTTGTCTCTGCTAATTGGTGAGTTTTTCTTTTTCTTCTTTTAATGTTTGAGTCATGGCCGCTTGGGTTGTTACATCCACTTCCGTTGAAGATTAATTTCGCCGTGCATGAAAGTCAATTATCATGTGGCTCTATTTATGTGTTTCATGTGTGTATAGTTTTTTTTCCCCTGATCATTTTGCCTTTGATCAAGTGCTTCTTCTTCTTCTTTTTCTGTTGCTTTTGAACCCTTGACTAGTAGGCGAGTAGCTATTTTGTGACATCTGGCGTGTGGGATCGTCATCGTACTGTTATTATAGTTATAATTCACTGATCAAATACATAATATTGGATTTTTTTTCCAGCGTATAATTCACCGTCTAACTTTTTCATTTTGCTTTGTGGTGATGTTGCTTTGATCAGGTTTCTTTTAAAAAATTTTGAAGACAGTGGTTCTCTTTTATAAATAATTAATTCTAGTGATCAGGTAACTTTTGAACTACAGTTTTTGTTTAAGGTTAAAGGATCTGATCTCTTGAATCTTTAGTGGTTCATTCAGAAACTGATTTATCTCGGGTTTTGTTTCAGGTTCAGATAGTCAGACGCTTAGCAAGCTTTGTACTGGCCATCAGTCTTTTAATTGATTGGCTGTTGGTTGTATACATCTGGCTCTTTGCTGGATCATCATTTATTATCTCAATTAGATTAGTTTCATCTCATCGGAATTAGAAAGTTGTGGTGTTCTTGGATTGAGTTATGGCGGCTGCGGCGATTGCAGATTCTAAACGTAAATATTCTTGGTGGTGGGATAGCCATATAAGTCCCAAAAACTCAAAATGGCTTCAGGAGAATCTTACAGGTAATAATTTTTTTTTCTTGGAAACTTTTATTTGCATTTCTATCCTCAATATTCTTTAGCTGCTAGTTTTGAAGTGCTCTTGACTTGACTTGAGAATATTTGAAGGCGCCTGGATCTCTGATGTGGTTATGAATTGGCTAATTTCTCTCTCAATGTTATTTGATTATGATGGTGCTGAAATGCTGATTTGAATTATGATGATCATGGTAGGAATTATTCCCCTTTCCAACTTTGGTTCATCAAATTAATGGGTTACGTGTTTGATTCTCATTTATGTTTTGCATTATAAGAATGGTTAGATAGTGAGTAGAAGGGCAAATGATAGTATGCCAGTATCCATCTGTCATGCTCAGTCATCTGAAAGAAAGTGGGCAACATCCTAAACCTGAATCAGTTTCATTTCAATCAGTATTCCGCAGTTCTTCTTCTTCTTCTTCTTCTTTTTTTATTTTTTATTTTTTTAATTTGGTGCAGAAAATGGCTATATCTAGTTATGTTTTTTGCATTAAGAGAGTGGTATTATTTGGATTTTGGAAATCATAACGAACAGCAATAATTGCGATTGTTATTACTTGCAAAAATAAGTTTTCTTCATCAAATAAACGGAGGAGAAAAAGTTCGTCTCAGTTTTGGTGGATAGAGAGTGATGGTATAAAAAGTGCAAATTAAATAATGTTAAGGAAGGTTGGTGCTTCATGCTGCTTGTTGCCGCATGCCAAATATGAGTGGGAATGAGATTGAAAGCACCTCCTAACACCTTTCTTTGCAACTGACCTTGAAAAGAAACAAAATTACAACATCCAAACAGATGGATGGAACTGGTTAATTCACTTAAAAAATTATATTTGAAACCATAATTTTAGAACTTTAGAAATGAAAATACATCATGATGCAATTTTCAAAGTTGTTAGAAGCTATTTGATTTGGATTTTAACGCATTCTCAGTTTAATTTGTGGCTTTCTCAAATATGTGGGTGAGTTCCTCACATTTGATTGTAAAATCTAAGGAATTGAATGAGTAACCTCGAGCTGATGGAATTTTCATGATATCAAAAAAAAAAAAAAAAATCTTTTTGCACTTCTGTTTGTTGTTTGCCTTTTTCCTTGTTTACTTGATAGATTATATCTAATTGCCATGTCTTACATTTTCATTTAGTGTGTAGTATGTTGAACTTATTCCTTTGTGGCTGGGAATTCGCGTCCTCTCTTTTCCTTTTATTTTCCACAAATTTGGACACACCTTCTATCTCTTTTCCCTATATAGATGAACTGTACAAGATGGAAACCTGGTGAATAAGTTCTGTATTTCCTGTACCACAGGCTTAGTCTCTGGGGAGGCTAAGCATCCCATCCTCCGCCAGTGCTGCTTTATGTCTCAGTAATAGTTGTGAATGTAGTATTTGAGAATGAAAGGAGGGTTATCAAGCTGACTTAGTTAAAAATTGCAAAACCCCTGTTCTTCTAATTTGATTGAATAGTTTGTGGATGAAAGTTGCAATTACTTTTTAAGAAGAGATTACACCAAGTGATCTCTTGTTTGTAATTAATATTTCTTGAAATTGACAGGCTGTAATACAGTGTCTTCCTATTTCTCCATGATACTATATTGACAACATTTAGCAGTTTTTCATCATTTTTTTATTATATATTGATCATATTACCAATGCTCTCTCTTTCCCCTCTTCCTAATGCCTTTAGCAACACTCTTTTGTTTGAACAGATATGGATGCCAAAGTCAAACAAATGATCAAACTCATTGAAGAAGATGCTGATTCCTTTGCAAGGAGGGCAGAAATGTATTATAAGAAACGCCCAGAGCTTATGAAACTAGTTGAAGAGTTTTACAGGGCATATCGTGCCTTGGCTGAAAGGTATGATCATGCAACTGGGGTGATCCGCCAGGCACATCGAACGATGGCAGAAGCATTTCCCAACCAAGTCCCCTTTATGCTGGGTGATGATTCACCTGCAGGTTCTGCTGATAGTGACCCTCGTACACCTGAGATGCTGCCAATACGTGCTTTTTTTGATCCTGATGAATTGCAAAAGGATGCTTTGGGAATGTCACCATCACAAGCCCATGCTGTCAAGAGGAATGGAGGTTTTACTGAAGAATCTGATTCTGTTCCTGGCAGAAAGGGTTTGAAACAGCTAAATGATTTGTTTGGGACTGCAGACGTGATGAACCATGTGAAGTTTGCAGAGGGAAGGGCAAAAAAAGGCCTTAGTTTTGATGCTGAAGAGGGAGAACAAGGTGTACAGGACAGTGGTAAATTTGACATCAAGGCTCGAATTCCATCTGAGTCTCAGCGAGTGAGTAAAGCTGAGCAGGAAATTTTAACATTAAAGAACACTCTTACGAAATTAGAGGCTGAAAAGGATGCTGTCCTACTTCAGTACCAACAGAGCTTACAAAGATTGTCTAATCTGGAGTCAGAAGTATCACGTGCAAAAGAGGATTCCAGGGGTCTTAATGAACGAGCTAGCAAAGCTGAAGCTGAAGTTCAAACTTTGAAGGAAAGCCTTGCTAAATTAGAGGCTGAAAGGGAAGCTAGTTTTCTTCAATGTCAGCAGTGTTTGGAGAAAATAAGTAATTTAGAGAACAATATCTCTCATGCACAGAAGGATGCAGGAGAACTCAATGAGCGTGCCAGCAAAGCTGAAATTGAGGTTCAGTTACTTAAGCTAGAACTGGCTAAATTAGAAGCTGAAAAAGAAAATGCTATACTTCAGCACAAACAGTGTTTGGAGAAGATAGCTGATCTGGAGAGGAAATTATTGCATGCCGAGGAAGATGCCCAAAGGTTTAACGAGCGTGCTGACAAAGCTGAAAGGGAGGTTGAAACCTTGAAGCAAGCACTGACCATGCTAACTGAAGAGAAGGAAGCTGCTGCTGTTCAATACCAGCAATGCTTAGATACAATTTCTAGTCTGGAGCATAAACTAGCTTATGCCGAGGAGGAGGCCCAAAGGCTTAACTCTGAGATAGATGATGGGGCTGTGAAGTTGAAGGGTGCTGAAGAAAGGTGTCGTCTGTTGGAGACATCGAATCAAACTATGAACTCTGAATTGGAGTCTCTCTCACAGAAAATGGCGGCTCAAAGTGAAGAAATTACAGAAAAGCAGAAGGAGTTAGGGAGACTGTGGACTTGCATTCAAGAAGAGCGGTTGCGATTCGTGGAGGCTGAAACTGCTTTTCAAACTTTGCAGCATTTGCACTCTCAGTCTCAGGAAGAACTGAGATCTATAGCTGCAGAGCTTCAGAATAGGACCCAGATTTTACAGGACCTAGAAGCTCGTAATCAGAGTTTACAAAATGAAGTTGAGCAGATCAAGGCGGAAAACAAAGGCCTGGGCGAAGTCAACTTATCTTCAGCTTTGACAATACAGAATTTGCAGGATGAGATTTTGAGCTTAAGGGAGATTATCCAGAAACTGGAAGCAGAGGTTGAACTTCGACTGGACCAAAGGAATGCTCTCCAGCAAGAAATTTACTGTCTGAAGGAGGAGTTAAATGATCTTAATAAGAAGCATCAGGCTATCATGGAGCAGGTGGAAGCAGTTGGCTTAAGTTCAGAGTCCCTTGGATCATCTGTGAAGGATTTGCAGAGTGATAATATAAAGCTGAAAGATGTCTGTGAAAGAGAGAGATGTGAAAAAGCAACTCTTTTGGATAAGTTGGCGATCATGGAGAAACTCATAGAGAAAAATGCTCTTTTGGAGAATTCCTTATCAGATTTGAATGTGGAGCTTGAAGGAGTAAGAGAAAGGGTACGGACACTAGAAGAATCCTGCCAATCTCTTTTGGGAGAGAAATCCGCTCTTGCTTCTGAGAAGACCATATTGGCCTCTCAGTTACAGATTGCCACTGATAATTTGGAGAAAATCACAGAGAAGAACAACCTTTTAGAGAATTCTCTTTTTGATGCAAATGCTGAGGTTGAAGGGTTGAAGGTAAAATCAAAGAGTTTACAAGATTCATATATGTTGCTTGAGAATGAGAGGTCTGACCTGGCTGCTTTGAAAGGAAATTTGATTTCTCAGTTGGACATCACTCAGAGAAGACTGGAAGATTTGGAGAAAAATCATATGGGGTTAGAAGAAAAATACTCAAGTTTGGAGAAGGAGAGAGAATCCACACTTCACGAAGTAGAAGAGTTACGTCTCTGCTTAGATGCTCAAGCGCAACAACATGCTAATTTTGCCCAGTCGAGTGAATGTCAATTGGCTGGTATGGCAACACAAATTCACTTGCTACAGAAAGAGGGCCAGTGCATAAAGAAAGAATATGAAGAAGAAGTGGACAAAGCTTTTTCTGCTCAGACACAGATTTTCATCTTGCAGAAGTGTTTGCAAGATCTGGAAGAAAATAATTTTTCTCTTTTGCTCAAGTGCCAAAAGCTCCTAGATGCATCTAAACTGTCAGAGAAACTGATTTCTGAACTGGAGCATGAAAATCTTGAACAACAAGTGGAGGTGAAATCTCTCTATGATCAAATTAAAGTGCTAAGGGTAGGGCTTTACGGGGTGCTGAAGACTCTAGAGCTTGATGCAGACCGGTGGTGCGAGGGTAAGGCTGATCAAGACGAAATGCTACTGAACCATGCACTTAACAAGCTTCAAGAAACACAAAAATTTCTCTTTGCAATGCAAGACGAAAATCAACAGTTGGTCATTGAGAATTCTGTTCTTGTTACTCTGCTTGGGCAACTGCAACAAGAGGTGGTATATCTCATGACAGCTAAAAACACTCTTGATCAGGAGTTGGTGTCTCGGTCAGAGGAGTTCTTGGTTTTGCAGAGTAAGAACCAACAACTTGCAGACACAAATGAAGAATTGAAATTGAGGTTAGTGGAGGGAGACCACATGCAGGAAGTTTTGAAGGTTGACCTAAATAATCTGCACAGACAGCTCTCAGACTTGCAAGGGGGTTACCAGAATTTACAGGAAGAGAATTGCAAGGTCGTCGATGAGCAAAGGTCCTTAATGAAGTCAATCTCAGATTTGGGAGAAGAGAAATGTAAATTAGCAAATGAGAACTATGCCATTTTTGAAGAAACAGTATCTCTAAGTACCCTTTCTCTAATTTTCAGGGATATCATTTCTGAGCAATTCTTGAAAATAAAAGAACTCAATGAAGCTCTGGATAAATTTCATCATGTCAATAATGGCCTTAATGAGAAAATGAAGATAATGGAGGTGAATCTATTGGAGCTTGGAGTAATAAAGGATGAGAAAAGAGAGCTGCACAAAATGTTGGAGGATCTGCGGTGCAAGTATGATGAGGTTGAATTAATACGAGCAGGTCAGGAAAAGCAGATCATCAAACTATGTGGGGATTATGATCAACAGAGTAAGGAGGTAGAGTGTATTCGTGAAGCAAATAAGGGATTGGAGACTGAAATAGTGAAATTGAATGGAGACCTTTTAGAAGCAAAGAGCAGGGAGGAAAGTTTGAATTATGAACTACAAAAAGGAAGAGATGAGGTGGAGGATCTGCGGTGCAAGTATGGTGAGGTTGAGTTAATACGAGCAGGTCAGGAAAAGAAGATCATCAAACTGTGTGGGGATTATGATCAACAGAGTAAGGAGGTAGAGTGTATTCGTGAAGCAAATAAGGGATTGGAGACTGAAATAGTGAAATTGAATGGAGACCTTTTAGAAGCGAAGAGCAGGGAGGAAAGTTTGAATTATGAACTACGAAAAGGAAGAGATGAGGTTGAGCAATTGGAGTCTCATGCTGCTGCACTTTTTGGTGAATTGCAGATATGTGCAGTTCAACAAGCATTGTTTGAAGGAAAGGTTCATGAGCTCGTTGAAACATGTCAGAGCCTTGAAGGTAGCAATCATTCAAAAGCCATGGAGATTGACCAGTTGAAAGAAAGAGCCAGCACCATGGAACATGAAAATGAAGAACTGAAGTCCCAGATGACTTCATATATTCCTGCTTTTATTTCTCTGAGGGAATGTATAACATCGCTGGAGAATCATAGTATCTCACAATCAGCAGTTCACGAAGTTGACAAGGAAGCAAAGGTAATTCTATTTTATCAAATTTTTAGTTTGCTATTGAAAATTTAGTTGACCTGAACTGAATCCTTAACTGATACAAACTCCAAAATTTCCTATTTTAAACTTTGAGGTTTACAATTAGTGGTATCAAGTATTCTCCAAGATTTTGTATTAGTACATATGCAGCAATTGTATGTAAAATGCTATTATTATATTAAAAGCATGGTTCTAACTTGCAATTACCTGTCCAGTTTAGCTATAGTCTTCACCTATATTTTTTAATCGGTATAGTATTTTGATAACCTTTGCTCATTCTTTTCTACTCTTTTTCTGCTCTCTGTTTCTTTCGCTTGCCTCCACAAACACAAAAATTGAAAAGAGAGAGAGGGTCCATAAATTGTCTTTTCTTTTTTGGGTATGTTTGAAAAGCCTTGAGAACTATGACATCTAGGTCTTTGGCTCAGCAGCTTTAACTTCTTGGCTGCACATTAATTTAAAGCTAATAATAATTTTTGTTCCTCTTCCGTTTGAATGACTCTCTATTACATGTTTCAGCAAATACTTTTAGCAAGTTTCCATACCCTAACCTCATCTTAATGATGTAATCTGGTTCTCATATTTTCTATGGTATCTGCTCAGAATTACATTGGCTTCTCTGCGGAGTTGATAAACTTTGAGTTGTCATTTCTTTTATAGGCTGTTGCTGCATCTGGTTCTGGATATCATGTAAAATTTAATGGGTTTTATTCCACTTGTTGCAGGATCCCAGATTGATGGTGCACGCCGAAAGCTCCCAACAAATTATTGAAGAACAAAGTTCTGCAAGAGGTGGATTAATGGATTTGCGGGATTTGGAAATGAGGATTCTAGCTATTGAAGAGGCAGTGATGGAAAGAGAGAGACTTGTCATTCTGGAAAACTCTAATGCTAAGTCTAAACTTGATGCTGCTATTAGACAGATTGAAGAGTTGAAATCTAGAAGCACTTTGCATCCAGAAGCCGTGAAAGGAAGCAAGCCTCAGAATCTAGATTCTGAGGACAAGGAATTGGGGCCTGAGGCTGATAATAAGTTCAAGCTTCAGACAGGAGCACACCAAACCTCTGAAGAAGGGAATGAAGTGATGACGAAGGACATAATGCTTGATCAGATATCTGAGTGTTCATCTTATGGGATCAGTAGACGGGAGACTGTAGAAACTGATAGTCAGATGCTTGAAATATGGGAAACTACCGACCAGGACGCCAGCATTGACCTGACTGTTGGAAGGGCTCAGAAGGCGACTCCTGCACTCACTGAGAAGAAGCGCAACAAGCAGCAGCATCCTTCTACAGAATCAATGATTGAGAAGGATGTTAGTGTGGACAAGTTAGAGATCTCACGGAGATTGTCAGGATCTCGTCAAGAAGTAAATGAGAGAAAAATTCTAGAAAGGCTTGATTCCGATTCACAAAAATTAACTAACCTTCAAATAACCGTGCAAGACTTGAAGAGAAAAGTAGAGATTACGGAGAAAAACAAAAAGGGGAAAGGAATTGAATATGATAGTGTGAAAGAACAGTTAGAAGAATCTGAGGAAACCATCTTAAAGTTGTTTGATGTAAATCGGAAATTAATGAGGAGCATTGAAGATGAATCGTTGTCCGCAGATGACAAATCTGCATCGGCAATGGATGAGAATGGAAGTGTTAGGAGGAGAAAAATTTCTGAACAGGCAAGAAGAGGGTCAGAAAAAATTGGGCGGTTGCAACTGGAAGTGCAGAAATTGCAGTTTCTTTTGCTGAAACTTGATGGTGAAAACAAAAGTAGAGGAAAAACCAAGATTATAGAACGAAAAACAAGCGTTCTACTGCGAGACTATCTGTATGGTGGTACGAGAACTGCTAGCCAGAAGAGAAAGAAAAGGCATTTCTGTGCATGTGTGAAACCTCCGACTAGTGGAGATTGAGACAAATCACATTCTATCGGCAAACAATTTGTGTAGTTCAAGGTTAAATTAAAATTTAAGACATGTAGTTGTTTTGTGCATAAAATTTTCTTTATAGAGATATTCCATAGACATAAATATTATCCTTTGTTTGCTTAAGAGGATATAGTATTTCTTTTAGTTTTAGAGATCCTGCTGTACATTGTCAGGCCGCATCTCATTGAAAGAAGTTGCTTTAATGGAGCTTGCTTCTTTCTTTCTTTTTTTAACCCTTTGGTTTTGCTTTCATAAAATTATAAACATCGGTTCAAGAAACTATATATATTATTTGAAAATTATTTCTTTAATTGAATACAAGCTTTTTGGAAACGTAGAACGACGTAAAAGAAAGATCTTTCAAAGTTAGACGAGTTGGATAACTCTTGCATCTATTTCTAACCATGCATTGCCTTGGAAACTACTCTATCTAGATGGCATTGTAGATTTTTTTTTTTCCCTTCATTTCAATTGGGCTTTTGGGCCGAGAAATAAGCACACAGGAAAATGAGAAATCGAATTCGAGCACCTACAATCGATAGAAGATACACAAAAGGACAATTAATCCCAAGTCTCCTTAAGATGGCACTATATTGTTTTCTAGGACAGGAATTTAAAATGCGGATAAAAAAATGAATAAAGCTACTATATGGTTTTTTTTTTTTTTCCAGGTTTCTATTAAATATGGTTTTTTTTTTTCCTTGCTTCATGATAAACACAAGGCAGAATTATATAATAGTTTTGCGAGCTTAAAAAAATTTAAAATGTTTTAATCAATAAATTCATTACAAAATCCTTATATATTTACGTCTGAAAAAATTTGTTAACATTTTATGTTTTTATTATGATAATTGTGTAAACTTTAATTATTAGGTTATTGAAAATTATTTTTTTACAACATAAATTTTAGAAATTATATTTATGCATAAATTTATAGACACATTTGACACACACACAATTAAATTATGTTCGAGTTGTCTCACTACCTGCAATCCTACTTTCCCGGAAAAATTTCACTTGCCAGACCTATCAGCAACATTCGCAGAGTTAAAACTCTACTGAAATTCTCAACAGAAAATTGTTGCTGATAAAATTCTAATGCAGATTAAACGTCTGATGCGCCCATGGGTAAGTCCTATTTTGCTTTCAAATTTTCCCTACTACTTCAACGTCCAAAATCTATTATATTAAATGAGATTAAGAAGAAGAGGTCCACGTTAGTAATAGCTCAATGCTTATGCATTCTCAAAGATCCTTTGCATGAGAGGATTCTGTTCGTCAAACTTAAAAGTGCATCCTAACGTTGGAGCAACAAAATAATCTTGTACTTGATTAATTGGATAAAGATTTCTCTTTGGTATGCTGCAAGTACTTTCCCAGATTCTCTCTCAAGGTTCTTCCCAGTGGATCAACTTGCTTACAGCACTGTTCTCCATAACCGGAGTCGTGATGACCGGACAAAGCAACATCAGGATGCAACTGATCTCCATTGTCAATTATAATATTGTGGAGTAAACAACATACCAAGATAATACTCGGTAGTTTCCTTTTATCCGGCCTCCACATAACCTTGTTAAGGATTCTCCAACTGCCTTTTAGCTGCAAGAATGACTTCACTGCAAGCAATCTTGCTGCCTCATGCATTGCATTGAAAGTGGGATTTGATTCTGAATGCTGGTCATTTCCATCAGGAGTTATAAGCCATGGAAGAAGAGGATAGCCAACCCCACCAACAATATATTCTCTGATCTCCATTTCTTCAGATAATTTTCTTAAATTTCCGTTCAAACATTCTCCATTTTCACAGTGTTTAAAGAATCCAGAACACTTCAATAATCTCGACACTGTCATTCCCCCAGGCCAACCTGTCACAATATTAAGAAATCTCATTTCATGATCAACAATACCCTGCAAGAACATGCTGTAATTGCTTTCTTGGTCACACCAATCATCCGAGGTTTCAACAGCTGGAAGTGTCATAATAATGTGTGTTGCATCAATGGCTCCACAACAATTTGGCAATCCAAACAATGTTTCAAATTTTAACTTAATTTCCTCCATTCTATTGGAATCAGGCCACTTTAGATGGTGCCTGGCTCGTTCTTCTAATGCTTCGATAAATCTCCAAGTTACTTGAGAGACAGTAGACTGGCCAACGCCAAAGGCAGCCCCGACTGAGACTTGAGACTCGCCAGATGCCAACCTTCTTAGAGCAATTGCTACTTGTTTCTCAACACTAAGAAGCCTTCCCTCAATGTTGATAAGCCCCGACGGTGGCCTTGAAATAAGATCTTCCCTTACTAGGGAACAAATGTATTCAAAAGTCTTCTTTGAGACCCTAAAGAAATACTTGAATGCTTCTTCCTCATCACATGGTATTGAAGCATCTATAAGGTCAAATTCAAAATTGTCAAACTTAGGCCTTGAAATATAAAACAAAATAATAGTTATACAATTTATAAATATTTAACGGTATTATTAATACAGTACATTCCTGGCTTTGAAAAGTTTCAGACTTGCATACTTTCGGGAATATAAGCAAATTATTTCACATGTCACATTAACTCACTTAAATTCTGAATCCTCCGATTAGTCACCAAATTATAATCTCAAGAAACTTAACAGGAACCATAAAAGCCATCACCAATACCAAAAACGCAAAAGCAAATTTCATGGGTTATAAGGGCATTTGCAGACTCAATAACATATCAAGATAAAACCCACTTACCAGTGGAAACGAATCGTCAAATTAGACAAAATTAATTAGCTAATTAATTAATACTGGTCAAGTTTCATGTAAATCAAAAGAACTAAAAAGTGGGTTACAGAGAGAGGAGGACCTGAAGACGAAGAATTCTTGCGCCAGAAACTGTCCCACCAATCGGAGTCAGTAGCTTTAGGGTCAATTGGAGCTACAGCTGCGCCTTTGTTTTTGATTTTCTGTTTCTTCTTCAATTTCTTTGAAATCTTTTTGCTTTTCTTCGATTTCTTTGGGGGAGCCATGTGGCGGAGGAGAAATTTTCAACTGATTGGTCAGTGGGAAAATTTAGCACCAATGTGGTGTGTAAAGAAGATAGAAGTTCCCAAGAAAAACTGATTTAGACGATTTTCTTAGCAAATGTTTTTAACGAGAAACTGAAGGAAAATACAGTAGTTGGAAGGAAGTGATCGTCTTTGTCAAAGATTGGCTATAGGCAGTAGAGCTCTCTAGCCAAAGGAAGGGGACTGCATCGAGACTCGTGCCAGGAGTTAGGACGACTCAAAACGGCGCCGTTCTATTTTGTACTTAATATTCTTAATTTTGAAATGTTAAATTTTATTTTCCTCCCTTTCGCTCGCTTTGTCTTTTTTTCTTTTTTTTTTTTTTTTTTTTGCCGAGGTTATAAATACCCCCCCGCCCGTCCGGTGCTTCTTTTTTTTTTTTTTTTTTTTTTTTTTTTTTTTTTTTTGCTAATTTAAGGAGCCGTATGAATGTTTTGTCAATAAGACTAGTTGAAAAATCAACCTCATCCATCCACCAAATGTTTAGAAACAAATTACAAAATAAATATCTTATATATCTATTTACAAAATGAAGGCAAAGACGTTATAATACGAATATATTCAGATATTATTTTTAATTAATAATTAAAACTTTCACATATCTTCATTATGATGATAAATATGAGATTTTTTTGTATGAAATGGATGTAATCACTTTTGAGCTCACCGAATAATGTTCGATCAATATTTTTATTTCTTCATTTAAATTAGTTTGATTCTTTTAAACGATGTTATATTTTGTGAATAGTAAAAATATTGAAGATTTGTCTATGATGAATTTAAGCATTTTAAAAAATTATTATTTTAAATATTATTAAAAAATACTTTTAGGAGCGGTCACTTAGCTATTTATTCTTATAATTTAAGATAAAAATATGTGAATTTTGCATTAAAAATAAAAGTAAACGATCTCTTATCAATATTTTCAACATTATTAAGAGTACTTTTAATTAATTTATGTATATTTATTTTTTTATTATATTCCTTTTTCAAATTAGTCTAAAGACAAAAAGAAAAGTAGAGGCTTATAACAAATTACAAACATAAGGACACATTACTTGAAAGCAAAAAAGATTCACTTACTAATTGGTCAAATTAGGGATCATTAGTGATCAAATTAGGGACCAATAACAGACTAATAAAGTCTCAATCAGCATGAAAAAATGTTATGAATTAAAGTAGATAGGGATGGGAAATTGGATGAAAGTCTGTACTGGAATTTTCTTTTGGGAGCCCCAAAAGGCTCTTCAATTAAAATTTCATGTATAAAGAAGCATATTGTACAACTCCATTTTATACTGTTGGAAGGAAAAAAATACCCCCAACCCAACTTTAATTTATCTAAAATGCATCAGATCAACTTGTGCTTCATTTCCTGATGCACATACTAATTACATCCATCCTAATTAATTTGCTCTTAACACCACCTATATTTATGGAAAAGAGGAAAAAAAACTCTTGCTTCTGCTCATAAATAAAATAATTAAACTATAGCTTAGACGTTGCTATATGCCTGAGATTCATCTTTTGAAGCGTTTGGCTTGCATGTGTGAAGCATGAAGTTGCATGCTCCAACAGCTTCTCCTACTGTTAAAAAGATCCATTCTTGACCAAAGTTTTGAATGAAGTTGGACTTGTTTAGCTTCTTCATCACCTCTGCTCCAGGGTTGGCAAGTACAAGCTGTATATATGAATAAATGAGAAACACTTATTGATCTATATACAAAGTTTGAATGAAGTTGGACTTTGTTTAGCTTTCTGACATCACCTCTGCTTCCAGGGTTGGCACAGTACAAGCTGTATATTTCTATGATAAATGACGGAAAACACTGATTTGACCTTCCGTTATATATATACTTATATATATATATATATATATTATATATATATATATATGCAGAATTTCATCAGAATGAAAACTTTAAATATGAAAGGGAGCATGGACATTCAACTATTACCTTTTGATTTTCCCTTCTCATCAGTAACCTTTTCCTACTTTCTTCAAGCATGCTGATTCCACTTGTTCAATGTTACCAACAGCTGCCGCCAAACAAGATAATAGGTATATATATGCAGATTTCATCAGAATGAAAACTTTAAATATGAAAGGAGATGGACATCAATATACCTTGATTTCCCTTCTATCAGTAACCTTCCTGACTTCTTCAAGCATGCTGATTCCACTTGTGTCAATGTTACCAACAGCTGCCAAACAAGAATAGGGCTTATTCCACTTGAGTGTTTTATATATAATTCATGGGATGAGCTACATGAAGGGTAGCCTTCCTCCTATAATAAGAAAATCACAAGCATTATCCAATGAACTTACCTCCCATGTCTAGAATAACATACTGCAGACTGGTTTCTCCTGAAGATTTTAACTTGTCTTCCTCTTCATCAATCCACCTTGTGATCCTAATTATTAATTATTATTGTTCACAACACAGATGTAGCAATTAAGTTAAGCGAACAGTAGCATGAAATTTAAGTACACATACATGAAGCTTCAGCAAAATATAAAAATATACATACCTCTCTCTTAGGTAGCTTGAATTCGTAAAATAAATAGGAGCATCAATTTCAAGTATAAGAACGCCAGGAACAGTATTTGCATTTGGGTATTGTTCAACATTTCTATACATCATAGAATTCGGAATATTTCCAAGAATGAATGTTTTTGGTCTTGCAACAAACAGAAGCACCCTTAGCAGAGAAATCGACACCTGCGCAATTTCACAGACACATTAGTGTATATAAATAATACTAACAGCTTCAAAAACACATAAATTACTATATTCATACCGCAATGACCAATCCGATCTCAACACTGCCAAAAACGACACCCAGATAGGCGCCTGCGCAGACTAAGAAATCAAACTTATCAACTTGCCATAAATGGATTGCTGCTTCATAATCGATAAGGCCAAGCATGGCGGAGATAATAATAGCAGATAAAACCACTAGCGGAGTGTAATGGAACAATGGGGTCAATAGCAACAGCGTAACCATCACTGCGAATGCCATAACTATGTTTGATACTGCTGTTTTGCAACCTGCATTGTAGTTTACAGCCGATCGCGAAAATGGCCCTGAAATTTCATTTTGATTCGACAATCAAAGTTGTTGATTTATTAGTTCTGTTGGGTTCATTTGAAATTTATCAAACACTTAAAATAAAACAAAAAAATGGAAAGTGAATTCGGTACCTGTTGTGAGGTAGCAAGAAGTGCAAGAACCTACAATGTTCATCGTACCAATAGCAATCATCTCTTTGTTACCATCAATATGGTAATTTTTGAACATTGCAAAACTTCTTCCCACAGCTATTCCTTCCTGCAATTAATTCAGCAAACACATTAATTAATTTCTTAATCAGCAAAAGCTATTATTATTAAAATAAGATAGGTGGAGACGTTTACAGCAAGAGCAATGACGCCAGTAATGATGCCAGTCTTGATAGCTGTCGTCAGATAAGGAGACACGAACACCAGATCACCAAAGGACGGTGGATTTAACCCTTTCTTCAAGTGTCCTATCTGCATAAAATTACACCCGGATACATCATATAACAACCCAACAAAACACAAGACCCAGTATTATTGATGGAATGGGCCAACTTAATGAAGTGGCTGTCGGAACAATTATTTCGATAGGCCTTGGTCCTAAGCCGTTAGAATAAAAAAATGGGTATGGCTCTCCATCAAAAGGCCGAAACTTAGCCACATGTGAGATGGACCTTCGGCCTGACCTTTTCTATGTGGTGGTCCAAACAAAAATATTCTGCTGCTGCCTAGTTATTGGACTCTTTCTACTTGCAGGTTTGGTCACGGTTCTGTTCTGTCTTTTTGTCTTTGCCTTTTCTATGGCTTCTAGACAATAACACTTTCTTACCAATAAATGGCAAGTGAAATGACAGCAATATTTTAAGATTTTTGCATACAATTTTTTTTTTTTATCAAATTATCTTTAATTTCATATCATTAATAATTAATGTGTTTCTTATAGATATAAAGATAAAATTGAAAAAATTCATGGTTACTCTATAATATTCTCAAAATAACTTATATTTTATATATATAAAAAAATAAGAATAAAGTTCAATTTAACTCCTCAATTTATTTAGCGGGATAATAAATTTAAATTAATTTAATTTGTGAAATTATTTAAAATGATTAAAAAGATGAAATTGAGTAATCACTTAAGAATTTATGGGAGTGCTCACCACTTGAACTCCATGTTTCTCAGCATGTGTGAGATAAACAAGAATGCTTCCCAAAACGACGGACGTCAATGGTGCCATTGCTGATACCCAGAAGAACTTTGGTCGTTTCTTGCTCTACATGCAATCAAGCAATTAATTAATTAATTAATTAATTAAGGTAATACGAATTATTTATATTATTAAGGTAAGCAAATAATGAAAATTTTTCTACGACGTCAGTCAATTTTTATCTAATGCGTTGAACTTTTCGTGTTGCAAGTTATTTTGGTACATAGCGTATCTCTTTGAGTCTTTAATTTAATATTGTTATCTAATAATAAACAATAATATGAAATATAAGGAAGCCCTAGGAGCAAGTTAGAGCAAGACTTTTGATCAATAAGGTGGGTCGGTGGGGTAGAAAGTGAAAAAAGTGTAACAACTACAACAAACCATTTAGTGTTTTTAAATTGTAATTCCTAATTTAAAATGCAAAAATTAATTAGATGTGTGCAAATGTATATTTAGGCCACTGCTTAACTAATAAATTCAATTTGCTTTATTTGTATTTATTAATTAGTTACTTTTTTTAGCATTAAATTAGATATAGTAACATGAAGTTCAACATATATAAATAATACTACATAATGAGGTTTTTTTTTTTATCTAAGAATTTTTAGATTATGAATTTGAAATTTAATAGCACAATTCATAAAACTTGTAACAATTAAGATAATAAAGATTCTATATGTTTCTAGAAAATAATTTATGTCTTTGAAAAATATTAATTAGTGATCAGTGAGTGATATTATTGGAGGGTGATTGATTTTTGTCAGCAATGATGGATAATAATAAATAATGGAGATTAATGAATTATTAAAGTTATATTTATAATTTTTTTCTTTTATTATATTTATTAACATGATCGAAAGCTTTTAATCGCCTCTTCGATTAAAAAAATATTTTACATGTATAACCGAATATATATACATAATACTATATAATATTCGCGAATAGATTAAAAAAATTCAACATATATATTTTAGATGAATTATTTTTTGAAAAATAAGTGGAGCCTAAATTTATTTTTCAAAAAACAAACGAAGGCTAACTATTATGTAAATAACTTACGAAGTATCTGGTGGAAAGGAGGAAGAAAAGAAAGCAAAAGCCAAGAACGGCACTTTCCCATCTCCACTGCAATAAAAATTAGGGTTAGTGTTAGAATAGATAAATATAAAAGCAATTATTGAACGAAAAAGATATAAGAAAGAAGGCAGTTGGCATGATAATAAATGATGACCAGACATGCATTGATATGTAGTTTTGTTTTTGTCACAATAACATATAAAAGATCACATGATTTTCTTTCTTTCTTCTTCCAATTTCTTTTTCATAGGTTTTCTTTTTGTTGCAAAATGTAGCACCACATGCCTCAAATGAATTAAATAAATAACCAGCAAATTCCGTAGACACCATTGAATTTATCTTAACCATACAGTTTAGGTAGATAGATTTAATTTGAATTGAAGGCATCCATAATACCAGAAAGAGATTTTGCAAATTTAGATTTAATAACTTAATATTTTTTTTTTTTTTTGGGGGGGGGGGGTAGATAGATTTAATGTTGATTTGAAGATCCATTAATTATCCAGAAAGAGATTTTTTGCAAAATTTAGATTTTAATAAACTTATGATTTTTTTTTTTTTTTTTTGGGGGGGGGGGGGGTGGTTTGGGGGGGGGGGGGGTGTTTATGTAGTAATTATTGTGATATAATGTGATTATTAGTGTGGCAGCATGTAATTGTATTAGCTAGGCTGAGGACCTGATGGGTTTGGGAGAATACAGAACGCAAGACTGAGACAAGATCTGTAGCATGGGTAAAATGATCAAGCCCCAATATCCCTTTTAGCTGTTGCAGACAGACTACTGTGGCTGCTCCTGCCATGAAACCTACTATCGTTGCATGTGACAGAAAATCCACGATAAATCCTAGCCTGCACATAAACACAACTTTATCCCATCACAAAATCAATTTTTTCATTACCATTATTTCAGTTTTTTTATCCTTATATGACACTATAATTTATATGTATAATTATTATTTCTGTTGGAAATTTTTAATTACTAAATATGAAACAACAAAAATACAAGAACCGGTCCAGCAGAGACAAAGAGAGAAAGGACAGAGAAAGATACAAAGCATAGTGCTATGTTTTCTGACCTCTTTTTTTTATATTTATTTATCAAATAATATTGCTTCATCAGCTGTTATATATATATGTATACCTTAACAAGCCGAGAGAAGCTTGGAAAACTCCAGCGAAAAATGTTGCTGTGAAAGCAAGGTGAAGATAAAGCTTAGGATTCTCATTAGCATTAACCTCATCTCCTAACATGGAACCTATTAGCAAAGATGCAACGGCCACTGTCCCTACTGCCAAATCTCTTGAACTTCCCATCATTGCATAAACAAGAGGTGGAACAAAGCTTGAATCTACGTTGCATAAATTAGAGAAAAAAAAGAAACTATTATTAAAATGGTACTGAACCATCTAGAGAACTGCAAGATTATACTTATCCTGTTTGACTTACATAACCCAAGAATTGGCGGCAAGTTGGCTAACTTAGCGTAGCTTATTCCTTGAGGAATAGCAAGACTAGCAATAGTGATTCCTGCAATAATATCAGCCTTCAAGAACTCTAAAGTGTAACGAGGAGCCCATTCAAGAATTGGCAAGAAATATTGGAGGCCTAATGTAAATTTCCGACATGGAGGCTGGTTCTTGAACTGCCGAAATGGATCATCAGGAAAGAAAGTTTCTTTCAGATTATATTTTAGTGACTTGAAAAACGGCTGCGGCGGCGGAATCGCCACCCGATGAGCACACTCTGCATTTGTCGAGGACGGGTAAGCGTAGTCAACGGTGCCCATATTTGCAACGTTCAAAATTAAAGAAGAAAAATGGAAAAGCTAATAATATATGGCAGCAATGGCGGTGGCGGTGGTGGAGAGGGTGAAAGAGACAGAGGAGAGGAGATGGTGCAGTGATGAGACTGAGAAGATGGGAAAGGCTGGACATGGCTTTATAGGAGGGACTCCTTTCAGTTTCAGTGCGTCGTGGGACCCTTTTTTTTTGTATATACTATATACTATAATACTATACTGTATATTAGTGTATAAATTAATTAATTATTGTCAAAGATGGCACGTTTTCTTTTTTGTTTTTTTTTTCATTGTGAAGCTCTCGTTTCCTCTCCTATCCTTTTTTCTAATTTCCTTCCTTCCTTCCTTACCCACGTAAATATTTTATAATTTTAGGACTGCTTGTCTAATGCCAAAGTGGCATTTCACCTTTCAACATGGCGCATTCTGGTTGGGTAATTAATTAGCTGCGATGTTGACAGAGCACGTGTTTGTCCATGGTTGGTTTTCATTAATTACTTGTGGTGATTGATTATCGAATTATAGTGATTAATCCCAGCTTGACCCAGTTTGGACGTGTTTGATTTTTTCTTTTGCTTTGACCTAACTCGATTGACATTTGATATGAAGAGTAAGTAATTGAAGTTGCCCCAATAATAGAATATTAAATTAAATTATTATATTCTTAAAATGAAGTTTGATTTTGGAGACAGCTTTGACTGTTTCCAAATCTTTATCTTGATTAATTGCCCGAGTGCAATTAACCAAGCTCAAGTGCAACCTAAATATATATATAATGTGAAAGAGCATAAATTCAATGATTAACATATTGACTTAAAAGTTGAAGGCTGTCACAAATTAGAACACATTTAGATGTGAAAACATGGGATTAAGCCAAGTTATAGCTTTCTAGAAACAAATTAATTAGGGAAAATTAACCAATTTACATGCAAGTCTTAATCAAGATTTCTAGTTTTGAAAAAAGCTAGCTGTTGGCCAAAGACAAAAGAGAAGACTAAACGTGATAGATATTGCAGCTTGTTTGTTTCTTTCAAAAGAGTAATCAAAAAGCATTTTGTTTTTGAATATACACAATTCTAGTGCAAAACGGAAGAACGGATATATCTCTAGTTTAATACTCTTTAAGTTGACTCAAATGATAGAAATTGAAAATTCTGATCTTCTGTTGAAAAAATGGTATAATAAATGAGTGATATCTATAGAATGTCCTGTATAAAATAGTAAAACAGAGCACGGTAAATTATATAATTTTGTTATCAATTATGAGCTCTGTTCAAAATTCGATAGAGTGCGGTAGAGTGATGCAAGTTTAAAGCAAAAATACCTACTTAGCATATGTTTACTGTGATTTTAAGAAACCGTGTAATTAGTTTAAACACAGTGTATGAAATCATGGTATCACACTCTCACTGTTTAAGAACTCCGATGGAATGGTATGGGACCCTCTTGCTCTCTGTATTAGTGTTTGGGTCAAACCTGAAACGCCTAATAAACGACTTTAGAGCACAGAACTGTTAGTTTTTAACAGCCAAATTTGACTGGCCTGGCCTGGCCCCCTGACGACGTGTGATTGTCATGATATCCATATCCATATGCCATTTGAGCTTGCAAGTTGCAGTTATTCTGTACTGAAAAGGAAGGTCGGATGACACGTGTTTACATCATGATGTTGATAGAAAATCTCCTTTCATCACTCCGCGGTCGGTACCTACGCCCACCCATCGATAGTCAGTTACAACGTTCCAGATTTTATCCCAATACAGAGCATCAGAGGATTCTTTTAGGTATTTCATCTTTTATAAATATGAAAAATGATATCCAAAATGGTTTGTGGAAAGGAACATAATTTTTTTTCTTTAAAAAAAAAAGTCTAATATGCAATTCAAATTGAAAAAAAGCTTATTAGGCTTTCAAAAAGTTCAGCCAATCCCCCTTTGCTGTGTTCTTCTATTGAGATTTACAATTTTTTTTTTGTTATTTTCACAAGTGTCCTCACGTCCATTGGAATTTATCTAATATCCTTCACAGTGTATAATTGCTCTTTCTCATGAGTTTTTTTTTATACGAATCGAATCCTGAATGCAAATAAATAATACAATAATAGTTAGAAATTATAACTACGATCAACCCTAAATTTCTAGGGTATAATTTCTTCAAACCATATTGAAGCAACATATTTGAATTTTGCAAATTTAATTATGGTTATAGGAGCAATTATCAAGGCATATCCGTGACAACTGACAAGCACTCGACTTTCCTGTTAGGAGAGTTATTAACCAGCTAAAATTGTTAATAATAGATATTGGCTTGCCAACGGGGTGTTATACGGTTAGTCTTCTTATTTATGCGATGAATGAAAGATATTAAATTTGACTATTCTCGATCACAAAAATTTTTATCAAGTTGACGAGATAAGGCGAATACTACTTCATTTTGTATAACCCATAATATTACTTCGAATTATTAGACCTTCAAACTAATAAAAACAGACATAGTATGGACATGGTGATGGATGGGTGCCGTAAGACTCTTAGAAAAGACCCTGCAATTCTTCCATCAGCCACTAATCGCTGTTGCTTGATCTGTTGACCTATACTGTACATATTGTTGTTCTTCTAATAATAATAATGATGTATGAATGATTTAACCGATGAGAATTGACGTGTGAACATAACATAATTAATTAATTAATTAGTGAATTTTTTAATAATTATTTAATTAAATCTAGGTGTGAATGTGATTCAGTTTTCAAACCTATTTACATATATATATATAATTAACAAAAAGATAAAAACAAAATTATGCGTTATCAACAGTATCACGGGCATGACGCTCTTTCCCAGAAGACAAAAAAAGACAACCAACACCTAAAACATCCATTTTTCCTTCTTTCATAGTACTGCCTAATTACAGCATTCAAGAAATTGACTAGATATCTAATTTATTAAGGATACATGTCTGTCATTTTAATTCCTCTTAATCCTAATTATATATTCTCTTTATGAATTATTGAAGCTTGGATTGGATAAGGCCATCAAATAAAACAACTGAAAAAAAAAGCACTTTTAGGGACAAAAAATATTCTAAAATTCCTTTTTTTGGATATGATTATGTTATAGTCAACTAGTAATATTTAATATATTTTTGTTCTAAGAACCTTTCACAGATTAATTATCAATCAAAGGGTATCTTGATCCATCCCTGTCAAGAATTATATATATATATATTGTTTTTGGATTATCCTGATCACACTGAACTTGGATCTGTAATTTTTTTAGTTAGTAAATTACAGCAAATTGCTTGATCAAAAAGAATGTGACTGATAATTAAAATTTTGCAACTTGTGTAAACAAAACTTTGTACTGTATGCCTTGCTCATTCTTTAGCTTCCCAAAAGCATGTTTCGGTTTGATTTAGTTGATAGCTATTCGTTGAAAATACGTAATTTTATTAGTGTGTTGGAGGGTTAATTTAATTATGTTAAGATATTATTATATTTGTACATTATTGGGTCAACAAATAGCACACGAAACATGTAAAATTGAAATTCAAATATGCTAGTTCATGACAAATTTGTATATTATCATGACAACTTGATCTTTATACAGATTGGAGATTGTATATGATATTAACTTCAATAAATCCAGGCTATAGTTTAGCCTAAATAATACTAATTTTCATGTCGATTTTTCTAATTTTCTTATAAACTTAAATATTTCATTTTGCTATAATGAATTTCAACATGTATTTTAAAATCTTAATTTGAGAACCAAATACGTTTCTTTAATTATAAACTTACTAGCAAAAGCAAGCAACGTCGACTTTAGGACCGCCAAGAAAACTATGAGTACCGTCCAAACATTCTCATTCATTTGAAAATGTGTATGTGACACGGTCTTCTAAAACACATATATCTAAATTTCCAAATATTGAAATTAATTAATACAATTTTATGAAATGTCGTAAACTCAACTGTGACTACATGAGTTCTTCAGCTGTTCTCTCATGAGTACAATATTTATTTATTATTTGAAGTAATAAAAAAATTAAAAAAATAATTTGACATGTTAATAATTATAATAATAAATGTTTAGTGTTCTAATAAATTTCTATATATAAATTTTTCCTGATATGGCAAAAAAATATTTCATTTTTGCTTGGATAATTGAATTTCAAACATGGTATTTTAAAATCTTAAATTTTGAACAAAATACGTTTCCTTTAATTATAAACTTACTAGCAAAGCAAGCAACGTCGACGTTAGGACCGCCAAGAACTATGAGTAGCGGTCCTAAACATTCTCATTTCATTTGAAATGTGTATGTTGACACGTCTCCTCAACATACACATATATCTAAATTTCCAAAATATTTGAAATTAATTAATTAGCGAATTTTATAGAAATTGTCGGTTAAACTCAACTGTGACTTACTATTTGAGTTCTTCAGCTGTTCTCTATGAGTACAATATTCTATTTTATTATTTGAAAGTAAATAAAAATTAAAAAAAATATATTTGACATGTAATAATTATAATAATATAATTGGTTTATGTGTGTCAATAATTTCCGGGCGAAGCACTTCCTCTTAGTTAAATGAATTTTTTGCTTTTATATAATATTAAAATAAAAAAAAATCCATAGTTCTATGGACGTTAATGTATATGAAAAAGAAATATAACTTTATTATAAAGCGAAGCCATCAATGATTTCATTAAAATAAAATGAAACCCACTACCATATTAAAAAAATTGTACATGCAATGTCCCGCTGAAACTTGCAATTTATATTTGCCAAACTGGACTGAATATTTTCAATATAATACTAGGTAATTATTAGGTTAAATCATGCGATTTAATTTGTAAACTTTTTACTTTTAAAGTTGTTGTTCAAATTACGTAGTAGTATTATAAAAGAAAATCATTATAGTAATCAGTCAGTAATCAGTCAAATGATGTGGACTATCTTGTAATATAAAAGATAATGTAAAAAGATCATTGTAGATGTTGACTTAGACATAGAATTAATTCACTTTCCTCAGCATCCTTCGTTTATGTGATGTGCAGTGCAGTGCAGTGCATTGCACAATTAATGGAGACATTTATCTTCTGTTTCATGTC